ATACAATGAATTTCAACTGAAAATTTCTTTAATTTTCTTATCAATTTGAAGACTGTATTTAACACAACTGGGGTAAAAAAAAGGGAACAGAAGTACAATCTTTGAGGTGTTTATATAAATGAAACATTTATTCAGACACTTGATAGCTGATCAATTGTGAATAATCATCTCCATAGGTCCTCATGACTTACAGGTATGCATTACTGTGAATCATGGGAGGTTTATTTTCCAAGAAGGTATTAACCATGTTCCCTATCAAATGATAAGCTGGTGTAAGGGGATGTGAACCTAATAATTGAAACGGATTGAGGACAGTACGCTCCTATTTGGTATCATATGTCTAACTTGAGTATCTATGCTAATAGGAAAATTATATTTATTTATCTGTAGCTACAACCAGAATTATGTATTTATATCAAACTTCTTTATATATTCTTTTTTATCTTTCTTATTGTTTAAATAAATATTCTTGTAGATATTTACAATATCCTTGTAGGTATTATTTCATTATTTCTACATCTTTGAGAATATTCTAAAAACAATTTACGGTGTTAAATTTCGTTATTAGGGTACCCTTCCCGTAAACGGACAACTCTCATAAACGGGCAAATTTTTTGGTCCTATGAATGTCCGCTTAACGGAGGTTTCACTGTATATATATAATATATATATATTTATATTTGCATTTAGAACAAAATTAAGGTTTAGAATTGCTTCGGAGAAATTTGAATTGTTAACAATGACTTAAACAAAAAGTTTTATTTTAACTGACTATTATAATTTTAACTTTTTCTATAACTATACTCATTTTCTTACTCTTTTCTTTGTTTTTTGTACATTTTATATTTTTGAGATAAAATAAAAAACTTATAGTTGTTCTGCTTCTGAACACTGATGAAAACACAAAATGATGGGCTTCATCAACAATCAAAAATATATACATTTATTTTACAAATTCCATATTATTAGGGTGGCGCCCTTCAGAGAATTAAAAATATGGTAACAAAACATCATAAAAGCAATACCACAAATACAAAATTATGTTCATCGAAGCCGATGCTTTACATCCGGCGTTCAGTGGCAGACTACTATTTCATATTGTTTTACAACACATGGCTTTAGCCCTCTGACCCACCTAATGTGGTTACATCATTCCATTTGGCTTTCAGGCATAGAGAATCGGATTGACAGCAGTTGGTTTTTCTACTTGGCAGAAAGCATTTTTTTTCTTCAGCATTCAGTTTGCAAATTCACCTCTATGTATATTATCGATTTTTGGTGACGTCATGGGATTTTAAGCAAAGGCTCTCGGCGCATCTCGTTAAATTCTGGTTTAGTAAGAACACCTCAATTCTGGAATTATTTTTAAAAATTATTTTAGTATTTTATAAAATTAAAATTAAAACACTTTTAATAAATTCAGTGATTTTCAAGCAAATTTTTTAATATTTAGGTGGCAACAAAAGGGTTAACTAGTTACAAGAGTCAATAATTTGCTTGCTGAAAGTTTTTTCATGAGATTAAGGGTTCATTTAATTTTATCTAAGTTTGCCGCTCCTTTGCATTTGATTGTGCATTGAGAAAAAAATTCTCCCACTTTTCCATCTATTTAGCATCAAGGATGACTCAGTTGTTCTAATTGAAAATGGTGGGAAAGCCAGCAAAGTTTTTCCAAATTTTCTGGAAACTGGATAAAAGGTTTGTTGCTATACAGCTAACTATATTCCTACTTAATTATTAATTAAGAAATTGTCATATTTTAGCAATTTTCATATTCAAATTAAAAATTTGTAATTCCTCTTCACTTTTTCTTATTTTATTATATTTACATAGTATAAGAATAGCAATGTATTTTTTTTACTACCCTTCCACCTTCTGTTCACTGATAAGCATATCTAATACATTTCCTCCTTCTAAATCAAAGACTCCCACACTTTTCCCTTGTCTCAATTTCAAAGATCACTGGAATTTTTGCATTTTGTCTCAATTATTCTAATTCAAAATGGGGTGAAAACAAAATATTTCCCTGTTTTATGGTTTTTTGGATATTGAATAAAAGGTACTGTACTACTATTATAAATATATAGGACCGGTTGCAACCTTCTAAAAACAACTGTTGACTTTTAAAGTCTTATCAGAAAAGACTATTTTTAAAAATTCCATGAAGTTATATAGGCAAGTGGAGGACATCATGTTACAAATTTTATTGGATACATCTGTTTATTCTTTGCAAAGGAACAATATTGACAAGAGAAAGTATGAAAAATGGAAACAAATTTTAATGTTCGTTTTCTTAACTATGCATTTTAGGTTGTGTTCATTTTTTTAAACATGCATTTTAGGTTGCGTTAATTTTTTTAAACATGCATTTCGGACTACCTCTGTTTTCTTTAAGATTTTGATTAAAATTCTACGTTTTAGATTTTGAGCTGTGTGCAGAATAATAAACTCACCAACTGTGTCCGTTTTTGTTCCTTTATTCGTGTTATTTTTGCTTTATGCTATGTTGCACAAAGTATGTCCTATTCTCTTTTTGGGTGACCATTTAGTGTTCATTGAAATCAACTAACTAAAGTTTAGAGTCTTCTATTTATTTTTTATACATAAATTTATTGATATATTTGTTTGAATGTGGAACCTTTCATTTAAAATTTTAAAAAATATACGCTTATTAGTGTAATCTAAAAGTTTTTTAAATAATTCCATTTCCTTTGATCTAATTTATATTTATCAATTTAGAAATTATGTTGTCATTTGTTTATTATAGAACTCAAGCTCCTCGAAGCCTGGGTGAATATTATTTTAGAACAGGTAATTCAAGACTTTTATTTGAAAGGTTAAAAAAGTGCTTGGATGAATCTGTTAAGTTTTGGTTGGATAAATTGCAAACAACTAAACATTCTAAAGAATCAGAGAACCCAGGTTTGTTGATTACTTTTTCAATTTATGTTTGTAAAACAAAATTGTGATTAATTAATACTGCCAATATGTCCACTTATATAGGCTATGTTTATCAATAGTCAGCTTTTACAATTAAGTTATTATAATACTGTTTAGATTCTTTCTGTTTTTTCAATATTTCAAAAATAGAAATGTTATTATTCACCATATGCAAATCCCACAGGAATAATATTTAACTTGTTTATGTAAATAATGCAAAATTGTTTCATAAATATTTGATAAATTAAGCTAACTAAGTTTTGTAATGTGTTTCTTTTTTTTTCAAAATTTGTTTTTTTTAATTGTTTAGGAATAAGAAATGATTCTGAAAGCTACAGTAGTTTCCAGTAGATAGGCCTCGGCCTGTCTGTGTTTTAAAGTTTGATTGTCATGCTTTGCGAAAATTCATTTCCCACAAGCCATGCGTAATAATTTTGCAATTGCAGTAGATTTATTCAACACTTGATTTTTACAGAGATTTATCAATATTACAAGCCTATTTTGCAATGTTTGCTCTGAAAACGTTTTTTTTCCCGTATTTATTTTTTAAATTAAAGTATGAGGTGATAAAAGAAGTTTTGATTGACGAAAAACCGTATGACGTCATCTATAAATGGAGTTACAAATTCCGATTTGTAACTTAAAAATAAACTAATATGCTATATTTCTTTCTCTCTTCTCCTTATCTATACTTTCTTTATAACTATTTTATTTTCAAATTGTCATGAAACTGGAAAATAAAATCTCTTTATTCTATGCATCAATCTAATTTCTGCAGATACGTATACAGTGTAAAGTCGCGTAGCCGGAATCGGTGGTACTTCCAGAAGTCCGTATAATGGATTTTTCCGTATAATTGACCCCCAAGGTAAACAAAGCTTAAAATGATCTAATAAACGATTTGAATCTAAGAAGCAAAACATAAATAAACATTATTTTTAAGGGGAATAATGTTTTAGTATTAGAATATCTAATCAATCAAACATAAAATATGTATTAGAAAAAAAATATTATTGCTAAAAATATAGAAAACGAAAAAATTTGACAGTTATGAAAATATTAATCCGCCATTTTGATCTAGAAGGATTCAAGCAGGAAGAGGAAATTCACTTCATTCTGGAACAAAGTTTAAAATGATCTAAATCTAAGAAGCAAGAATAAATAAACATTATTTTTAAGGGGAATAATGTTCTAGTATTAGATTATCCAATCAATCAGATATGAAATATTAGAAGAAGAAAAAATTACTGCTTTAAATATAGAAAACGAAAAAAAATTGACAGTTATGAAAATAATAATCCGCCATTTTTAACTAGATCGATTCAAGCAAGAAAGAAGGGAAATTCCCGTCATTCATTAAGGTGGGTAGGTGGAGGAGAAAATTAATTTCCTCCTTATTTGTGAAAGAAAATAAATGTAGAGAGGAGATCATTCAAGTTGAGGGCGGGGAAGTGACAAATTATTGTTTTCTCTCCAATCATTTGCTGTCAATCAAGCATAAAGGCGGGGCACGCTGATGGGGTTCTCTTTATTTTTTCTTGTATGACTGAAAGAATCTACTAAAGAAAGAATCTTACCCCCTTTTTCCCCCGCCTCCTAAATATTGCATGGTCAGGGGAAGAATGAATGTTTTTCTCGGACATGTATCCTTTTAGACCTATTCAAATGTTCCATTTTAACTCCCCCTCCACGTTAACGCTTGCTGCTCTTACCCTCTTCTTTCAATAAAAAGGTTCCAGGAAATGCCTCTTTTACTAGCCAGCTGCATAGGAAAAGAGGGGGGAGGGGACACAGTTGTGGTCTTTTGAAAAAAAACCTCCCTCTTTTCCTGCATTCCGGAGTAGGAGCGTCGCTAACGGTCACTCAATGGTCTTGGTAGATCTTCTCTTCCCCTTTGTGATTTATGGGTTCAATGCATAAATCAGGGGTTCAGTGCAAGCTAGAAAAAGAGAAAATGTGTTAAAAGACCTTTTTTTTTTAAGGAAACGGGAGTTTTTTTGTTTATTTTGATTGTTAAAAAGTGTCCAGGAAATCGACCCTTCCGGGAAACGAACGTCCGGATATGGGACGTTACACTGTACTAAACTTAAAAATTTTTAACACTGTACTAAACTTAAAACTTTTTTATCATCCGAAAATTTTATTATCACTGATATAAATGTTTCATAATAAATAATTGAAGCGTAAATTTTGGGGAGAAAAATGGAGATTTGTTTTATCAGAAATGTTTCTTTTTTAAATTAAATGAAATCGTAGTTTTTTCTTCAATAAGTTATTTCCCAAAGTAGTTTTTAAATGATTTTTTTTTATATTTAACTGTTTTGGTTTGAAAAAATAAGCAAAAAGAACTTAATTTTTTAATATATTTTTTTAGAACCCTGATCTTTTAATTATGAGGAAACTTCAGCACCTTGCCCTTTCTATGTAGCAAGATAAAAACACAGTTTCCTAATAAAACAAATTTTTGAAATGAAATGAAAAATAGACAAAAAATTAAAATTGCCTGTCTATAACGTGATCGAATGAACAGTTTGTTAGTTTTTAATTTTCATTATGTTCTGCTGTCATTCTAGACTTCCTCACACAAGCCATTGTGATAGTGGTAGCAGGAGGTTGAGGGGAGAAGGAAATAAACATTTTTTCTCCCTTTCGAATTTGAAATGTTTCTCAGTTGGAAGAGACGGAATTTTCTTTTTTTTAGTTTCACTCACACTAAATTTATGTTCTGTTGTTGTCATAAATATTTTTGACATCACAGAACATCTTCAGCGAGTTTTGCCCCTCCCGCGACTGCTGTAATCATGCATTTTCTTTTTGGCTGTTCATTTTCAATTCTGAAGGTTGAAGGTCACTGAAGAATCTGCATTTTATGGACTGTGGTTCCATTTGGCCTAGTATTACTATTGTAACTAGTGAATGATATAGCTATTCTTCCTGGAATTAGGCGACCTAATGTGTGAAGAGGGAGCACAGGTATTTTAACATATAGCACTGCCTTCTTTAAATACTTTCGCTCATCTCTCCTACTAATTCTACAGAATTCCATTCATGCATTTTCGTCTTTTTCTTTTATCTTACAGTTACGTGAGAGATAATTCTTTGCTTGATGTCTGATGACAAAGTTGATGTGGAGAATTAACTCGATTTTGAACTACGTTAGTTTTGTTCCAAAAGTGAAGAATCTGATTTTGATGGATTTGATTAAATATGAGATTGGAAATATTTGAAAATAAATAAGAAGTTGGCGATTTATTTTCATTTTGTGATTAGTTTATTTTTATCGCATACACATTCTCAAACTATGATTCTAATTGGTTATACAGTCGGACTTCCGTTTAACAAACTTCCATTTTGCTTTTTTCCATGGGTATTTTTAAAAAGTGCTTAATTTTCCTTTTTTCCTAAATGTGATATTTATTTTTACCATGTTAATTTTTGCCACAATTTATTCAACCCCAATCTATTTAGGCGTACCGTCAGTCTGTACTGTATGAAAACACCGTTCGTTTTACATGTTTGATGAAATACATGCTGGTCTGCACTTGCGTATACTTAGCTGGATTCAGTGGTAAGGAATTTTGTGTCTAATGCGCAACTCTGCTGCATTTTGCAAAAGATTCTCAATTTCAGACTTAATTTTCCGCTCTCTGTAATAGAATTGAAAAATCTCTCGAATTTTTGCTGATTACGGGGACCAACTAAATATTGTCATTTTTTTTCTCTATTAGCGATAGAAAATTTCATTTATCTTGTTAATTTCATCGTTGGTGATGCACCATCGTCTACGTCAGGCAAGCAAATAAGACCGTCAATTGTCAAAAACTTGCCAATGCTGTCTGATTATGATATTTCTTCATGATATTTCTTCAAAGTGCCTTAAAATATTTTTGAGTGCTTAAAAGGTGCTTTTTTTTTTTAACATTTGGCTACACAACCTGAGTAAGTCAGACTCAATTCTTTCTTTTCATAATAATAAAAAAGATTTGATAACTAATAACTGTCTTCTAAGTATAGATTTTGTTTTAAAGATTATTATTTTTCAAGTGTATTTTCACTCATGTGATATTTGATGAAAATTGATATGGCTACCGATGTGGAGGCCACTGTTCCCCCTTTTTAAAGATGTTACCTTCTTTCTTTTAACTGCAAACAACTTATTTAATTTCAAACTTTAATTCTGTACTTGGAAAGTGAGTCGTAACCGGATTAATATGTAGTACTTATCAGTATAATTGAGTAAATCTAGGGACATTTCAAACTTTATTGTATGTTAGTGAAAGAAAAAAATACGGAAGTGCAGCCTTTACGGCGGTGCAACCTATGAGTTCATAATTAAAATTTTTAGCGATTTTTTTCTCAGGTACGGCGTAACTACTAAAAATCATTGTATATAGTTTTTTTTCTGTTTCTTTTACATAAATCTTTAAGTATGGTTACTCATGTTTTCTGCATTAATGTAATGATTTTTGCCTGTGATTATATTTTGACAAATCTCTTTTCCTTACATAATTAGGAATCTAATTAAGTTCCAGAAAAAAAATTATGAAAGAACAAAAATCTTACATTAAAATATCATGTAGTTAGAAATTGTATGTTTAAGTATGAACTGAACATAAGCATAACTAACTGAATCTAAAACTGTTTGTTTCTTATATGCCTGCTTTTTTCCTGTTGTTCATGTAGAAGAACCTTTGAAGACTTGTAAGACAGGTGTTGAAAAATGTAAAAGTACTAAAGAACAGTCCTTCAATTTAGAACTATGCAGGTAACTAAAATATCCTTCTAATTTTGTTTATCACTGTAGATATAGAGTATTAGCTTTCTTACTGAGAAATAAATATTTATAGTTTGGTTCAAGTGAGGTTAATTCAACTTTTTAGGGGAAGTAGCACTTTATAATGTTAAATTTTTTTAATTAATTTTGCAGTTGATTAATTTCAAAATAATTTTATAATTGATAAAAAAATGCACTTTTGCAAATTAAATTACTTATTTTTCACTAATTGCTTTTTTGCAGTGTATAATGTTTCCTTGTTGATTTCCTATAAAAATGTTGTTAAAAGATGCTCAAAACATATTGGATAGAAATTCAAAAATTACAATAAACCCACTTTTTTACTAGCCATTTATTTTTGCACTCTTTTACTATAAGTACCATAATCGCTCTTCATCAGCAACATAGAAGTGTTGGAGCTCTGTTAAGTTCTGGTAGAGCTGAAAATTTAATAATTCCTCTAGAAGTAAGGTAATAAATCCCATCAGTCCTATAATATTTTGAATCAAATCATTACGACTATAAATAAAATTATGAAAGTGAATACTTTAAAACAATGTTGGTAGTGGATGAATTGTTAGATAACTATTCAATTGGCATGATGAAAAATAGTTTTATGACAGGTGTGACTGAGAAATTTATATTGAATGGAATTTAATCTTTGCATAAATATAGTTTAAGATCTTATATCACTCTTATTGTCCTAATTAGGTCAAATTTAGAGCCAAATATTACGAAGTGTGGTTATTTTATTGCAAATACTTAACTGAGACATATTTTAAAACAATTACAGTATAGGACCCCAAATTCGACACTCACGGGACCGACAAAATTCTGTATTTCAGAATTTGCCGAATTTCGGATCTCTTTTGGAAATTCCAATATGGCGCCCGTATATTACAATAATTCAATTATTATACTGTTTATTTCAGAAAACTAATTAATTTCAATAAGTTTAGTTAAGTTTTGATTGTAGATTATGATGAGGTGAATTTAAAACTGTCCCATCTTAAGAAATTTCATTAATTAAAATAATCTATATAATAAAAATAACAATTTATATTTTTTATAAGCTAACAAAATTTTTTTTATAAGCTAACAACTAATAACGATAAAAAAAAACAAGCTAACAACTAAATATGATTTTAAAAAAACAAGTTATCAATTAACAAAAAAAATTAACAGTTAATATCTTATAAAAAAACAAAAGTCTCTAATTTACATCAAATTTAAGAAGCTGCAAAAGGAATAGAATTCATTTTGTACCCCATGTGGTAGTTTCATTGTCAAAAGGGTGTGGCTAATTTATGGTCAAACTGGAGAGGGAAATGTGGGGTGCATTTCGTAATTCTTTGGATTTTGAAAGATAAAAGGAAGTTACTTAGTTTAACAGAAGTTAAACTAAGTTACTTAGTTTTTTCTCTTATTAATAAAAATTTCTTTTAAAAAAATAGATCGGATTAAGTGCCGAATTTCAGGTCCTGCCGGATTAGGGGTCCTCTACTGTACTACCTAAAATCAACAAAATTGTGTGGATTTATTATAGAGTTAGTATAAATGGGGTGTCAAAAGCTCACATATGCTATTTAAAATTCGTTTGTTGTAAAAAAGAAATTAGCATTTTAAAGGTTGTGATAAAGTATGTAGAAGTATTCCAAAAGAGCAAAATGAGAAAGATGTAGGTTTTTATCAGAAAATTAATGAAACTTGATTTAGTTCTTTGTGTACATTACATCAGCAAACTTGCATATGAAAAACAATGACTTGATTTCTTTTTCTGTTGCTTCATGTAGCATAATTACATTATAAGTATTACCAGTATATAGATAAACTATGAAAGTAAAATGTAAATCATAATCAAGTAAAATGTTTATCATAACAGTGTAAAAGTAATATTTTCTGTAATGCATTTCGAAATGGTTGAAGAGCTATTATTTTCACAAATTCGTGCCTATGAACTTTTTACTCATGCAACAAAATTTTAGTTACCTGTATCATTGATTTCCAAAAGGGCTTAATGCTCAAATTGTAAATATCTCTTAATTGCAATATTTTTCAATTCTTTATTTATTTTCAAATTATATGTTTTCATGCCAGAATTAATAAGTATAATTTCTTAGGTGTATCTTTAAGAAAAGCTGTATTTTATGTGTATGCATATTATTATTCCACTAAAAATTTTTGTTTTAATATAATTAAAAATTTCTGATAATTTCAGTACCATTAAAATAAGAAACATTTTTTTAAATTTCGCATTTTTTTAAAAAAATAATAACTTTCTCGTTTAATGGAAAAAAGTAAAAAATATGTATTAATTTTACATATTTGTAAATATTTTGCTATCTTTATAGGGAGATTCATTAGTTTCACAACCTGTTACTGTTATATTTATCTATTTTGTCATTATTTTCTTTAATCTTTTTATTTGTTAGAATAATATAATTTCTTCAAGAATGGAGCTTTATTAAAAAAACATATTTTTATTTAAAAAATCTACATATTTTTATTAAAGCAATGCATATTTAATTGCTGTTGGAAAATAAATAAACTGAAATTTTTTTGACACACAAGTATGCCTGTAATGCTAATTTAATATGAAAAAAAATTATATTTTAATGATATATGCTCATATCTTATAGGATTTTTAAAGGTTTTTCTTTGTGGCTTACTGACCTAAATCTACATACTCCGAATGTTTGCTATTCTGCTTTGGATCCAAAATATTGTTGTGAACGTCTGCAATTAATTTATAATGATGATAAAGTAATTATAAAATTTCTTCTTATCTCTCTCTTAAGAATTTAATTAGTCTGCTTTTTTATTAAAAACATTTCTTTCTCGTTATTAGAAAAATGCTACAACTGCATTCAAATTAAGTGTACGAAATTTTGCTAGACATTTTGTGTTTAAAATTTTGTTTTTTTACTATCACTTATTCATTTTTTATTCCATTTTTTATTTTTTGAAACAAAAGCTAGCATCTAGCATGAAATCAAGTTACTTTAAATTATGCTTGGAGCACTAAAACCTGACACTAATAAACAGTATTCATATAATTAACTTAAGAGTTACTGCAATATAGACACTGTAAATATATATTCAATGTGTGAAATTAGGTATACATATGTGGTATTTGGCAGAAAATGTGAATTTAGATTAGCTGTATGAAATTATGCATATTTCAAGCTGTATGGTAGATATTCAATGTTTTCCTCTAACCTTTATTTGTATAGTTATTGAAATAGACAATTACCTAGATATTCACCATTTCCTATCCATTTTGGTGATATTTTGAATTCTATTACTGAAAATAATAAACGATCCAGGACAGCAGAAATGCATATTTGTGAACTCAGAGTAATTCATTTTTACATGTCATTCTACTACCAAACAGAAACATTCACAATTGCCATTCTTCAAATCATACCTATGCATATTAGAGTGAAATACTGACAAATCCTTTAAAGTAAGCTTTATGTTAAATTTAAAAAGTCATAAAATATTTGTCATCATTGACAGCATGAGTTCTGTTTACAAAATACACAAACTGAATTAAGAAAAACAGCTTACATGTCAAAGTAAAGGCACAAGTTGGCCTAGATCTGTATACTATGTGTGAGAAATATGGTTCACAGGACACTATAATTGAATGCTAACAATTTAATTTTCAATGTAATTGCCAAAAAGATCCTGAAATCTATGCTTGAGGGGAAAAAATCAATTATTTATACAATTTCTTCATTTTTTCATATTTTTTTAATAACCCTAAAACTCAACTTTTAGAAAATATGCTAAATAAGGTTTTCCATTAAATAACAGAATTTAATGTTTATAATATTTGAGGTCATTCTTTTCTTCTTAAAATACCTATTCAGTTTGGTAGTGTAATCTAGTATTATACTTATGGAATATTATTTAATATCTCTTAATTCATAACATTTAATGTGTTTTATTCATTGTTTCTGCTAATAATTTTATTTTCTTAAATTGTTTTTTATTTTATTAAGCTCTAGAGATGTATAATCTGTATTCAATTTGATATAATTTTACAGTTATTTATTGTTGGTTGTCAAAAGCAGAGTTGAATTATAGAGAAAAAAAAAATACTTATGATAAAACATAAAATTTATTACATTTTTAAAATTTTATCTGAAAAAAATTTGGCAATGTTGGCGAAAAATAGCAATGCTATTGAATTAAAATATAAAGCATATAAAAATGTGAGAATTAGTATTACCTTTTAAAATTAAGGCATATGTGAATCCTTGAAATCTTATCACTAATTATGACACCTTTACTTTGGCAAATTACATTTTACTTGTATTTCAAAAATTGAAATTTATTTTTAAGGGATTTTATTTAGCTGCACAAACATTCATGTATAGTAAAAAATATTTTGATGCAAAAGACTACATAATTAACTCTAATATTTATTTCTCTTAATTTTTTTCCTATGATGCAAGTTTTTTTTATTTCCACCTATTTGCTTTGGTTGGATACTTGCTATTCTTCTTTATAATAAGTTGCAGGGGTCCTACACATTTACCAACCTAAACGAAAGAATTTATGCAAATGTATTGTTTTGACTAGTTTAGTGCCAAAGCACAAGTTTGACTTTCTGCATGAACTTTTGAAAAAAAATTCTAATTTTTTTTTATTCATTTTTTTCTAATATGCATGTTGTCCCGATGCTAAGTTAACCATGTAAGTAACTTCCTTTTACATTATTGGGTGGTGTGTGATTTTTTCATTAATTCTTGAAATTTTGTGAATATCAAAACCATTGATTCGCTTAGTTTCACAGATCTCAAATCTGTTGGGTTTGCCTAAGTGCATAGTTTTTTAAGCGCAGTGTTCTAAGAAGCAACAAGACAACCTGGCAGCAAGTCAACAAAATATTACTTGAACAAGATTATGAAGATGATTATTTTCATTATGATAGTGAAGAAAAATTAATATGTATAGCAAAGAATTTCCCAGAAAATTGCTTCATGATTGAAATAAGCTTTAAGCTTTAAAACTTGAATGCACTTTCTATTGTTATTTGATATGATCTATTTTGATATTATTAAACAAATAGTTCATTGTTTACTTTAAAAATTTACAGCTACGTGCAATTTTGACTTCAAAAAAAATTTTACCTAGAAAAATAAAATAATTATTATATTGCTTTTGTTTTATCTTTTAAAAAATTATGTTAAATGGATCTCAAAAGAAATCTATTTATATGTAATGTGATATTTGTGTCTACTTGTTACAAAAAGATCTTTTTATATTTCAACGTTTTCTTTTTTTTCCTGATACAAATTGTTACAAAACCCTTAGATTTTTCCTGATACAAAAAATTTATACAATTTTTTGAAAAAAAGTAAGACCCCTTTATTTGCCATACTTTTTGATTGATTTTGCTCCAATGAAGTATTTTGAAGGAAGTTTATTTTGGAAAGAAGCAGTCCAGGGAATGTAGGAATAAGATATAATTGCAATAATAGATAATTTAAGACACTAAAACAATTTAATGCTTTGGTTGATATTTACTATAAGAAGTTTTGAAAAACTGAATTATTTTAAAATTTTATTTTGCTTTATTTACAGGAACTTTGGTTTGATTTAATATCTACTAATGGTATGCAAGAGATGTTAGGACAAAAACTTTCCTCATGGACTGTAAAAAAATCCTTTTCTATGGAGAGCTTTCAGTCGCAAGATAAGAACTGTAAATCGATTTTCATGATTACTATTTTTTTGTGTAAAGATATGCAAGTACTGTTGTACTTCCCTATAAGAGGCATCCTGAGACCAGACATTTTTCTCTAAATAAAAGTTCCCTTATTCAGAGGTTACATTAAAACTAAAAAATAATTAATAGTTAAAAATACTTAGTAATTCAGGTAAACAGATTTCATTTAATTATTTTTCTACTCTTCTGCATGTTGCATATCTACTGATATTTCTTGTCTACAAAGTCTTAAACTTTATTTGCTACTTATAGTCTATGACTTTGCTTTAACTTGTCAAACCAAGTATTTGGTGTTTTGAAGTCTAAATTAATTTTACTTGTTCCAAATCTCTGCCTTAAATTTCGAAAAAAGCGTTTTCAATTTCTAACTGTGTTTATCACACTGTTTATTTTAATTTTAATCTTTTCTTTTATCAAACCACCATAATAGCATGTCTCATAACCTGATAGATAACACTAAACTTCTCTTCTCTATATAACTTCACAGCCCTCGCATGATCTAAAAATATACATATTCTTACATTTTCCACATTAGAATGTTCTCTAGAATTAGCAATACATCACTATAACTGAACAGTCTGACCATCTAACTACTTTTTCATTGATCAATGTTTCTCTTATATGGCCATGGGGGTTCCTGGATGGTATGGCATCTTCTCCCTACCCACAAAAGTCTTTATATGTTAAATTATCATTAATTCCATCACATGTTTGAATTGTTCATTTCTACCTTGAAGCAGTAATCATTAAAAGAGAGAGATAAACATATTAACAAAGGATATTTTAATTATACTTTTGTGTTTCTCTACCTCTCTCTTACTTTTTGAAACTTATCTGTATGTCTTGGTTTGATGTAGACACATTATGCCTTCTATTAAAAAAAATTTGACCAATAGAATTGTTCCTAAAGTAGAGGGTGTCCCTTATAGAAAATAATAAGAATACACAAATACACCTTTTGTCTGTTAAATGAATTAGGATAGCTGGTTGTTATGAAACATTTTATTTTGATTTCAAATATATAATGAATTCATTCTATGGGCAATAATTTTTTGTATTACAAAATTAAATAAAGGAAATATTGTAAAAAGAATTTAAGGTACATATTTGTGTGTATTCCATTAAGTGTAAGCCATTTTCTATCGTATTTTGCTTCAGAATCCTTTTTAGTGTCATGCAATTGCCTGAGCAAGTGTATTTGGATTTCAATTTCCTTGATAATGATTATTTAAAGTTGAAATAGTTTGCTGGAAATGCAATCACAGCTCATCACTCACACCACTGTGATATTCAAGAGAAAGTCTAATGTGAATCTAGAAAATGTAATTTTAAGAATATGTTTCCTCCCAAATCTTTAAAATTTGAAGGAATTAAGAAATCAGTTGTCTATAGTTCTCAGGTTTTCTAAATAGCAAAGTATGCTTGTTTTCACTATTTAAAATAAGCATTAATTGCATTTATTATATGCTTAATAAATGTTTTAAAAAATTAAACCCGATTAGCAACTGTTCATGTCATATTAGGCTTTAACGTAGAAAAGCACATGAAAGACCACTGTATTTATCCTTCTAACACAAACACTGTCAACAATTGTGATGTTTTTTATCTTTTAACCAGCTTTTGATCGGATCACGAGACATCTTAAGCTTTGTAATGCAAAATCTTTCAATTGTACTGCTGATATTGAACCACCAACACTGGACATTGAGGAAGCTGCTTTGTCTTCTTGGGATTTACTGCGTAAGCTAATTGAAACCAATCAGAGACTGATTTTTGAAAAAGCCAAGTGAGTTTATATTTTTTTAATTGAAATTATATCTTTATATAATTCAATTAAAAATTTAATTACATTTAATTAACTATCATATTAGGTTGTAAAAAAACATTAAATTAAAAGTTATCTTAGCTGGTGCAAATGGTGCTCTGTACCATATCCACAAAAGGTTGGTCTAAATTAGGGATGGCAAATTTCATCCACAGTTGAAAAAGCCACTCTGGAAAATATAGGCTTCAACCAACTCAAGATAAAGAAATAACTATAATATCGAGAAAAAAAATTGACAGTTTATATTTGCAATCTATTATAAATATTACAAATATTATTATAAAAATTAAAATATTACTCAAATAATCTGCAGTGATAGGCTGAGATGGCTGCGTCATCGGTGGAGAAGCCCTGAAAATAGTACCATGAAAAACGTCACCTTTAAGAACTCCAAGGGGTCATGTCCCATAGGTAGACCTCCTACTAGAGGCTCAATGACAGCAAAAATGACCTTAAAACCCTAAAGATTGGAAGGGAGTTGCCATGGACAGGAAGTGCTGGCGTTTGTCAGCTTTTGAGGCAGCCATGGTGTGCAAGAAGCTGTTGCGCTGACAAGGAAGATTATAAATAATAGTGTTAATTTCTAAGCTATTTATTTATCATTTTTAAATATATGAAAACTAAAAAACAAGGATTGGAAAAAAAATCAATGTAATAAATTTCTTTAGAAATTTGAATAACTTTAAGTCTTCAATATTTTACATAAATTCGAATAATAAAACCACATCTGATATTTATTATAAAGAACTGCAAGAAATCCTATTAAAATTTTTCATTATTGCTAAATTAACAAATCATATACGGTGTTAAGTCGCGTATCCGGAATCGGTGGGACTCCATTAAGTCCCGTATAATAGATTTTTCCCTATAATAGACCCCCAAGGTAAACAAAGCTTAAAATGATTTAACAAATGATCTGAATCTAAGAAGCAAAAAATAAATAAACATTATTTTTAAGGGGAATAATGTTTTAGCATTAAAATATATCTAATCAATCAAATATAAAATATTAGGAAAAAAATATTGCTGAAAATATGGAAAATGAAAAAAATTTAACAGTTATGAAAATATTAATCCGCCATTTTGAGCTAGAACGATTCAAGCAGGAAGGGGAAATTCATGTCATTCTGGAACAAAGCTTAAAATGATCCAAATCTAAGAAGCAAAAAATAAATAAACATTATTTTTAAGGGGAATAATGTTTTAGTATTGGAATATCTAATCAATAAAATATGAAATATTAGAAAAAAATATATTATTGCTTAAAATATAGAAAACGAAAAAAAATTGACATATGAAAATATTAACTAGAATGATTCAAGCAAGAAAGGGAAATTTCCATCATTCATTAAGGTGGATAGGTGGAGGAGAAAAATTCATTTCCTCCTTATTTGTGAAAGAAAATAAGTGTAAAGAGGAGATCATTTAAGTTGAGGGTGGGGAAGTAAGAAATTATTGTTTTCTCCCCAATCTTTGGCTATCAATCAAGCATAAAGGCGGGGCACGCTGATCGGGTTCTCTTTATTTTTTCTTCTATGACTGAAAGAATCTGCTAAAGAAAGAATGTTACCCCCTTTTTCCCCCGCCTCCTAAATATTACATGGTATGGGAAAGAACGAATGTTTTGTTTCTCAAGGACGTGTATCCTTTTAGACCTATTCACATTTTCCATTTTAACTCCCCCTCCACCTTAACGCTTGCCCCGTTTACCCTTTTTCACAGTATTTCTTCTTTCAATAAAAAGGTTCCAGGAAATGCCTCTTTTACTAGCCACCTGCATGGGAAAGGAGGGTGAGGGGACTCAGTTGCGGTCTTTTCAAAACAAATCTCCCTCTTTTTCCTACATTCCAAGGGAGGAGCGTCACTAACAGTCACTCAATGGTCTTGGTAGATCTTCACTTCCCCTTTCTGGTGATTTATGGGTTCGATGCATAAATCAGAGGTTCAGTGCAAGCTAGAAAAAGAGAAAATGTGTTAAAAGACCTTTTTTTTTTAAGGAAACGGGAGTTTTTTGTTTATTTTGATTGTTAAAAAGTGTCCAGGAAATCGACCCTTCCGGGAAACGGACGTCCGGATATGGGACGTTACACTGTACTAAACTTAAACTATGCTACTAGTCACACTGTGAATTCACAAGTTCAAATTGCATACTAATTTTTATTGTCAAATAGTATTAAGTTTGAGTGCTCTAATCAATTCTGAAATAATATGATATATAGATCTGGAAATTTGCTATGAAACTAAAACAAATATTAAGTTGTAGTTTGTTTTTAAAGCATTAATGTGAAAAACTTTTAACTTCTGGTACTGTACTAAGTATGATTTGTTTAAATTAAAGCTATTCTTATAATGCCTATTTTAAGACATTTGTTGTATTAATCATTTTTAGTTTCTTCCTCTTTGTCCAGTTTGTTTAGTTTTTTATAACTGCTTTCTTTCTTCTTGACAAAATACCCACCCTACTAGATTTCAATAAAGTAAATGCTTCAGCATTTACCAAGTGTGTTAATTTTCTGCGGAAGTCTCCTTTACCCGTCCTTGCTGAATTGGTGTAAACCAATATTATAATTGAGTAATGGGTTTGCTTAATGTTTCAAATTTATAAAATCTAATTTTCATTTTTAAGTCCTTATTCTCAAAAGCATTAAGTGGTGACCTTATATTGCATTTGATATTCAATCTTTTAATTGCTTGGTTAAAAAAATTCTTAATTAACAATACTGGAATTGATCTGTGGCAATCCACAAACTGTATAAATTTGATCGAGAAACCTTATCCATTATATCCAATTTTTTATTTCACTTAGGATCTTTAGATAAATGTTTGGTAGAAAGGTCACACCGTCAAATGTCCTATTAACAATTCTACAACCACCTAATTTTTTTAATCTGAAACTGAAGGAAAATTTATCTATAAATACCTGGAGGTCTATTTTCCGAAAACGCTTATTTTCTGGACTCTTTTTGACAATCGAATTAAATAAATCTCTTTACCTTTTTTTTAAAAAAAAATTCCATTATTTGTTTCTACAGGAATCCTTTCAAAATTCTTCATGAATTTAGGATAGCTATAACTTAACATTTAAACTGCTTTAATGTGCACACCTTAAAGTTGTTACAAAGACAAGAGCAGTTAAAAAAAAAAACTTTGTTGAGAGAAATAAACTATGAATATTAATAATATTTGAAAGAAAAACCAGCAGATTGGCTTTGTTTTGATTTATATTATAAATCTTTTCTGTAAAAAATATCAACTCAATTCTGTACCCTGTTAAATATTTTTTTTGAATTTATCAAAAAGGATTGATTTATTTTTTTAAGTTAGGAGCTTGTTTTTAATGATATTTTTATTTTAATGCCCATGCTACTAACCCTTCTTACCAAATGAAAGAAGAGAGAAAAATGTGTGTTTATACGTGAAGGAGAATGTTTTGACTTAACTCGTGCTTACTTTCTCTTTTTTATATGTATATTTTAGTAGTAATTTTTATTTATCATCTATTATTCTATCATACTAAACTTTTTAATTAACTGTTATTTAACTAGTAACAAAACGATGTTAATTATCATTCATTTATTATTTTTTATTGAATAACTCATATTTTTTTAATCTAATACAAGGTTTATTTAATATAGCTTTGTTAAATTGCAAATTTTATTATAATTTAATTTGAAACTAATGTTTAATTCATGTCAATTTTTTAATCACGTTTTTGTAGTTTTTTGCTATAATGGTTGAAAATAGTTTAAAAATATTTCATACATTATTTGATTTGTCATCATTTGAAAGGAAATGAGTTTCAAACAGTCATTATTTTTGCTTCTCGAGCTCTGAATTTTTTTTTCTTTTTTTTTCCATATTTAAGAATTTTAATGAATCTTTCTAATTAAGCTGACTTAAAATTGCACTAGTTTATTAATTATTAAAATTGCACTTTCTATTGCATTACTTGATATTGCATGCCTTTACAACTTCAAAACTAATAAATAAATATGACTAAAGATGACAAAAAAATATTGCTCAAATCTGGAATAATTTTTGTTTTAAATTACGAAATATTATAAATGGCTATTGCCTTTTAGATATATATCTAACCCACTGTGTTCCAGTAAGAATCTAAAATAATAAGTGAAAGACTAGCTAATGTACTTTACGTATTAGTGAGAGTCTAAGATAATGAGTAAAAACCTTAAAAAGAAGATCAGAATAGATCAGATTTTTTTTTAAACTTTTGCACATCAAGCTTTGTCAACATCTCATGGTGTTCATACACTTTCATTTTATTCAATATTTTTAACTATTTTTTTTTTCTTTTTAGAAGCTTTACAGATTTTTCAAACAAACTAACGCAACTTAACTTTGACTATGAAAATTTAGTTCCTCAAGAATATGATATTTATGATACTAAGGTAAATATATATTTGTTACTTATTTATTTATAAAGTATTGTAAAGCATTCCTACATCATCCCGTTTTGGGCCGTTTGAGGTTAAGGCTCCACATGGAAAATTTAGAAATACTGCTATTTCAGTAAAAAAAGTAGCAGACATTTCTATTTTATATGACAATTTAAAAAAGTTTTGAATGTAATTTACATGTGATGTAGTCAAGGGCGTATTCGAGGGACGAGAGAAAACAGTTAAACAGGGGTAACAGAAAAAATAGCTTTTATTAAATGTTTTTTCTTAAGAAAATGACAGAGAATTTCTTTATATAAACTTACAATTTGTATTTTCTTATCATCGAAAATTTTACAAAATATGCCAATAATGTTTTTTGTGCTTTGAGGATGGCACATGCCCGTAATAAATTTTGTCCTAGAACCTGTAAAAGTTTTGTTCAACCTTGAATGTAGTTATCTTTTCCCCCCATTGCATTGTAATTTTTGAAAGCCCCGCATGGACACACCGGTCCCATTAGGCGCACATTATACCAGGTTACACTCAGTTTTATACCGCAAGCAGAGGTTATCAAAGCAAAACAGAATGACGCTACTTATTGGGCTAACTTCTTATTGTTTGTTAGGGTATGAATCTTATGTAAATGTAATAACACTGTACTAAAAATAGTTTTTTCTGCGGATTTCCGCCTTTTTTTCCAGGTGTTTCTATTTTTTTCGCTAATTTCCGCGGAAAAGTTTTTTTGAACGAGTTAAAATATTTTATGAGGAATTTAATTTTCCACGGAGCGAAAGTATTGAAGTCCTCATTCCTCCCTCTGAAGTTTCTCTAAAAATCATTTCCTTGGGATAAAACTGGTTGACCTTTATACAGGGATGATATTTTTTCGCTTTTGCCACTCGAATTTCAGCTTTTTTATCAAAAACTCCAATTCTCTGAAAGTTTCGTTTTTTTTTTATAATTATCTGCTTTTTTTTTTCTTTTTTTTTTAATTCAGTCGTTGTAGTAAAATAATTTTATTTATTTACGATTTTCAAAGATAAACAGAAAATTCAAACTATGACATAGCTGCTAACCCTTCCATATTTTTACTTATTTTAACTATTTTCTCCGCTTTTACGCACAGAAAATAAGATTTTCTGTATTTATATTCGTCCGCCCGATAACTCGTATTTTCGCAATTCAGACGTCGTCACCCTGTTGTCTGCTGTGAAAGGAAAGAAAAATAAATAAATAGAAGTGGATTTGCAGTGAAAATACTTATTTGCTCATTCAATTAATTTTGTAAATTTTTATTTATTATGTTTAAACAAAAGCAATACAGACAAGCCTTTTAGAAATCCCAAGTCCAGACTCTGCAAATATCTCGATTCTTATTCACACAATTTTAATATCAATCCTCGATTTTCGTATTTACCTGATTTAAAACTTCCGCGTTGCGATTCTTATTTATGAGATTTAAGAATCCAATATCGCATTTTGTATTCATGCATTTTTAAAATCGCGATTTTATTATCAAACATCGATTTTCGTGTTTACCTGATTTGAAAGATGAACATTGCGATTCTTATTCAGGCGATTTAAATATCGTACATTGCGATTCTTATTTACGAGATTTAAAAATCCAATATCGCGATTTGTATTTACTCTCTTTTAAAACCCTATGTAGCGATTTGTATTCGCGCAAGCTTAAAATGCAATGTCCTGATTCGTTTTTGCGGTTGTAATATCAAACATCGATTTTCGTATTTATACGTGCTTTAAAAATTAGACATTGTGATTTGTATTTGCGCAATTTAAAAATTATGCATCGTGATTCGTATTTACGTGATTTAAAAATTACGCATCATGATTTGTATTTTCGAATTTTTTAAAATTCGATATAGAGTTTCATATTTACGTGATTTAAAAGCCTCATATCAGGATTCATATTCTCTCAATTTAAAATCATGCATGTGTATTCATTCTTGTTTCCTCTTTTTTACTTTGACTTCTCTCATCCCCGAATAAATAAGGATAGTTTTAAAATAAGAGAACATTTTAGAATTTACATAGTAAAACAAACTTATCCATCAACCTGTATAATATGCATGAACTCCGATCCCGAAAAATTAGTCACCATCGCAAGAAATTCGGCCTGTGGTTTTTTTGGAATTCCCGAAAAAAATATTCATATTTACTCATTTTCCAACCAATGCATACGTGATTTCAAAATTACATTCACAGGATTTAAAGTCACACATCATGATTCCAATTTAGGCGATTATCATATATTACGTTTTGTATTCACAGGATTTAAAAGTCCCTATTATGATTCATGTTCAAGTTACTTTAAATTATGCATCACAAATCATAATAACATGATTTTAAAATGAAGCATCAAGATTCGTATTCACATGATTTCAAAATCAAATGTCGAGATACGTATTTTCATGATTTTTAAATCAAACATCTAGATTCATATTCGCTGAATTTTGAGATCAAACATCGAGATTTGTTTTCTCATGATTTTAAAATTCAATGTCAAGAATCGTATTTGCTTTAAAAATCGCACATTAAGATTCATATTCACGCAATTTAAATAGAACCTTGCTTCAAAATTTTTATTAGTACGTTGATAACATTCTGTGGATAAATGCTTCCTACATAATGCTTCCTACATAAGGATTTTAAGATCAAACATCGAGATTCGTTTTCTCGTGATTTTAAAATAAATTGTCAAGAATCTTATTTGCTTTAAAACATTAAGATTCATATTCACGCAATTTAAATAAAATCTTGCTTCGAAATTTTTATTACTACGTTGATAACATTCTGTGGATAAATGCTTCCTACATACACTTTTTTGCTCAAATATCAGGTATTTTTTCAATTATTTACAAAGTTATAGCTTGTGACATTTTCAGATATCGATTCTCATCTTTTTTGGTTTCTTACTAATCTCATCACTGTGGTATAGATCAGTAAAGAGTTTAATAAAAATGGAACAGTTTCAAAAAAATCCAAGATTTTCAAACAAATATCCCCAAAATGAGATGGCAACAAAATAGGTTGAAACTAATTACAAGAGTTAATCAATGCATGCAGAAAGTTTTTTAATTGAGATTTTGTGTTCACAGAAAGTTTTTTGTTTTATCCAACTCTGCCTATCCACACAATCACCGTTAATTATTCTACAACACACCAATATGGTATGATTTTTTACTAGTAAAATGTAAATCAGAGTTCGTCCACAAGAAAACAGTAAGTCAGTTAAATTTCAAATAGCATTAAGTTAATGATTTATAATGTTAACAATTTTATTTATTTATTCAACAAACATTGTACTAAGTTTATTTATTTGCGAACACTTATTTTTTATGCTTAAAAGGTTAAACTGATTTTTATCAAATTATTCCATTTTTGTTTTGTTTGTTACATTTTAATTTTACAGTCGCCTGCATAACATAATTAAATAGAATGTCAGTTAAATTTCAAATAGTATTAAGTTAACGATTTATAATGTTAACAATTTTATTTATTTATTCAACAAACATTGTACTAAGTTTATTTATTTGCGAACACTTATTTTTTATATTTAAAAGGTTAAACTGATTTTTATTAAATTATTCCATTTTTATTTTGTTTGTTACATTTTAATTTTACAGTCGCCTACATAACATAATTAAATAGAAAGTTTCACAAATTTTAATTGTGCTGTTTTGAAAATTGTGGTAGGTGATTTAGTTTGTCTAAGGGAAAAGAAGGCATAGGAAACATATAATTTATAAAGTTTTTAAATGGTTGCCACCAATAGTGTAAGACCGTCATGAAGAGCTTTGAAGCACTTTCTTGATCTGTAAGAATTACCTTCTATACCCACTTTAAGAGAAACCATGTTTTTTCATTGTGTACATTAGTTTGTTCTTGTTCTCAAAGGTCCTGGGTGTTAATGTTTTGTTTCAGTAGTTCAAATCCTCTTGGCCAGTGAAAAGCTTAAAGTCAGTGTTCAAACCCATTGTTGGTAAACAAGAAAACTGCTATTAACAATGAGGGAGAATGACTTATAATTTTTTCTGATGCAGATTTTAGAAATTCCCAACCGTTATAATATTTCTAAGTTCATCATGACTATCTTAAAGCATTGGCAATAGTTTCTTTTGAAGAAAGCTCCTTCAGCCTTATCTGAAGCTTTTTACCAAATGAACCATTTAGATCTTGCCGTCAAAATTTTATATGTTGATTAAAATATGCAAGCTTTTTGTAAAATAATATATCTTATATGGATAGTTTTATATGTCTGCCAGAGATTTCTTAAAAAATTAAAAATCTATTTTAGAAACTTAAGTAAAATAGCTCTTTGCTCATTGGTGTAGCTAAAGACTGATAAGAAATATCTTGGAAATCCTTAAACTTCTCCCCTTTACCCTTATGTCATGATATTTAAATTCAATGTTCTACTGAAATTAGAACTAGTAAAATGTATTGAGTAAAATGTATAATGGATTGAGGCTTTTATTCAAAGCCATAGAAAAAATAAAAAAATTTCTTAATCTCAGCTGTATCTCCCAGGACCCAGGATTTATATAAATCTTTAATACTCTAAGTCTTGACTAAAGAGACTTGTATTCTACTTGGCAAATGTGCTTCTTAACTCTTTGTTTACCATATTATTAAAAAAATATCACAAATTTGTGAAACTTTTTTGTTAAATTAAGAAATTTCTATTTTATATATTCACGAATACTTTTTTTTACTATTCAATATCTTCTAATTTTTCAGAATTTAAATTAATTTAGGTTTAAATAAATTAATAATGTTTTTAACTTGACTGAATAAAAGTCCCGTCAGGATTCAGTACATAACTGATGATACTTTAATAGCAGAAGTTATACAATAAAAACTTAAAGAGTAATAAATACTTATGTATATATTTTTGATTTCTAAATATTAATTAGAAATATTAAAATGTAAGCCACATTTACAGTGAAATTATTTTAAATTTTTTATTGTTGTTTCAAATTGGGATATTTTTATATTTGCAATTACATTTGTTGTGTAACTGTATTTAGTTGCTGATGGAATTTTGGCCCACACACTTTTAATTTTTTCAATTGTCAAGTTCACCTGCCAAGCCTTGACTTCTATATACATCTGCAAATAAAAATTAAATATTGAACTTACATAAAAAAATATTATTACAACTTGCTAGAGAAAGCAAATCATGCATAAATATTCAAATGAATGTAACCAAACCACTTAAAATAAGTCATCACTATTCTAAATATAATTTTAAAAATATTGAGTATGGATATAAAACTCACCGCCTTAGAAGCCTCACCGACTTAGAAGCCCCAAGAAAAAACCAACACATTATGAAATTTTATTAAGAGATATACATTTAATGCTTTATTTCATAACTGGTGAAAAATGTTAAACAGGGGTCAGTCCAGACATTTTGTGAAAGGTCCGTTTTTCGTGAAATTGTGAAAAAATTACTCACATTCTTTCAACCAGGGTCCTCTTTTATGAATTTGTGCAAATAGGGTCCGTTATTGCAAAAAAAAAATTTTTTTCAAGGAGTTTTTAAATTGTATAGACATACAAGATTATGCTCAACACTGTAAAATTGTAATTGAAAAAATTAAAATTTAAAAAATAAACAACAATTGCTGCTTCTAAATTAGAGATGCAACATACAAATATTTGGTATTTAGCCTATACTGCTGAACGCAGAATATTCATTTCGGACGAATAATGGAAGAATCGTCTGCCGAAGACAAAACTTAATTCGTTTACATCCATCTTTCTTGTTTTCTGCCCTGGAAAGGGTTTATTCGATTAACAAAATAATAATGAAGATAAACCAATTTGTGAAGGGTCCGATTAAAAGAAAAATCATTTTGTGAAGGGTCCGTTTTTAAGTTAAAATATTTTGTGAAGGGTCCGTTTTTATGAAAAGATATTTTGTGAAGGGTCCGTTAACGGACCCAAATTTCTTCTAAACAGACCCTTGTTAAAGAATCAATAAAAGAATATATAGAAGACTTACTTGTAAAATTGATTAAGATAGAAAGTGAGAGTCAAAAAAACAAAGTTTATAAAATAAATGCCTCAAATGATATATAAACAACTAAATAGTTCCATATGCGATGTTTAACTTAAAATAATTATGTGTTGCCAACTATTAATGGCAAACAGAAAGTTTCGATGGGATATTTTGCTCCTTTTCAATGCTGTATAAAAATATTATTAGTGGAACTTAGTCCCATTGGTGCATAATGGGTAAACATTTTGAAATTATTAAAATAACAGTCTGTTTTAAGTGGATTTGTGTGGGTTCTTGTTTTTAAGGTGTCTGTGATGTTTAAAACAACTTTTTTACGCTCTCATTTACTCTCTCTCAAGTATTGAAAGTTATAACACTGACGAATAAGTCTGGTTTCATTTATTCAAATAAAATTGTTCACCTGAGGATTATTTTAACATTGCAACATCTCTTATGCATTCAAATAATATAAATCTTAGGTAATGTAACTTATTCAATTAAAAAAAGTCTTGTATATTTTTCTTTGACTAGATTGAAGTTAAGAAAGAATGTTCTAAAGGTATTAACTGTTCTGGCCCAAGACATTTCAAATTAAAAGTAAGTCTCTTCAACTTAAAAATATAATAATAATAACTTTTTGATTTAATATGTAACATTTATTTATATATTAGGTTCGTCGATATAGTCCTAATCTAAGAATACAAGAAAAACTAGAAAAGAATCAAGTTGACCATCGAATGATTACAGAGCAACTTTTGAATTTTCCAATGCATCGACTGTGTTCGGCATCAATTCATGTTGAAAATTACATCAAGTATGTTTAAAACTATGTTAATGTGTTTTTAATTATGATACATTTCCAAATATAAGCCCGTCCATATATAAAACAGAAGTATACTTTTTCTTTGAAAATTCATCCAAAATTCAATAAGCCGGCATGTAACTAATTATAAATTAATAAACTGATGTATAACTAATTACAAATAAATAAGCTTCTAAAAAATAAGACATGCTATCTTAGTTGGTAACTTTCAATTTCTCTTATGCCTAGCATTCTTAGTTTATTTATCTTTGTTCAGAATAAAACCCCATTAAAAGTATAAGTGGCAATTCTTACCTTTTCCTCTTCTCTTCAACTTATGGATTGTCAGGGTGGCCACCCACCTGGAATTATCAGGAAATTTTTTTATATTGGAAAAAACCTAAAAATCAGGGAATTTTTTTGTAATTTAAATTATTTTACTATCCAATATATCTACTTTATTTAAATGGATATTTATCATCAAATAGTTGAAATATCATCAATGTAGCAATACTTTGCTTGCATTAAAATTCTCTCCATTATTACTGTGCTAAACTTGAATGCTCCGATGTTGCTAAAAGAATGAAAAAATCTTAAAGCTCTTTGAAGATCATGGGACTATGCAGTTTAGGAACGACAAAAATTGTAGTGGATGTGAAAGAAGGGGTTAAGATATTAGCTTCTGTTTATAAAAGTAGGTTTTTTTTATCTTCTAGTCAGTGGGCTAAATTCTTTCACCATTCAAGTTTGTTCGGATGCTTTGGGGGTATTTTTTTCTTTTAAGCAAATGTTTTAGTATTTTTAACATAATAAAATTCTCCAAAGAATAATTCGTTATAATTTAATAATAGATTTTATCTTGTACTCTTTTTCTAAAAGCTTTTGTACTTCCATCCTATAAATTATTTTTTCTCAGCAAAGCCAACCAATTACTCATTTTCTTGAATCGCTAACAGCAAAATCGTTACAATTATTGCATTGATGCTAATTTTCTGGATTTCGTTTTAATCTTTTATAACATATTTTATTAATTTTTTTAAAAGGTTCTTTTATGAACGAACTAGATGTTAACATTAAATTTTACTGTTTTGTTGGTAAATATTTGATCTTTGATTCAAAATTCGAATTGTGTATTAATCACTGTGTCAAAAGTTTGTAAATGTTGCTTACATTCCAGAGATGATATTTCTGAAACTGTTTCTCCTGTTACCCTAAAAAGCTTGTAAAAACAATGGAATGTATGGAAAATATTTTAAATGATGTATAAATTTAGAATATAAAAAAATGTGTTTATACTTGTTTATTAAAAAGAAAGAAAACGAAACATTGTTTTTTGTTCTGCATTGTACAGGTACAAGTTTTAAGTTGGGCAACCAGATGACCAAAATTTTAAACTTAATATTAAGTAAACAAGATATAATTTCCAAGGTAAAAAATTTAAGATTCAGAAATAATGACTTTTAACTTATAAATATCAGTTTTTAATAAGTTGTAGGCTGTTAAATGAAATGATACATCATTTGAAATATTTTGGAAAAAAATAATAATTAAAGTGAACTGTAACAAAGCAAGTTATCTTGCGCAAATGTGTAGAAACATTTCAAATTTTGATGTACAAAATAAATTCTCTAGATACCCTTTTGGTATTTTGCATGTGACACCAAGATACATAAATAATTGTACTGTGCCACTAGGATTTAATATAATTAAATTATTTCTTCTGCTTAAAACAAGGTTTTAATAATAATAAATACTTTTATTGTAAATTAGTAATTAATTATTTTTACTTCAGACACCACTTCTTTTCATTACATTTGTTTTTATTTATTTCCATCTCTTATTTTGCTTTTTCTTTATAAAATGAAGTGAGATATGAATAGAAAATCCATCTAAATAATCTTTTAGATTAATTTACAATAATGTATTTCACCTCAATAACCTAAGAAAATTTGTTTAACTATGCTGTACTTTAAGTTATTTATCTTATAAGTTTTTATATATTTTTCATTTTAATTTAATTATAATTTTTTTATTTGAGGTAAGCAACTCAGTTTTAATTTTTTTGGAAACAATTTAACTTCATTTAGTACATTATGAATCAATAATTTCTTAAATCGTGAAAAATGTATGTATTTAGAGGGAGGCAAATTCATAACATTCTGTAATTTTTTTTGTATATATTTCTTCTTATTTTTTTTTTTTTTTTAGTAAAAGAAAGAAAAAAATAATTTTTTGAAAAAGTATTAAATCTACTTGCATAGCAAACTACAACAATTACACACATCTTATTCAATTTTAGGAAGATAAAAATTGTTAGTAGTTGTTAGGCCTGTAATTGGCAAATGAAACTGTAGAGGGGGGTATTAAAAAGAAATAAAAAAAATTTCTAGAATTCATATTAAAAAAAAACTTCATAAATTTGAATAATCTCCAATGCTACAACTGGAGACATATACTCTTTCTTGTTCACTGCTAGCTATGCCACAAAAGTAAAGTAAAATGTAGATTGGTTAATATATCTATTTTGAAACATCAAATACTGTAATATATTAGTTTGGATTGTAAGACCTGTACAAAATGATTATTTAATTTTATGCAGGCAAAAAAAAAAGCTATTAGGTAAGCATATTTCTTGCACTATTTTTTTTCACAGAAATTTTTTTATAGGGTAATAAAAACAGTAAATTTTATTTTTCCTTTTAATGTATAGTAACATTTTTTCGATAGATTTTTTTTATTGTACATAAAAAATAAGGAAACGTTTCTTCTTTTTAATTCAGGAAGTGTTTCTTTTTCAAGTCTCTTCCAGAAAAAAAAATATCCAACTCTATCCTAACATCACAGTGTTTTTTTTAAATACACCAATTTACACATTGAAGAGCTTAGTGGAAGTTTCTAAGTGACACTTTAGTAATTATAAAAACATCAGCTTCAGAAATTATAGCAACAGTCAGAATCTAAATATGAAACACATTTTCCTGTTAAAACCCATCTGGTAAAACTACCTAATGACATATTGTTTTATTAAATTAGAAATTGATTTCTGCGCATGCAAACCTGACTAAAACTTGTTTTTGAAACTGAAACTTTGCACTTCCTGAATTTATCGTTACCTTAAAAGATTCTCAACATGTTTGAGACTTTTATTAATGAATGTATGTTCATTAAGCTTAAAAAGTATTCTTTGAAAACTATTAAATCTTCTAAAATTGTTTTTCTTTTTTCTAGAACTTTATCCTTGAAATTAAAATCAGCTGAAGGTGAAAGTGCTAAAAAAATTAGAGAAATAGGAGAAGCTTTGTTTTATCATGAGTTGAAAGTTATTGATAAAGTTTTACCAACTGTCTCAAATTTTTCTCCTTCAAGACAGTTTTTCTCCACTATTATAGAATCTCTGGGAAAGGTAAAAAATTTTATAAAATACCTTATTTTCTTGGATAGTAATTGCTTTAATGAGTTTCAAGAAGAATGTCTAGTTGATAATAGTAGATAATTCAATATTCTATAAATAATATGATAAAAAGAAATTTTAAAAAGTTATGAATATCTTAGTATTCAATATATTTTCTTCGTTAATTTAAATGTGCTGATTCAAAATATTCTAACTGTCTCGATCACCCACCATTTTTTTAGATATACTTCTTCAACCATTTATATTTTACTATGCCATTTACTGTTACATTGCATACTCATGAACATAACATTGGCTAAGATAACAGTCAGATAAAGTCACTTCACATATATACTGTATAGAAATATCTAGTTCAAAATACAGCTCATATAAAATCCCATGAAAATGCATCCTTAATCTAAGGTATACTTCAGTGTTGTATACATCTTGACTGTCCACACCATAGTAAACGGTATACAGAAAAAAAGATCTTTGGAAAAAACATTGAAACAAACCCATAAAAAAGCTCTCAAAACAAGGACTAAAAAAATCTTTAAAATAACATGTTAGAAAAAAACATCACTTTAACAATTATTTAAATTTACATCCAGTTAGATTTAGGCTGTTGATCAAATTAAGTCCAAATTTAAAGTAATTAAATATTTAATCTTACTACTTAATAAAATTTTTAGGACTTAATTTTTCCTTAAAATCTCCTTAATTTTTCTGAATTCCAATAAGTACACTAATTGTATTGTGACAATGCTTTACAGGTAATGCTCAACAGGTAAATTTTTTTTTAAATTGTATTATAATGAAACATTTCATAATGTTTGCCAATATATTTAGCTTGCCTTATCAATATATTTAACTTGTCACAAAATTTAATTGAAACATTATATATAGGGCCCTATAAATTATGCGAAGATGCTGAAACCCGCACAATTCACAATTATCTGCATAATTTACAATTTTCCGCGTAATCGCAGCATATCTGCATATTTTTTTATTTTTCAGCAAAATGTATTCGTTTACCAGATAAATTTCTCCTCAAGAGTTTTTTTCAATTGAAATATATCTTCTTTTTCAATTCCAAGAATCTTTTTGGTCAGGTGGTCTGATCTTTCCAAGAATCTCCTCCCCCTGGCACATAGCTTCTTATCAGTCGCCATCCTCTTCAATAGGAAGCTGGTTGAACAGCTTTCGCGGTGTATAGACCATAGAGGTCACCTCTATGGTATAGACCACAGAGCTAGAAAGTTGGGGAAGAATGACCCCCCTCCCAAACTCCAGTCCCACCTCTTTTCTTTGTAGTTCCTGGAACTCCTGGAATTTTTTAGCAGTGAAATAAACCTTACTCCTGACGCTGCTTGTCGCAATCAGTGCAAAGTTTTGGTGGAAAGCAAGTACGTTTGCAAAGACTTTCAGTTTATTACAGAACACGCTCAGATATTAATGGATACTCTTCTCTTTTTCGAAACATGTAGTGTATCTATTCACAAAGCTTACAATAAGATTTTTACAATAAACTTCGATGTAATTCTCAGGCATCATACTCACAAAAAGATTCATGCAACATATTTCTTCAAGAAGTGTTTCACTAAACAATTGCAAGGTTGAATACTTACTACTCTCCAGAACTAGACGTATTCAAAAAACGCGGGCCCAAGTTTAATCAACTTGCATTAAACTTCATGAAAGCTGCTCGAGTTTTCGATCCAGAACAAATAGTCAACCTCAATATTGAAGACGACGATGTATTCAAGAATATTCCAGGAATGAGTGGTCAAGATATAAAACTTGAGTATGCTGCTTACAAAGAGTATGTAAAAGAATGTTCAAACCAGGACTTAATTAGATTCTGGAATTCAGAGGTAGTCTCAGAGAGATTTTCAAAACTTACAAAAAAAGCAAGACAAGTGCTTCCTAATTCAGTACATTGTGAAAGAGCTGTATCCTGCTACGGCCAAATTTTTACAAAACAAAGACAGAGTTTGAAAGAAAACGTAGCTTCTGGACTAACTTTTCTCCATTTTAATAAACTTTAATAATTGTTCTGATGTAGAAAATGGATGTACAATACATAGGAAGGTAATTTAGTTGAAATCTTTACTGTATTCATTGAAATCTTTTTTTTATTAAAACAGGAGAAAAAAAATTAAACTTTTTTTTAAGAGATTTTTTTTCAGTTTCAATTATTTTCTGGGTCATTCGCAACCTGCATGCATAATTTTCAAAAGACGCCGCATAATTTTTAAAAATCGCCGCATCCTAGCCGCATAATTTTTTAAAAATTTCCGCATAATTTGTAGGGCCCTAATTATATACACTAATATTAAGTATATCATATGATTTTATTATGTATAATTAAGAAAAATCAGAACACTCATTAAAAGTTTATTTTTTAAATCAAGAATTGGAATTTAAACAGATGTATTGTGTTGCTTATTGTTTTTGGAAAAATAATTTAAGTAAGTAGGAAAATTTTTTTTTCCTACAATTTCCGTAAAAATTACAATAATTGTCATTCAAATTGTCCAGTGTTCTAATGTAAAAATAGGTTAAGGTGCATACTTTTTTAATCTTTACTTTTTTAATTTTCACTTACTTTTTGAGTGTTTTTAGAATTTAAGATAAATATTTTTCTTGTGAAAACTTGAATTTATAAATTTTATATTTTCTTTCCAGGAATTTATTCTTGGCCAAGCAAGTCAATTATTACCTTTAGCAACAGCTATAGTACACTGTGAGAATTCTGGTGTGCTAGCTTCTAATCTACTATTGCCAAATATTGCTCCAGTATTGTTGTTGCCTGATTTGTATGAAATTGTTACCTATGCTGTGACTCATGATAGTTTTAATTCTGCCTTTGTCTTACTTAGTAAGGTAATATATAATTATGTCTTGTGCCACTTATTTTTATGGGTGATACCACACATCAACCATTATTCAGAATGGCAGGTCTTGGAGCCACAGAATAGGAAACAGAGAAAAAGATGAAGAATTTTATCAATCTAGAAAAACCAATTAAATGTCAGGGACTTAAAGTGAAATAACCATAAAGTCAAGAAAAATTAATTCATTTTAGTTTCAGGCACAAAATATTTTTTCCAAAAAATTGTTTAATTTAAATTTTTATAACAAGTAAAAGTGTGTTGTAATATATTTTATGTTAAAGAATATGGTATAACTGAAAAATTATTAATAAAATTTGTGCCAATCATTATAAAAGTTAGAAAGTAGTTGTTTTTTTTTTCGAGTGTTGGTGGTGAACCAGATTTAATTTTAATTTTGACTTACGAGTTGAGCTAACAGAATAGATGAAAAATACCAAGTTTAAACCATGTTTTTCTTTATTTAAGTATTTATTTTCTTTATTAAGTTATATTTCTTTATTTAAGTATGTGTAATTATCACAGTCTGTACACTCCAGATATTTTACTCCATGATTGATTTGTGAAAATGTTGTACTTCTTCTACTACTGAAAAAAAGAGCTAACAATTTTAATATAAATTCTACAAGAAGTATTTTTACTCCCAGTAAAATTTTTTAGGGCTAAATTTTAAATTTGATACATAAAATAGACATCCATATGCATATTGGCAAACTCTGGTTACAGTTGTGTAAAACATGCTATAATGATTAGAACGATCTTTTTTTTCTAAACACCACTCAAAATGTATGTTTAAGAAAATGGACACAGCCCAAAATATGTGTTTAAGATAATAGTTATAGCTGAAAATCATTAATCAGAGACTTTAATATGAACATAGCCTGAAATGTATGTTTAAGAAAAATGACACTATTCAAAATGCATATTTAAGAAAATAAATGGCATTCGATTCCGTTTTTCAAACTTCTCTTATGAATGTTATTCTTTTTAAAGAGTAAAGTAATAGATCCAAATAAACTAACGTAATTAAATTTGTATGCCTTTTTTTTTTTCTTAATTTCCTCATTCTTTCAGCCTTTGTTCTTAATCCTTGCCTGTGAAATATCTTTTGTGAATAACTTTAAATGTGTTGAATAATTTTAAATTCACATCTTTTTTATGAAAGTTAAAAAAAATGTTATCATAAATTTCATATAATGTATGCAAAGATACGGGTATTCAAAATATCACTTCTTGAAACTTTAGAATTTATATTCTGCATTTAATTTAGCATATAAAAAAGTTATAAGTTAAAAGCTTTTTATTTAATTTCATTTACTTTTGACTCATATGTATAAATTAAATGAGACTAATGAAAAAGTTACCAAATATCAGTGCCATATAGAAATTTCTATTTTCAAATGCCACACAGGGGACTAAAATGTATTATTAATATATTTCACTTTTAATTCATTCTATAAAGATAACAAATTTATATTTAAAAACAATAATTTTTGCAGATACCATTAAGGAAATTCCATCTCTTGTGTTTGCTCTCTGGCACAACTATTTTATGTAATTCAAACTATTTATTTCTTAAGCATAAAATAATTTAAATTTTTCTGAAAAATAAGAAAAATAAAAACAGGTGGAAACTTGTGCTAAATGCAGTTGATTAACTGGTCAAAACGAAGTTTTACAGTTAAAAATTGATCCTAAAAATATAGTTTCAACTACACAGTTTGAATCTGTTAGAATAACAATGTTTGACTCACTTTTCTTTCATTAAAGAAACAAATTTCCTAATAACTTCTTGAAATTCAGATAATTTTAAAACTTAACTGTTAAATGCTATAAATCTTAGTGTCAATATAAAAAATATTTTTTTTTGTTCTCATCTATTATAAAATATCCCTGATTCACTTGCATTTCTATTGATAATTACCAAAAATTATTTTTTATAGATTGATATCAAACTAATTTTAGAACAACAAAAACCAGATATCTCTGTCCGAAAAAAAATCTTTGACTGTATATGCTCTGCCTTGTTTGCATGTGGCTATAAAATTAAGAAAGAAGATCTTCCATTTTATGAGGTTAGTAAATAAAAAATATTTTTCTGTATTTTAAAATTTACAAATGTTCAAGCCTGATCTGAATTATACAAAAAAAGTGTTGTATGTCCCTGGTGTCTTTCACGATGGCTGGGGTATATGGCCAACTAATTGTTGTGGAGATGAGCTTTAAGCTTGACTTAACTATGAGTTTAACTTTATGACAACTTATAGCTAAAGTTTGATCAAAATGCCTGTAATGCTAAATATCTTCTATATTCAAATTTCCCTCTTAATTCAAATTTTCACTAACAAATTCATTTGAATGGCAAAAAAATTCTTTCTGTTGAAGAAATCAAAACTGTTCTTATTGATTCCTTTAAAGACCATGTAATTTATTCAAAGAAAAAGGTCTAAAATGTGCACAACTATTTATAAAAATGTATTTTATTTGAATTCTATTCATGTACAACTTTTACCTGATATGTGCAGGAGGAAAATTTTTGATTTAAGAAATAAATTCCTTAATAAAAGCGGTTATTGGGGTTTCCACAAAACTGAAAAAAAGTCAAGAAACTTAATCAATCTTACAGAATAAGAGAATTTAATTAAAATAACTTAAAAATCCGGGCAAAGGAAATAGAATTAGAGGAAATAGTTACCTAAAAAATATTTTTCCAAAAAAAGTATAATTTCTGATAGTGATTCTATTACTCAATCAATACAACTTGTCTCAATTAATATGTACTAAAAGATAGATATTATTTTTTGCTTTAATCTATGCCTAAATTATTATTTTTATAAAATTTTATCAATTTTAATATATAGTACATCCTCTATAATTGGACTTAAAAAAAACAATATTTTTCTGAAATCATGGGATCTATTCATACACCAGTAATAAATTTTAAGCTTTTTTAACTTGAGAATATTTTTGGGTTTTAATAATCTTTTTGTTTTTTAATTTTATAAGTTTTCATATTTGTTTTCTTTTAGCAAATAACCTATACAGTAAGTGGATTTTTACACCGGGATATATGGTGTATATCTATTTGAAAAAGAAGTATTTTTTGATTTAAAAATTTTAAGTTTCTAATTGTAATTCCTATTTATGTTTCTTAATATTTATTTTAAAAAGTTTAATGTCATTATCAGTTATTGTCACTTAATTCTGTTAATGTAATTTGTTTTTCAAATAGCTGTTGTAATAGCTCTCAATATCTTTATGTTTTTGTACCAACTTTATGTTTAGGTGTGACAATATACATTACCTTTTGTTGTTATTGAAAATTTTATTTAAACTCTTGAATAGGACAAAATTTTCCAGTACAGTGCTTTTTTTCAGTAAATTAATTTTGTTTTATTTATGTTTTTAGAGGGAAATAACTCAATCTTAGTTGCCAATTATAACTTAATGACATTAGCCATTTAATCTCAAATTTCCCTTGCGAAATCATTGCACCCTGAAGCTGAAGAAAGATTTTACTTTTGATTTCAATCCATTTTATTCCAATTTCCCTAATTATTATCATATATGTATGTATATATATGTTACGCTTTGAAAGCATTAACATTGTAAATTCGTAGTTTGGCCAGTTTTTATTGAGAAATATACAGGAACATGGAGAAATAATAGAATTTTATTAAAGTAAGACCCGCAGGCCCAGAAATGAGAACATTACATGCTGGTGGATAGATAGAGAAGAGCAAATTGACCTTGGAATGAGGGTTTTTATATCTTTATGGACAATATATTTAAATATTAATAGATCTTAGTAACATGGGACTGATCAATTTCTTAAGCTACTAAAGACACATCATCACATTTTCTGTGATAATTAGATAAATATTATTACTTTCTTATTGGGAAAGGTTTTAATTATTGCGCGTTAGATACTAGCTCTATTTATGGATTATATTTAATATATAATTCTTTTAAAATTATATATATATAAATTAAATATGAAATGCATTAAGACCTGGGAATTACCAGATATTCCTGTCAGGTGTTTGCTAAACTTTGTTTCAGCTATGAAGCTTTTTTTGTTAATCATGATTTAGGGTTTGGGTACAGTCGACCCAAACCCTAAGTTTGTGATTATATGCTGGGAAATTGTTTGTATATCATTGAATTTTAACTGTAAAAAATGTTACCAAGATAAGTTTCGTAAAGTATTGTAAATTTTATTAATTGTTAATATATATGTGTATTAATTGTAAATAGTAAGTGTCATATTAAAAAAAAATATTCATCATAAAAAGTTGTAAACAAGTAGCAAAAGTTGTAAATAGTCTTTTATTAAGGAAAATAGTTCCTTTAAAATTAATGTTTTCTGTCTTTCTTTTTCTTCCCTCTCTCAGCCAATGCCTCTTATAATTAATTTAAAATAAATGTTTTAAAGTTTAAGTATATTCCCTACTAAATGCTAATTCTCATTTTCTGCTGAAAGGGTTTGGTTTTTATTTTAATCAATTTTAACCCTATAAACTTTCTTTAAATCAAAGTATTTAACTTGCATTTATTTTGATAACTAGAATATTTATTTTTTTTAAATTGAATTCTATGAACCAATTTTTTAATGTTAAAATTTATGTTTAAATGGACTTTTGTGTTATATAATATGATAAAAAAAACATGAATTTTGCGATAGTTTTTTAATTATTTCAATTTATTAAAACTTTTTTCTGATAAATTGATTCTGATTCTCAAATTCTGTTCATATTTCTTAGGTAGCCAATTTTGCAATTTCTAATTTTGAACATTCAAAAGTATTTAATTTTATGCAAAGATATTACAAGGTTAACTGGCGAAAATAATTTAGTGCCTAGAACAATGATGTTTATATAACAATTACTACCTAGAATTACTGCCAATATGTCTATCTAAATACTTTGGCATGTGGCCTGCTGTGCATGTGGCCCTTCACTCAAAAAGGTTGTGCACCCCTATTATATATATATAGTGGTTGATTTAATTAAAAAATATTACTGTATTAAAATTAACACATTTTTGTCTTCAATATTAAGAAATTTGTAGTTCAATTTTAAATTTGTATTTCCTCTGTAAAGCTTGAAGCATCATTTTAACTATTTTGATTTACATTAGATAACTTTTATGCTTTGATAACATATGTTTTACAAATTTTAATTTAGTAAAAACTATTCAGTCTGGCAATTTCTTAAGTGCTTATTTACCAGTGTTATATCAGTTGTTTGCTTTATTCTTTGTTACAGTTATGATGGTTTAGTTTATTGTATTAGTTCATAGAAAATAGGCACATATTTAAACTGAAGTATGTATTATGATATAAAAGTTTTGTAATAATTTTAAAAATGTTATAGGTTCTCAAAAAACAATACTCTGCCTTGATGCTATGGATGTTTCCTGAACTGTTTTGTGATGCTACTAGGTTTTGTATTGAAGGTATTTTTTTATAAGTTTTACTGCGGTTATTTACCAAAAATATTCTAAGTACTTTTTCTATAAATATCTTTGTTTTTTTTATTAAGATTTAAAATACTAGTAGATAAAATTTATCATTACATATGATTGAAAAGTGACTATTATTATTTGAGTTGAAAGTTTTAATCAAAAATATTTATTCATTCTTTCACCTTTTCTTTAATAAATAGCATTTTTAAAGAATATTATTTAAATTGAGTTCAAATTACTGAAGTTATTTTTTAATATATTTTTAAATTACATTTTAACTCTTTACTTGAAATGTTTTAAATTAATATAGAAATTTTATTTTATCTTTTATAGTGATCATAAAACTGGTCCCAAGTAAATGAAAACTTGAAACAACAGACAAAAATATCAACAAATATATTTAATTTCAGTATATTTAGTATGTTATTCCTAGTTTTATTTTAAGAAATTATCTATCAAAATTCTACAACATTATATCATGATGATATATTTTTTTAAATCATAGCACTATTATATAGATATAATGTATTGTATTGATTGTTTTCATGACATTAGCTGTTTTACTTAAACAGTATTAATTAGGGATATAGTGCTCTCTTCTATTGTATGATTGAGGTTCTGCAGTATTTCAACTTTTTGTACTGATTTTCTAAATCTTATGCAATAATAAAAGTAGGAAAGAATAATAGATATGATATAAGAATAGAATAAAATGAAGATCAAAAAATTTTTTAACAGGTATTATATGTACCCATTTTTTCTTCTTCAATAAAAAAATTTTGTAGCACTTTGTTATTGCTTTGTAAGTAATTTTTGACAATTATATCAAGTTAAGATGTTTTTTTCTTCAAATATATATAAAGTTACAGTTTATAAAACTAAAGTTTGTAAGTATATTTAAATTCATTTGTAGGTATGGAACAAGAAAAAATATCTTCTGATATATTCTATGAAACAATATGCTGTACTGGTTGCTTTAGATTAAATGAAAAATCTTCTATGCATGAAATCCAAAATGCCTTGAAAAAGTTTGCACAAAATATGCTTTTACCTCCTGATCAACAGGTAAACACGAATTTTAATAGTACTGGACTTAATTACTTGTTTCACCTTTCCTATTTTTGTTCTCCTCGATTACATAAAAGTTCAAACTGACCTTTGTCATGTTTCATTTATCCGTTAGAATTGACACTTAGAGTTATATGTAGTACAAACTAGAATTATGTGTTTACACTAAATCAAAATATCTCTTATGTTTTGTTAAAACTTAATTGTTGAGTAACTGGTAACTAATTAAAAGTCAGCAAACAATCGGCACAGACTTTGTCTAAAAAGCATACATATTATTAAAAAACTTGAGACAATGAGTTGAGTATATTTCCAAAATCTTTGGATCCAAATGCCTGATTTTAATTGCTATTTTTGCCTTTAAACCAACCTTACTGGTTCATTAGGCTTGGGTAATTGCAATCCCTTATACACCAAATAATGAATTTTAATGAGTTTATTTTCTTACATCGATATCTAATAAATCTATAGAAAATAGGCAGTCAGTTTTCTTTAAAAATATTTTGCATTAACAAAAGTATAAATGTCCAAAGGGTTGAAATTTAAGCAGGCATATTTGTTTGTATGTATATGTATGTATATTTAATAAAAGTTTGCTACAATATGCAATTGCCAGTAAGTTTTTTTGCAATAGCATGATCTGAGTTTAAAATGTCAAATTAATTTACTAGACCAGCAAATAGAATTCGGTCAACATCGATCATTTTAGTTGAATTTTGTAGTTCTTATCAAAATTCTATTACCTGGTTTTCAATTAATTTTTTAAGTTTTTTATCTTATCTTAATATACGTTTAAAACTTACTAGAGACAGTTCGAAATTTTTGTTTTAAACAGACGTTTCTTAATCCAGCCTATTTTTCCATCATAATCTGTCTAACACAGTAATTATCTATTTCCAATCAAAAAAAGTTTATCTTATTACATAACTGCCAATTTTTGCCCATTTTGTGTAAAATTATATATATTATGTTTAAAGTGATAATAAAATGTATGCTTTCTTTTTATTCCTTGTATTTATGAATGATTGCATTATGAACAGATTCAAAATGATTTAAACCACCACTACATTTAAGTAAATTAAAAGTTCATATAAATACATTAACTCACTGTTTTGTGTTAAAACTTTTACAAAACACATAGTATGTTTCTACCTAAAATTATAATTAAATTTTCATTTTACTATCTGAAAAAATTCATCATGTGATAGATTAATTTTTGGTAGATATATTATCTTAACTCAATCTATAATTATTTAAATGTATTTAAAAACATTCTGGACATGAATTTCTTGATGCTATGTTTTTAAGAATTTAATTTTACTGTCTTATTGAGCAAAAGTTTTAAACGAACGTTTGTTTAAAACATTGTTAAACGAAATTGATTTAAATCAGCCAACCTGCCATGCTGTAAACCTTAAGTCTCCACAGTTATCTAAAAACTTAGTTAAACAAAGAACTACAAAAATATTCTTAATTAGGATAAAAATAGTTTCTGCTGTCCTTTGCCTGTGTTCTTTTTTCTCTTAGTTTATCATGTTAAAACTCATTACTTTTATTCCATTTTTTAGATATATGTCTCTAGTAATCCCATAAACATTCTGCAGGTAATATATTTAATTATCAAATAAGAGTTTTCGAGATTATTTTTTTAAAATTATACGTAACTTTATTTATGTCCATATTTAGGTAAAGGATACTCTTGAGTTTTTGCATGAAAAATTTGAAAGAACAAGGCAATGTCAAGTATTAGACTTTTATGAGACACATGCCAAATATATTAAACCTTTTGGATTATACATGGCTCTTTTAAATCATTCTTTGTTACTCCTATTGACTGAAAATTTCACTAAAGAATTTTGCAGTAAGTATGAAATTTTTTTAAGGAAATTATAAATAAAATGAAAATTTTTTTATTTAAAATTTTTGTAAGGGTGATCATATTAATCTCATTTAAAGCATATGTTACTGAAATCTTGTAAACTTTTTACCAAATTTCATATTAACTTGATCAATGGCTTGTTAAAATTTCATATTAACTAAAAATAAAAGCACTTAACTTTTTTTAACTCTTTCGCTACCGGAACGCCCGAGACGCCTCGTAAGCTAGACTACCGAAAACGCCCGAAGTGCCCGTGAAACGAGTTAGAGATTCTTCCCCCTTTTCGAAAAATAACGCACAATGGGGGAGGTGTGGCAGTAATCGTCCTTGAAGGTAATTTACAAAAAGGGAAGAAAGCAGAGGGATTTTTCAACAAAAGTTTTGTTTTATATCATTCCGCTTTTGTAAAGTTGTTTTCTCCTGTTTATATATATATATATAAACCAAAATGTATTTTCTCTGTAAAGGTCCTTCGACCGAAAATAATTTTCAATTAAATTAATTTTCAATGATGAGACAGGATGAGTCGGATTTTATGAATCAAGGGATGAAGATGAATTCGAAGATGTAACACCAACTGAAACTACTGTTGCCCCTAACGACTGAACTTTTTCTGATAATACTTCTCGAGAAAAAGTTAAATGAAACGTTTTATTGTAATAATAAAATCATATTCTCATAAGCTTAAAATTTATAGTTAAGAAGTATAGTATTTTTTTACTTTTTTGAAAGACAGAGAGATATGTAGAAACAAGTATAAACTCAAAATTAATTAACCTAAATTATTAAGCTGGCTACTTCTTTTTATCTGAACTTTTTTGATTACTTACGTTGAAAAGAATAAGCTGGAGTATTGGTGATAAAGTATTTTTTTAAACATTAAATCATTTAGTTATTGTGCCTTTAAAAATATATCAATTGTTCAAGATAATAAACAGCTCGAAATTTACAGTGTTTTCAGAAAAAAGAAATGGCAGTAATTTAAAAATATATTATTCTACAAGACTGATAGAAAACTAAATACAATTAATTATAAATCTATTTTTAAATATAAAATAAATAATCAAACATTATTTTATTAGAATTAGATCGTAGGCTTTGATGCCTTACAAAATAGTTTTTATATTTATAACAGTAGGATCCAAGAGAAAAAACTGCTTTGATGGGTACCAAAACTATTATTTGAAATTTGAACTTTATTCTGCATTTGTAGTTCGACAGCTGTAAATCATTCACATTGTCTTGCTGTTTTATGAATGCCTCGCTATTTTCACCTTTTCAATGCTTGTTATTACGTAGGTATTGCACTTGAAGCTGCACCGACCCATTTTTTTTATTAATTGTTAACACCTGGTCTAAAAACACGAATTTTACTATTGTTTTTTTTAATGTGTTGGTGTCAAAACTCTTAAAATAGTTAAATCTCTATGAATTTATTTATTTTCAAGTTTACGCCTTATCTTCTTACAAAAGGGTTTCTTCACAGGAGGATTATCTGTAGTTAACTCTAATTTTTCAGGAACGTATTTTTTCCTTCATAATGAATGTTCTATATTCAGCTGTCAGACCACCCAGATGTGTTACAATTTACTCATTCATTTCTGTAGAAGATAAGCGTTATCAGCATAGCTTCTAAAGGCTATTGTTAAATGAAAATTAACATGTCATATAGTAGATTTTCTCCAATTCTACCTGAAGTTGGGACTGATATCTTTGTCACCAAAATTATGGTGTGGTAGTGTAAGAAATTTCTTTGATATTCCCCTTTTCTTTCAAAGAAATTTCTTGTCACCACACCCATATATACTGCACCATATGTCTATAAACAGATGCCGATTTCCAACTGTTCAGTAAAATGCAGAACAATTTAGTCCCATACTCAAAAAGAAATAATTACAAGTTAAACGTGACAGAAAGATAAATCTTATCCTAGAAGGCATTGTTGAAATAGGAAGTAATTGTGTTCCCTAGCATACGTAAAGAATAGCTGTCTGGCTGATTAACGATGGGGTCGGAGGTTAAAAAATTATGCATTAAATATAGTCATTAAAATTTTTAAAAATGAAATTAAGAAAAATTAATAGTTAGTAAATAAAAATTTAGACATTATATATATATATATATATATATATATATTTGATAAGCTTTGAAGATATTGTTATATAGTTGAACATTTATTTTGTTTGCTTTCAATCCACTTTTTCAATTTATGATAATTTTCCAATTATTAGATTCTTAATTAAATTACACATAAACTTACTTTTACTATAGCAATTATTTATAGAAATTCAAAAGCAGTTTTATTGTTTTTATTATGAATATAATTTTTTTAGATCAATTTACTTAATTACACATATTTATGAATTTTTATTTTTAACGACAATATTTTAAAAATTCTTGAGAAAAATTATCAAATACTCTTATGAAGAGGACACGTGGAAAAATTACAGCAATAATGGATGTTTCAATAATGAAGAAATGGATGCTTCAAAATATTTTTATATGAATTATGGAAAGACATATACAAAATTTGACATCTATTTTGAGTCGTTTACTTTCAAATAATTTAAAATTAGTTAAACAATTTAGATTGTTTACAAGAACCTTAAAACAAATAATTTTATTAATTATTATACTTTTTAATTTTCAAATTTAAAATTTTTTTTCAATGCACCGAACTGAAATTCACATAAAAATATAGTTTCTAGATAAAATAATTTATTTGTAAAAAAATTGAACTTTTTGATTTTTTAAAATAATATAGAAATATTGTACTTAAAATATTATTGTTAAAACAGTTCTTCAGCATTTTTTTAATTTTTATGCACAAATTTACAAACTCTTTTATGGTACAGCGCTAGAAGGAATATAATTTACAAATGAAAACTTAATTGAAATAAAGTTAATGCTGGCTAAAGCGAAAAATATTTTTTTTACCTTGAGGAGGAATTATAGTTTCTGGGGATAATATTTTTAATGGTTTCAGAGCCTTGTTAAATAATAAGAAAAGTTTCTCTTATTTCATATTGTAAATTGATATAAAATAAGAAACACATTTAGGTAGAATAATATTTTAGTACTATCACCAAATTAATTTCTCCTTAATGACTGATGTTAATTTTAAATGTTGGTGTCTAAGAAATTCAAAATTTATTTTTCAATCATTTAAGTTATTGAATTATATTAGTTTTTATTTTACAACGAAAAAAAAAGGATTTTTTTTGTGCGAGAATATTATTATCAATTTGAATGCTTTATTTAGATTTTGTATAACTGGATTACATGGAATTACATACTTATGCTTCAATATAAATAATAAAATTTAAAAAAAATAAACACCAAAAACAAATGCAAGCATTTATTAACATTTTATAAATCTCGTTACGTTAGCGATATTGTTGCCTCAAATTATGTCTTTCTTTCCTTTGAACTCCTATTTTGGGGATATTTCCACAGGTGAATAAAAAGATGATCAGTCATTCTGTCATTCCAGAGTAAAACTGGGGGTAGGAAATTTTTGCAACTTGTTTTCCTACTTCGGGCGTTTGCGGTATTCTGGGCATGCTGTGGTTTGGAGGGCTCGGTATTTAAAGAGTTAAAGTAATGCAGCGCAAGTACATATAATGTAATATGTAAGGTTAGAAAGCTAAGGGTTCTGCATGCTTCATAGATTGTAATTTTGCTTATAAACATGGGACAAAAATGTCTTTTATTAATTTTAATGTTTTTTAAATGCCTGATGTAAAATTACAGATATGTCTGAAAGCAAGCCCAAACTTTTTAGCAGAAGTGTATCTATTATTTAATTGCATTAAAAGGGTGATTATCTGAAGCAGTTTGATCTTAACATACTTCAGAAATCAAAATGTTTTGGATTATAATTATTCAGCGTTCTAATCATATACTTATGCTTGTGAATTCTAGCAATTAAGATAATTGTGTATAACTTCAAGAATTTCCTTTTAGCAAAAGGAAAACCTTGCTCGTCAAACTGGAAAAAAAAATAAAAAAATGACAACTATAAAATTTCTTTATCTGAATCATACAATTAACTTCAACTAACGAAAAAATTTTATTGCATATAAAAAATGGATAATTTTATGTCTGTTAAGCTGTACAACTGAGTGCAGGGATCAATTTTTATCATCCTATTTTTATAAAAATTGTGACAAATCTACTCAGTTTTGCGAATCCAAAACTATAATTGAAGTGGCTTCTTTTAGTTTGAGTCCTGCTCTTTCAATTTCAGAGATATTTTTTTGATTTTTGGAAAAATCTCAAAAAATAATAGTCTTTCAAAAAGGTTGTAGTTCTTAAATCCTAAATTATGCCCAACTGTTCAATCTAAAATGAATTCTTGCTCTTTTCTTTTATGACCGCCTGTTTGATTATCGTAAAACATTTATTGAATTTAATTACAAATATGACAAAGATGATGAATTTACATTAAATGATAGATGATAATTATAAAGTGATGAAAAGATTGAGTAAGCTACGAGGGGTGTCAAGCCGCTTCTCTAGTTGCATTACATCTACTGTTTTTAAGTTTTTGAAAAATGAAAAGTTAATACTTCTGCTGCGCCATCTGGTGATAGTTTTTGGTTTCCCATAAGGGCCTGTTACACCAACACTAGCAACTCACAGTAAAGCAAAAACATTAAATTTTTCTTCTATAAATTTAACTTCATCCTTATCATACTTGGCACAACAGCCCTGGATGAGCCAAGGTCTTCTCTGAAGTTTCTCCAAGACAATTTATTTTTTGCCACAAACTGCCAATTTTTTACTCCAATAACATTAAAATCTAATTCCGTAGAATCAAACTATTGTTGTTTTAGCCATCTTCTTTTTCCAATTAGTGAAAGGCTTTGACACAAAAATATTTTTTCATAGATTCTGATGAAATGATCAGCCCAGTTAAGAAAAAATATTTTGTGAATTGTATGTTTTTATAGTATTATATTTTTTAAAAGGTCGTTTTTCCATAAAATATTTTATGAACGGTCTATTTTTATAATAATTTTTTTAGTGAAGGCTCTGATTCCAAATTTATGTTTAAAATTTCTCTTTAAATTATTCCAAATTTTTCTTTATAATCTTATCCCTGAAGAGTTTTATATGAAGGCCCCATGTATAAATGTGCGAATTAGTCACGACTACCTTCATTCGTCTTACCAGTTGTAGAATTTCTTTAACTTATCTGCCAAGTAAGTAAAAACTAATTCCTTGCATAATTAACTTGTTTAATTTTAGTAAGAAGTTTCAATAATCCAAGTTCTACTGGATATCAATTTATTCATTGTAAATTTCATTTTTGTTAATGGCATATTTATTTTCCTCTTTCTAAAATTATTTTGTTTCAATATCATAGGTGTTGTCAACGTATGGAAATTAATCTCAGATTCATTTACTCCATGGTTACATCCTACTGTTCATAATTCTCACTTAAATTTTCCCTGGTCTGATATTCAAATAGAAAATGCTAGATATATGTTTCAAATGTTTACTTTAACTTTGACTAATCTACACGAGCTGCTACAAAGAGGTATAGTATTCTAACAGAATGTGTATGATACTTTTATTTTATTTACTTAATCTGTACATTTTTATAACATTTTTGATATTTTCACCCATTATAATGTGGCTGTTATTTTTTTTATTTGACCTATTTAAAAAATAAATGCTAAAATTAAACAAATGTAGGAAATTAATCATAGTTAATTGTTTTCCTTTTCTATAGCTTTATGCTCAAATAGTCATTTTGAATTTACTCATCTGACAATTGACATCAGGAAGAGCTTTATTTTCCCTTTATAATTAGACATCTCTAAAAGTCCCCTTCTAATATTTCTAGAAAAAAAAATATTGACTCATCAAATACTTTCATTTAACAAAGTTAAGAAATAAAAGAAAATTTTTATCTTTTTTTAATATATTTACCTCTTGGAAGAAAAATGTTTTGCTTTTCTTTTAAATTATCAGAACTATTATAACTATGTATTTTAATTTTATCGCTACAAATAATGAATGCTCCTGATGGTTATGCCATGACTAACGAAATATTTTTTTATGAAACTGTGGTGGATAATAATAGGAAAAAAAAGTGTAAGTCATGGGTTTTTATGTGCTAATATTTTTAAGATTTTTATAAAATGTTATTGTACATTTATGTAATGATTTTTCCCCTTTACTTAAACTACACATTGTTTTTTTTTAGCTGAATTCAGAGATGAAGAGAGCAGAAATATTCTTTCTCATTGTTGGACTCAGTATGTCAGTATTTATGTAAAGCCTGGATTACGTCATTATTCGATTTCAGTGTGTCATTCAGAGTATATAAACTTACCTTGGCATCAATTTTATCCTGATCCAGAAGACATTGATAACATGTGCACTGTAAGTCTTTTTCGGAAGGGACTTTTCACTTCATTTTTCTTAAGCTGCTTGCTCTTGCAATTTTACTACTCTGAGACACTTAAATGAACTTTGTCTTAATTTTTTTATTGCTCGCATTTCAATTTTGTTTTTGCATTTGACTTGTTTATAATACTATTTGATTTTATTACCTTAAATATATAATGTTTAATGAAACAAAACTCTGTAGTTCCAATTGAATATGTAGCCTCATACAGTTTATCCTTCTACAGATATACACGTGTTTCATAAACCTGAGTTACCCTAATGATCTCTCTCTTTTTATTTTCTTTATTTAATAGCCTTTTTTGTCATAATCATGATTTCAGCATAATTGGCAGTGCATCTACCAATGTATACTCAAATAACGTTAATTTAAGGATTTCTTAATGTGGTACAGAGAGGCAATTTTCTTGTTTTACAAGAAAGGGTCCTTGATTGCTGTATCTTCGGTTAGCAGTAGTCTAAAAAATCTGAATACTTTAATAAAACAAGCTCTATTACATTTGCAGCTCTATTTTATAGAATTTACTATTTTCTAGCATTTTCTCTTTTTTATAAATTATTTATGTATTATGTGTTAAAAATTTTCTAAAAACTGTGGGGATCGTGAGAAATCACTGCCTTTCTAGATTCTTAGTAGATATCACAGATTCTGATTGATTTGCAGAAATGGAACATTTTGTTCTAGAGCTTGGTAATTCATATCTGCCTTCCAATGATTTATGTTGCTTACCTTCATTTACCTTTGCTATAAGATAATTCTTACCCACACAGAAATATAAATATGCATTTATTGAGATTGCAGATATATTTTAAGTGTTTTATTAATTGAAAGTACTAAAATTATATAAAAGCAGTTTTTTTATATTCGTAATCTAATACTTATAAATTTTAAAAATAATTAAACTTCTAAAGTACAGAAAAAAATACCAATTAAAACAGCTGGGTTCTACAGTACCCAGAAAAAACAGAAACTGAAAAAAGCATATTACGTATTGAATATTGATTTTAAAGTATTTTATATTTATTTTCATGATGAAGAAATAAATCCTGCCCTACATTATGCTTGGAAAAATTAAATAATATGCTGTAAAAATGATTTTTTTCCATTTATTTTTTTAATACTTTCTTTCTATATATTTGCTTTTTATGATTTTTTTTTAGTTATTTTCAATTAATTTTTTCAGAAATTGCCTGAACACTTCAATTTAGATTTTGCTTAAAAATTAAAATAATTTCTTTCCCCTTTGCTTATATAAAAAAATAATTCATAAAAATATAATTTTTTCGGATGTTTGACACTGATATAAGTAAGAAGTTTTTTTAAAAACATAGTTAGAAAGAAACCCTTTCTGCATGCAGCAATCCAATTGTCCTGAAGAGTGTTTCCAAATAGCAACAAAAAGCTTATTGCAGTTTTCTTTATTTGTTTTAACTAAGGTTTTTAAAGTTTCACAAGAAAGTTTGGAAAGTTACATAATTTTAATTAAAAAAATTTGCAAAGAAAATATATGTTTATTTCCTAAAATATATTTGTTGCTTTTGCAAACTGCTATAGTTACTCAGTGTTAAAATGAAGCTCATTCTTTTTGAACAAGTAGGTTTTCTACATAGAAATTTTTGTGTTGTTAAAAAACTCATTACTGTATTTATGATATTTTCCTAAAATAAACATGGATTGATGATAATCAAATTTTAAGATGAAATTGATTTTCATTTACAAATAACTTTCTTTAGCACTCTATACATAATTTACTTTTTTCCAGTTCGAAAAATATTACAAGTTTTATAAATTATTCAGTGCTATTTAGTAGGAAAATAATGCTCAGATAATGCACCAAGGAAATTTTTATACAAATTGTATCTAAAGAGTGTTGTTTTTTAAAAAGGTTTTTCAAGATTGTATCTTGCTTTTTTTTCAAGTGTTTGATGACTTAGTAGTTAGTTTTCCTTAAAGCTCCTTATTTTCATTCTATTGTCTATAATTAAAAGACAAATCATGTAAATTAGTGAAATTAGCATATTTTTATACTATACCTTTAAAATATTTACTTCTCATATTATAATTAAAAAACTATTTTAGGTTCTTCAAAGTGATCTGTATGAAAGTAAAGAGTTCCTTGCGAAAATAAGTTTAAAAATACCATGGTCAGATCTGATAAAAAATATTGGTATATTTCAATCATGTGAACAAGTTCAAAAAATACTAGCTACACTTGGTAAACTACTCATTATATCCGGACTAGATGTTTCATTGACTCAGGTAATAATTCAGATATTCTGAAATATATTGACTTTTACATTATTGAACGTTTAATTTCTTTTAGTTGTGTTTCGCATGTTATACACTCCCTTCTTACTCTTATAAAAATGATAAGGATCCACTAGCAGCAGTATAAAATTAATATATTAACGCATCATTTCATAGGAGATAATAAACCTAAAGTTACATTTCCCACTTATGACTTAAGTGCCAGTTTTTTTTATTGTCAAGAAGAGTTTTATAGTTGATTTTGTTGAAATTTTCAGGATATTTTCTTTATGTAAGAGTTTTAGAATTTTTTTTTTTTTTTTTGCAAAAAAAAATTTTTTTTTTCAAGGTTTTGTAAAATCAAACCTGCAGATCCACTGGAATTTTTAAAAAAACACATCTATTTACATGCAGTAATACTTTTTATGAATGGAGTTAGCATTGACCATTATTTTGTGTTTTACTTTCACACTAATTATTAAAATATAAATAACTTTCAGTAGATATTTGCATTGAAGGTCAAATGTCATTAAAAAATCATAAATATAAAGGTATTTTCTTTATGTAGACTCTTTTTCTTTATATATTTTCTCTATTTGTTTTTTATATAGACTTGAATCGTCAAAATCTACTCGCACCAATAATGTATTACAAAGGTATATATTTCAATAAATACATGCTAATCAGTGGCGTACCTAGAACTTTTGCCGCCCGGGGCGATCTCCAGTTTGCCGCCCTTTCTATTATAAGTCAATCAAATAGTGGTTTTTATAAATTAATACACATAAATAAATTATTAAGTTATTTAATTAATATTAATTAATACACAGATTAAATTTTTTAGACATATTTGTATCTACTCTTCTAGCTTTCATACTAGAAAAATCGTGTATAATGCTCTCAAAATTTATATTATTTGTAATTTCTTGTTCTATTGACAATATTGCAAGATTTTGTAGTCTTAATTGACTCATTGTAGAACAAAGATAATTTTTTATCAACTTCAATTTTGAGAAGCTTCTTTCGCAACTAGCGACACTGATTGAAATTGTTAAAAAAATTCTTAACAAAATTACAATGTTGGGAACAGAATTTTCTAACCTATACTGCTGAATAAATTTTAGCAGATCAAGAGGGCCCTTCTCCCCGTTTTTCCAATGTTTTGCCTCTTCTTTTAGTGTAGGTACAGCCATAAAAACCTGAATCCTTTTTCTTTCAATATGGAACTGTTCTTTATCAATGTCAATCAAGTCATTTATTTGACATTCAAATTCTTCATTTAGTAGGTTACACGGTATTATACACGAATATTTTCTTACAAGGCCATGCAACTGATCGAAGCGTTCTTTTATTTCCTTTATAATTCTGTCCATAGATGAAAACATTTCTCTTCGTACTTCTTCTGAGGATAGCCCCACGTCTCGCGAATTTTCCCCACTCATATTTTTTCTCCTTCTAACTCGACGCTCAGTCGATATCTCCAACTCTTCACAAATTATTTTGGCTGCTATAACAGCGTTTTGTACTAGCGTATCTCTTTGTTCCATGAAATGTGTTTGCAAAGAATTTAGTTATATATGGCATTGGTGGACATTTAACCCTTTTATTTGCAGGTATTTTTGAGCGTCATTAATTTCCAAAAGGACGGGTTCCCATAAATGAAGGTAACATAGAAAAGAAAAAGATTGCATAGAATTGAGTAATACTCCAGCATCTGATCTCGTTTTACTATTTTCTTCTTCAGGTGTCAATTTTTCCAAAGCGCTTAAAATGTAAAAAAAAATGGGTTTTTTTACGATAGTTACCGCGGCAGCTCTAGCGTTCCAGCGAGTTTCTACACTGCGTTTAACACCTTGACCAGTGACAGAAAGTAAAATATTCCATCTATGAGTGGAAGAAGAAAACAACGAAAACAACTGTTCGATAGTTCCAAAAAATGTGATGGAATTGATAGCTGTAGAAGCTTCGTGTAAACATGCCAGGTTTAAAGAATGATTTGTACATGCTACAAATTCTGCATTTGGATTTATTTCTTTAATACGAGTTTGAACACCGCTGTGCTTTCCTGCCATGACGGCAGCATTATCGTGAGCCTGTCCTCTGCAATTTTTTATATCTAAACCGTCATTTTCTAATTTCGTTAAAATCATATCTGTGATTTCACCAGCAGTTTTTCCTATAGTTTCTACAAAGTCAATAAACGATTCCACAACTTTAACTTCGCTACCATCAATAACTACATATCTAATAATTTGACTGGTTTGATCTTTGTGTGAAATGTCAGGAGTGCTGTCAAATATAATACAAAAGTATTTAGCCTGCTTTATTTGATCCATAATTGTTTTTCTGACTGCGCCTCCCAATAGCTCTATGAATTCGTTCTGGATCTTCGGCGACAAATAAGAGATACTATATTTATTACCCATCTTAATTTTTACTACGTGTTCATGTAATACTGGGTCGTACTTAGCCAATAAGTCAACAAGCTCAAGAAAATTTCCTCTATTTTCCATTGAATTGATGTTTTCCTGATGAACACTTTCACGATGTTCTCGAAACGCCAAATTTTGTTTTGCTAAGAATCTAATTATATCAAGTATTCTTGTTAGAATTTCCTTCCATTTTTTTTATTTCTTTATCAATATTCTGTTGTTGTAGTTTGTCAATAGTTGCGCCACGTCCAAGTCTTATTTCTAATTCCTTCCATTTGGAATATGATCGAATGTGCAGTGGACTCACCTCATGTTAACTAATTTTGGGATTAAGTTTCCACCATTTGTCAAAACCATTTTCCGTATTAAAACCTGCTTGACAAAGATTATCAAACAGTTTTCAGCAGAAACAATAAATACTTTTCTTCGATGGTGAATATACCATCCACGATCGTAAGAGCTTTTCGCCATTAGGCAAAATTTGAAAAAACCAGTCCTGACTCAGTTTTCTTGTTTCACCTTTGGCTTTGATTGTATTATTAGGACGTTTTACTCCCTCGCTGAAGTCGGCGTCAAAATTTTGAATTGCAAAGGGACCTTGACGTACCAGAAATACTCTTGTATTGTCGTCAATTTTGTTAGGCCATAATCCAATATCCTTCATAGAAATAGACGGAATAATTTGTGCAGCAGATTCTTCATCAGAACTTGATGAACTTTCTACTTCTTCGCCAGTGTGAAGCAGGTCTTTCCTCTTGAACAACATTGGAAAATGTTTTTTCGCCTTCGAGGGCTGCTTCTTCGCCCGTATTTGAGGCAACAATACTAAAAGAACTAGAAGTTGACTTATGGGAGATATATTTGAGTAGTGCTCCAGTATTTTTAGTCTGTATTTCCTCCCTTTTCTTCCTTTTCTTTCTAAATGACGCACCACTTTCTTTTACTCGTTTCATCCTAGGGATATATAATAAAAATATAACTTGTCGAAATAAATAGTATATTATGTACAGAAAACGGCAAAGTCATTTTACTACTCTGAATAGCATTTAGAATAACATCTATATCTATACGTAATATAATATACTTACCTATAATAAACTCTCCAAATGCACTGGCACCCTAATAATTTGTTTCACTCTTCACTGTTAAAAGATTGAATCGCGAATGAACAAAATGGTTTATATGCAATTTATCATTCCAAATACAATTCTTCAAAACGGACTGAGTATATTTATCTATTTGCGATTCCTGAAATTATAACTTCGTCAGTATTTTTGTTTTGTCTCGTTTAGATTTTGTTGTCTGAAAAAGATAGTTCTTATACCGGCGCCCTAATGCTTTGCAGACCTAGCAGACCGGCGGTCTTCTGCCTTCACGCCTTCCGCCGGCCCTGCTAAAAAAATATTGATATATCACTTCAAAGTAATCATATAAACTTTTCAAAAGAAATGACATTTATAAACTGATATCAAAAAATTTTAGTTAGGAAAAATTGCCGAACAAAATCGTAAAGATCCTTTTACGAATTCAACGAATTTTAATGAATACAATAAAATAAAATTATTATCTTGTTCTTGAATTAGAATTCAAAACACTAAAATGCATTTATATACACCGAGGAATAATATTCGAAATCATATAGTTAATCATAATTTATATAAACCAAATATTAAACTTATAATTATCATAATAATCATCTATTATTCAAGAAAGAAAATAAATATGAAATGAATAAGTTGCTTTTTACAACTATAAAAAATGCCGCCCCAAGGTAAGTGCCGCCCGGTGCGGACCGCACCCACCGCCCCCACTGGTACGCCACTGATGCTAATAAGTAGTACCCAAAGAAATAAATATGTATGTGGTGTAAATTTGAAGTGACTTTAAAGTTGTCCTTAAAGGAGCTAGAAACTAAAATTTTGCACAGCTTTCAAGGTCATTAACTGCCTTCGTCAAAACTAGACATGTATGAAATTTGCTGGAAAAGAAGCCTTAAGTATAGCAGAAACAAAATCAATTCTCAGAACTAAGGTTATTGATTCAATTTTTATATGATATGACCCTAAATTTTTATGCATGCACCTGAGTAATTGAATACAGAAATAGTTATAGGAAAATTGTAAATTGTTTTTAAAAAATATGATTCAAGCCATATGAATATCTGAGGTTTACACCATCTCCTTAGGTGAGCCTTAGCCTTCATCTAGAATTTACTGAGAGTAAAGATGCAAAGGGGCAAAACATACTTGTTAAAGTCTAGGCAAGTGATATGTTTCTGGTGTAATTTTTATGCAAGTCAATATATCAATTGGTCAAGAAGTTATTTGAGTTTTATATCGAAACAACAATTTTAACTCTTTCATATTAATCTATCTGACATTGCTATCCAGGCACATGAGCTATTGATTCCGATGTATTTAAGTAATTGATAGAAACACTTCAGTTCACTAAAGTTTATAAGTTATAAAAGATTTGTGCATAAAAAATACAGTTAGCAGTCATCTACTTGAAACTTTTAAATTGTTAATGAATTGAACTGTTCTTATCGATTGCTTAATACAATGGAATCAACACCTCACATACCTGTATAGCACTGTCATGCATATAAATATGTATGAATCAGATTTTGCTCTGTTTCTATATCTAGCTTAAATAACTTCTTAACAATTAAATCTATCGATTTTAGATTTGTCATTCTAATCAATGTAAAAAATTACACTGTCTAGATAGCAACGAATATGTTTTCTCCCTTCCCCCTTAAACTTCAGATATTCATGTTGAGTTTAAATCACTATTTTTAAAATAATTTTCATTTTTTTTTCCATGATTATTTATGTATTCAATTACTTAGATCTGAGCCTCAAAACATAAGGCCATATTATATAACAGTTAAGTCACTATCTATATATCTGTGAAATTTTTTTAAGCTATACTTAAGGCTTCTTTTCCAGAAAATTTCATATTTGTCTAGTGGGCCGGGATAGCCTGGTCGGTAGGGCGCTGGGCCCATATCCAAGAGGTCGTGGGTTCGATCCTCGCCGGCCGAAGACTCCCCGTGTAGTAAATGGTGACTGATGCACGTTAAATCTGTCAAGTCTAAGTCCTCCATGTTCCCACAACAAATCAATACCTCTGGGGGTACTTATCCAGGAGTTTCCTTGTCTTCTGGATTGGTTCAAAATTACAAGGCTACGGAGTTGAACGTTAGTAGTCGTAAACCCATGAAATTGGGTCGGCTGTTCAACGACGGTTATAAAATAAAATAAAATATTTGTCTAGTTTTAGCAAAGACAGTTAATGTCTTGAAAGTTATACAAACCTCCAATTTCTTGCTACTCCAAGGTGAATTTTAAGATCACGCCAAATGTCGACCACACATATGTTGATTTTGTTAGGTAATACTTATTAGTATGTCATAGCAAACTAAATCTTTTTATGGTTTACTGTTGTCAGAATTAGATTTTAACAGTCTAAGAAAAAAGCTTAATTTCAAAAAATGTTGAATAACCTTTGACCTTCAGTGCAAAGGTCCATTAAAAGTATTTATGTCTTAATAGTTAGTGTGGAAGTAGTAGAACACAAAGTAATGGTCAGTGCCATGGTCCACTCATTTGATAAAAATTAATACTGCATGTAAATATATGTGATTTTTGTGTGTGTGTTTGAATAGAAGTATTTTTCAACTTTGACCCCGCCTTACAAAGAAGAAAAATTGAGGGAAAATTTTTTCAAAAAAATAAAAAACGGATTCACTAACAGTTTTACGCAAAGAACATATCCTGAAAATTTCACTAAAATCGAAAATGTCACTTATCCAATCTTACCTGATTCTCCCAATTTAATTTTTTTTAATTAAAAAAACTAACTCTGAATTACTCGAGGAAAGATTTCTCAATAAAACGAAATCGATGTTTGATTAATTTATGTTAACGAGTTTTTAATTCAGAATTCACACACTATAATGCATAGGTTACTTTTTGTTTTTTACTAATGAACTTTTTAGTAAACACTTAAAAGTTATTCTTAGTTTATACCGTATCACCTTAAAAATTTCTTTATTGAATTTTCCCTGCATTTTTTCATACTTCAGTTTTATAAAGAAATGTAAGTTCAGAAATTTAAAAAGTTTTTTTTTTTTTTTTTTAATGTTTGCTTTTCTAATACTTAACATATTTCTTTCCACAGAAGTACTAATATTATGTCAACCTAATTTTAAAAACATTAACCTTTCATAGTTTCACATGAAAAAAAAATTTATTCAAGCTTGCATTCTTTGCAGAACAGCCTACTTTGTTAAATGTTATTCTCCTAAAATAAACAGTATTAAAAAAAAATACAAATATATCCCCCTCCTATTTTTCCCATTCAACTTTATATTTTTATTTTAATTCCAATTTATTTTCCATTCAGCTTTATGTTCAATAATGTTTTTGTATTTTCTTGATAAAGTCTCATATAAACCAAACCTATTATCTCTTTTAGAGCAATGCACATAAAAATAAAATAGGAGTTTTGGAAGATCTACCATGGTTCATATTGACTTTGGAAGATGTTCGAAGTTTGTTAACTTTGTATTACTCATCATATAATCCTCAAAATATCATTAAAGATGATCCTCAAGGAAGTCCAAATTTTTATATTTTGCAGTAAGTTGCATAGTTAATTACATTTTCTCCTTAAACATTTAAATAAAAAGCAAAATATAATTGAATTTCAATCCCACAGACCCTACAAGTGTTGAGCCCCTTAGCAATATAGTTTTTATATTTACCTGCTATGCACTAGTGTCCTATGATCTAGGGCAGTGATGGGGAAACTACAGCCCGCGGAAAAGTTTAATCCGGCCTGTTTAAGAGTGCTGTCGTGAGAATGTTTGAACGTGTTCTTACTTCGTAATGTGACAACCCGCATAAAAACTTCCTGTAGTGATATTCAAGACACAATAGTATTCTGGACTAATCCATCCGACCAAAACAGATGACTCATCTTCGCTCGAAACTTCCAGACACTCTCGCATTTTTGAATCATTGTTCTGTTTTCTCGAAAGAACCGGAAAAATCCAATTCCTGAACAATCCTTGCAGGTAGGTATAAATACAAGCGAGGCCGCCCGAAGATCAGTTAGTTAGCGACTTAGTCAGTCATCTGCAACGACCCGCTGTGACTCGAGTAATAGTTTGTGTAATCCCCGAAACTCCCACTGCCTCAATAGTCCGTGGGCCGAAGACTAAAAAGCAGTTCTAAACTGATTTTCGTTCCTACACTCAAGTGGCAATTTTAATCTTCCAAAATAGAACTCAATCTTGCCTGGGAAATATAAATTCGCGAAGTTCTCCAAAATATAATAGGCCATTAATTGACAGTTATCAAAATATTGAAGAACAATTTTAATTTCATGAATACAGAATTTTGCCCATGAATATCCAAAGAGGAGGGTACTGTGACGTAACATGCAAATAAATTGACCAATCACAACCAAAAAGCTTCGCGATTTGCGTCTGCTCTAGTTCTTGTTTCCTTTGCTTCAAACTGCTTTACAATTTTTGTATAAACGTTATAAAAGTTTAATAAAATTATAATTTCATTTTAAGAGGACCTGCGCAAACACCCGCGCAAGAACATTAGTTAGCAGTAAGCTTTCGCCAATTGCGTTTCTGTGTGTTGTTCTCCGTAGTAGGTAACGTCTAAAATGGACGCTAAAAAAAGAAAAGTGAATTCAGAATGTCGAGTTTTTAAAGAAGAATGGACGTGGAAATATTTCTTTACTTTATTTAAAGAAAAACCTGTGTGCTTACTTTGCAATATAACTGTTGCAGTTTTAAAAGAATATAACATTCAACGCCATTTCAAGAGCAAACATGGAAACCACTCCTACTCATCGTTAAGTGAAGAGGTTAAGAAAATTAAATCGAAAGATTTAATAAAAAATTTATCAAGTCAACAACAATTATTTCACAGAGCTAATCATTCTCAAAGATTCACTACGAAAGCCAGTTATGTGTTGGCTTATAATATTGCTAAATCTAATAAAGCATTTTCAGATGGTGAATTTATAAAGCAGTGCATGATAGATGTGTGCGATATTATGTGCCCTGAAAAGAAGAATGATTTTCAGTCACTGTCTCTCTCAAGAAGAAGAAAATATTGATAAAAATCTAATTTCACAACTGACTACAAAAACTCAAAAATTTATTTTTTATTCAATTACCATGGATGAAAGTACAGATATCAGCGATACTGCACAGTTAACTCATATTTGTAAGAGGAATCAACGCCCACTTTGAAATTACGGAAGAACTTGCAGGGCTGCAGTCAATGAAAGAAGCAACGACTGGTGCCGATATATTTTGTGAATTTGAAAATTTGATCGATAAACTTTGTTTACCTATTGATAAGTTATGTAATGTAACTACAGATGGTGCTCCTAATATGGTTAGAATCAATCAAGGATTTGTTGGGAAATTTAATTCTAAGTATCCGGAAAATGATGTTGTTTTTTTGCATTGCCTTATACATCAGGATGCTCTCTGTAAATCGACTTTAGATATTGACCATATACTTAATATTGTTGTAAAACTAGTAAATATGATTCGTTCCAGAGGATTATTACATCGCCAGTTTCAACAGTTTTTGGAGTCCATACATGCTGAGCATTCCAATATCCTGTATTATTCAAAAGTTCGTTGGTTAAGTGCTGGAAAAGTATTTGAAAGAATTTGGGATTTAAAAGACGATATTGTGAATTTTCTTCTTGATAAAGACATTTATAATGAATTTGACGTCTTAGAAAACGAAACGTGGCTTTATGATTTCGCTTTTTTCACAGACCTCCTCATACACATGAATATACTTAATCTCAAATTGCAAGTGAAAAATCAGTTTCTTCACGATATTTGGCAATACCTGAAAAGCTTCAAATTACAGTTATTATTATTTGCTAATCAGATCTCTAAATCTGATTTTTCTCATTTTCCAAGAATACAATCTTTGAAATTCACTATATCAAACAATAAGATTAAAAAATACGAAATTAATTTGAGAAAACTATCTTCAGAATTTGAAGGGAGATTTCAGGACTTTAAAAAAATGGAACCAGAGTTTAGTATTTTTGCGACCCCATTCAATGATAATTACGAAGAAGTTGATGCAAAATTTCAACTTGAGTTAATAGAACTGAACTGTAATACTCTCCTGAAACAAACTTTTCATACAGTACCATTACTAGAATTTTATAAAAATTTAAGTCCAGATAATTTCCCAAATCTAATTACTCATGCAATGAAGATAATGACAATCTTCGGCTCATCTTATATATGCGAACAAATCTTTTCAACAATGAAGCTTAGGAAAACTTCTTTAAGAAACAGAATTACAGATGAGCACCTTTCATCAGTTTTAAGAATTTCTGCTTCGCAAATGGAACCGGACTATGATGAAATTTTGAAGAAACAATCTCAATTTCATTTTTCTCATGCACCATCAACCAGTAATGACACCAGAAAATAAAGTGATAATACTTCACATCAAGAACTACACTAAATTCATTTTATATTTTGTGCTTATAATTTTCTTTCCTTTTGCTTTTTTACTATTAAAATAATAAGTGTATGTAATAATATATGTATATGTTTAAAGAACACATAAATTTTTTAACGATTAAGCATTATTCTTTGGCCCGCTATGATTGTCTAGTTATTACAAATGGCCCGTCTGATTCACAGATTCCCCACCACTGATCTAGGGTTAACTGCTTTTTTATATATGTGTGATTATATAGAAATTTCAGGTGTCCAACAGAAGTCTTAATAATAAAAATTTGCATTTTGAAAAGTTCGTATTAAACAAGCTTTATAACTCTTAATTTGTCAATGTAAAGAAGTATTAAACCAACATGAAGCCATCAAGTTATAATTGTCAATTCAATGGAGGAGAAAAACTAACTCTGAAAAAATTCAAAATTTATCACTCTTCTAAAATCAAAATATTCTTTACATATACATATATTTTATACACATACTATTCTATAAAAATACAGACAAAATGGATAACTCATATCTAATAGGTCCATTACAGAAATATTCTCTTTTTTTTCTTTTCTTTTTTAATAAATTTGAATGTTTATATTTTTTAAACTTAACACTTTTCACTATGGGCCTCTTTCACCCGACATCACTACATAGATACATTAATAAATGGAAGAGTGAGTTTAAGTGGTGGCAGAACTCAGGAAAATGAAGCTTCTTCAGAAATATATATTTAGTTGATTATTGTAACACATGAATAAAATACTAATGATTTGATGAAAGAAAAATAACATAATCATAACTATACATAGCAACTCAACTTCTGAAAATATCTTACATAATAGCTTTACCAAACAAAGGGAAAGAAAGCTGATTAAGTCTCTCCTTTTAAACATAGAAATTCCACGTTATCAACCAATTACAAGGTACAGAGCATCTTGCATAAATTATTTTACAGGTAGATAAAAAGTGGAGTAGTAATTGACTTCTCCCGTAAAGAAAACATTTTCTCACGAGCAGGATTTGTTACCAATCCCGATGAATGCCAGACATCAAATAACAAGCATTTCCCAAAGTGTGCGTCTCGGCACTCTGATGAGCCACAAAGTCTTTCCAGTTTTTAAGCTGCACCTGTTAAAATTACCCAAAAAGTTACAACACTGAGCCTTATTGGAACAATTTCTGTCATGTATGGGCTTTAAAATTCTAAAATATGGGTGGTTTTCTAACTGTAGAATGGAAAAAAAGTAAAGAAAGATTAAATTCCCTGTAAAACACTTATCAAAACTTGTTTAGAAATTTCAACCTCCCCAACTGAAATATGAGCAGGATAAAAAGTGGTAAGGAATGAATACTGAGACAACCTATTTGATAAAAAGAAAATGCCTAGTTTTCTACAAGTAGATCATTCAGCCTGTCTTGGTAAGCAAGTGTTAATGGTATTATTCAGACTGATTAAAAACTTATCCACTGAAGGCTAGAATTTTAAAAAAAACTGATGTTATGGCAAACAAACAGTCCTCTTTGTAATACAATAATAATTCTATATGCAACATGAATTTTTTTTTTAAAGAAGTAGGCCATAAAGATGCTAACTGCTTCACTGGGGAAGATTTTTTAAAAGTAAAACTAGCATATTTTTGCAATATTTTTGAGACGTTTTAATACTCTGAACCTCATACTGCAACAAAAAAGTCATGTACCTTTTTAGGTCACTAGAAAACATTACAAGATTACAGCAGTCATTAAAAAACTCAATTTTTAAAGAAGAAAAATGAATAGAAGTACAATGACTGTCTTTAAATATTGCATCAATTTTTGACGCAAAATGAACTTGCTCTCTCACTCTATAGAAACATTTTTAAGAGCATTTTTCATAGTTAATCATATGGTTTGACAAATATTATCAAAATGAAAGCTTCAATAGTTTGGCTTTGATTCAATATCCTTTTAACATCAGTGCTTTGCCTGAGTTTAATTTCTTGAGAAGAAAAGAATCTCATTAAACTGTCTTGCAACTAGGTTTTGAAAGAGAAATTTGCTATCTCATAGATTTAAGTGGGTAGCTGTCGAAAAATTTTATTTTGAGGAAGAAAAAAAGCGCTGTTTTTCGAAAAAGTTTGAGAACCGCTGAGTTACATAAATTATCATGTTTTCATTATAGTGATAAAATACAAAAAAAAAAGAAAAAATTTTATTAAATAAATATAAAAAGTCCATCAAATTTCTTAAAATACCTGCTTTAGACTACATTTTAACTTATGTTTTATTACAAAATCACCAAATTAAAAAAACTCATCTTTATACCATCTACAGTTTTTTTTATAATGATTGCATATAAATGTCAAATTAAATCTTTCAATTTACAACAATTTTAAATAAGAGAAATTTAAATGTAGGTAAATTAATGAAGTGATGAGCACACACATTATCTTTGATATTCGTGAAAAAATTTTAGATTGTCTTATTTTATTAAAAAATACATTTATATAAAAGAGCAGTTTAAATAATCATGATAGGACTGAAGAGGTCAATCTTTTGATACTAATTTCACTGATTAACACAAAAAATAAGCTTGTAAAAATTATAAGAACTATAAAATGGTTATTCCATCTTACTTTTTGATAAATGTGTAACCAAAGACCTACCTCTCAGTTTTGAGTTATTTCTGAGCCTGGCAAAAGTAAAATTAAATTTTTCTTTGCTTTTAATGTTTGAGAAATAATTTCAGGGATTTTTGTTGTTATCAAATAATAGTTTTATTTAAACTTGTTTGAAAATGCTGCAAAGAATTTGTAAATGCTTCTGTTCGAAAGCCATCAAATAAATCAACCCTATACTACCTGTAATATACAATTTCTAGTCTTATTCTTCCCTCTCACTCACTTTTATTTATATGTTAAAAAATTCTATAAGTTTTGTTATGCTGTCAACTTCTTTATATGCCAAATGAAAACACTTTAATGAACAACAATTGTTTTAATATTGTTATCTTACAATAAGTTTTATTGGACTTATAACTGGCTATCACTAAGTCGATGATAAATCTTTGTCTACTGAATGAAACTGAAGTGACTTGATTAGTTACAGGAAAGTCAAATTTTATGAAATAATTTGAAATAAAATTGAAATATATTAATTTAAACTTTTTTTTCTAGATTGAATGGGGCTTACTTTTTTAGATCTTAAGTACATTTAATGATTTATTTTAGACTATAGAACATAAAAAATGATTTTTCCATATCATAGGCTAAATCACTTCAAAACTGGTGCATAATAAAGACTTTCTCAGTGTTAACTTTCTTCCCAAAAATGTACAAGAATATCTTTTTTTTACTGTTCTCATAATTTTTTTTATTATGATTATCTGTTGCTAAACTTATTGATAGTTATTTCATTGAATGTGTCTTGAACTTATTAAAGAATTTTTTTTTAATTTTTAGGTTTTTGAAAATAATTTGTGGCATGACATTGACTACTGGAGATGAAAGTTTCAATATGCAACCAAAGCAACTTATTTTCTTTCATTATTTCAGTACCTCTTTATCTCAAGACATTATTAAAAAAGAATCACCTTTAAGAAATGAACATAATTTAATTAAGATTCTGCCAGAATTACTCAGTGACATTGATAACTTATTAAGAAGTAATTAACATTTAATTGCTCTGAAAAAGTTACCTATTTGAAAAATTTGTTTAGATGTTGTGCATTTGTAAAAAATATATTTTCACTAATTGCTTTTACAAAAGCAAGATGTATATTATATAATTAAAGCATAGATGCAAAGATGTACATTATGTAATTAAATGTCAATAGAGCTTTTGTGTAAATTAGTAACAACTTAGTTTTCTAGTTTCATTCATATTTAGATAATTCAGTTTTTTGAATTGTTATTGGGATATGATTTCATGCTTATGCATAATATCCAATAATCTCCTAAGGATAATTCTATAACGATTAAAGGCAACAGGGTACCATTAATAGCACAAAAACATAGTAATATACAACAAAACATAAACATTGATTATGATGAAGATACTGTGTTAAGTATTTATGAAGAGGTTCATAATATAAATAAACAACATCCAGGCACTAAACAGATAAACAAAAAGGACTAGCAATCATAAAATATTATTAAATCTTGCAGACCGTATTTATGCAAAAATAACAGTTAAAAATTCATGATTATCCTATTCGTAGTTTAGAAGTTGCTGTGCCTAGAACTCTTCAACAAGAAACTCTTAAGCAATTAGATGAAATGGTGGAAGCAGGATTAATTGAACGGAATACAATCCAGTAGTCATGCCCAATACTTTTGGTTAAGAAATAAAAATGATTCTCCTAACAGTAACAAAAATTTAGATATATGATTAATTAATAGCATCTTTAAACATTCGACTTTCTCACTTACTAAGATACAAAATAAAATATCATTTTAAACTTTTCTACTTACCGCTTTTTTTACTGTTTCGACTTTTCTAATGCTTTCTGTCTGCTCAACCTTCTTTAAAAAACCAAGATAAACTAGCATTTACATCCTTTTGGGGCACATTTAAAAATAAACGATTAGTTTTCGATTTAAAAACTGCTTCAACTGTTTTCGCTTTGATGGATTCAATAATTGACGAAACTCAACTGGAAGGAATATTTGCTCAGCAATTGCAAGTAATTCTTTTGAAGAAACTATAGAAGAATTAAAATTCTTATTTATTTTTTAATTACCTATAACACTTTCACCGAGCAAATGTAATATTTCATCTAACTAGAGTTTGCTTTCTTTGACTATTTTTTTTAAATATTTCTGCATGTAGTAACTAATTTTTTATTTGAAATAGAAAATAGCTGATTTTAGGCATGTTTTAGACCAGTGGTTCAAACTTGTTTAAAGATATCTTTTTCAGCCTAAGACCTGTTTCAGACCAACTCTGGGTGCACACATACTAAGTCTCAGTTAACTCAATTTACCCTTAGTCAATTTCTAAAATTTGTAAACATTATACCTATTAACCAAATAAATTTTTATTTGTTACATTTTTTTTTATTTTCTTTTTTTTCAAGCATTTTTCTTTATAAATTTGATATTCCCATAGTGTTACAATTATTTGTAAAACTTTACAAAGTTTCCCAGTTATGCACTACTTTGTCATTAAATTACTTGGCAAAAACCAATTTTTATTGCAGAAAAGCAACCTGCTTAAAATTTGGAAAAAACCTGGAACAAATACTCAGATTGTTAAAAATGACTATTACTGTACCCTCATTGCTGTTTAACTAACTGGTGTATTTTACTGTCTTTTGCATTACTTGGCAAAAGGAAATTTAATGTCAAAATATTTTCAATATTTACAGGCATCTTCTATAAACATATTGCTTTTTGCTGCTATTGGTTTTATTGTATTATTATTTTTTATAAATTGGATTTAAAATTTTAAGGTGGTGGATTTAAAATTTTATTCATTTAAACTATAAAAATTATTTTATTTACTTCCATTTTAGAATAATAATATATCTTTTATTTTTTAGATATAAAGCCAGACAAACAAATGTCGCATGCATTGCCATTGGCTCGGGAAATTTTGGGATTTCTTAATAACATACCGGAATCTAGTCTTGAAGAAATTGCTGTTAACTCAGTTGTCTCATGGTTGAAATGCCACCACACTAGTCCAGTTCTTTTACCGTGTCTTCAAACAGCTTGTCAATGCCTAAACACAGTTTCAAGTGCAGTTACTGTTGCAGAATGCTGCATTGTATCTCGTTTTAATATAGGTAATAACAAATTCCTTTCTTGATCTGTGTTTAACTTGAACCTGTTGAATAGTTAAGATTCATTGTCAATGCATAGTTTGTTAGGATATTAAATAATGCGAGTCTGTTATTTGCTTCAAAAAGAAAAACAAGAAAAATTTTAATACAGCTTCAAGTAGGATTTTTTTAAAATATGTATGCTTTTTACTTCATAGTGAAACTTTCCAAACATAAATCTCAGCTCTCCTACAAAAATATATATTTTTTATTTTTCAATTCGAAAAAAAAATTATGAAAGGAAGCTGCTGTTCAAAACAAATTACTTTTAACATATTTAGGATTTTATTAAATTATTTTACCTTATGTTTATTAAATAGAGTTCTTTTAGTGAGATTTGTATGTCTTACTTAATTAAAAAAAATACCCAAAACAGAGAGTAAAAAATTTAACTTCTATTAACCTATAACTTATTTCTTTTAGAATGTTTTCTGCTTGCTTTTCTGTAAAATAAAACTGTTCTACAATCTCTTAATAATGTTTTATTAATTTAGGCAAAATGATTTACTTATAATGTTAATCCCTCTGTTGCTACTAAAAAAACATACAAGTTTATAATTATAGTTTAATCAGGCTTTTAAAAATTGTTCTGATATTTCATGCTGCCAGAAAGAATATATTACCTTCATTTATAAGTACATGATTTTGCTTATCACGATATTCACGAGAAATAATAAGTTTCTTGAAATAATTAAAAATGTTAGCTTAGCTGTTTAGAGTAATAATCATGCATTCTATTTTGAAATCATATCTTTATATGTTCTATTATGTTAAAGATGGGTCACAATTGAAAAAAAAGGCTAATTGACTAATAAACTAATTAGAAGCATAATTTTTCATTTTTAAATCTGTGCCAAACGCAATTACATTTCAATCCTAAATTTCAATTATTCAAACTCATTTGTTTATTTTCTAGAATTGAGTAATCCAGATGATGTTAAGATTATATGGAATGTTGTTAACAACTCCTTTCAAATCCAAGCTATGTCAAGAGACGAATTTATTAATACCTGTGTATATAAAAACGCCTTTCTCACTTTATACTGTCATGTGCTAGAGAGAATTTTAAAATCCTCTACCTCAGAAACTAAGAAACTGTTGTTAACAAATATTGTTAACTGGATACAAAGAGCTGATTTGAAAAATGTTAAGTAAGTACCCTTTATTATAAAGAATTAACATTAAAATAATTACTTGCCCTCTGCTTAATATTTATTTTTAGATTATATTTATGTAACCATTTAAATTAATTAACTGCTGCTTAAAAGTTTCCTTGAGCCAAAAAAAAATTTGCACTTTACAAACCTAAGTTCTTCACACGATTAAAACAATAATTAATAATTACCAACTTTAGAAGTTTGCACTAAATTTTCTAACACTAAAGTGTTTATCAAAATTATCCTTTATTGTGTTGAATGAGAGGTACTATTTAGCAATGTAAAATTTGTAGAAACCATGATACCAGGGATGGTTCACTGATTTTCTATTAAAAAAGAATATTAAGTTTTGGTTCTTAACATTTGGAAGAAATGTACAGTAGGGAACCGATTATCCGGAATGATCGGGACCATTGCTATTCCGGATAACTGATTTTTCCGGTTTTCTGAATCGCTACAAAAAGCCGTTTTTTTATTGTTAAACCCAAGTAAAAAAATTTTTTTTTTGGAAATAATCTTTAAAAGAAGAAAAAACGATGGACTAATACACTAATGATTATTTCCAAAATGATGGTAAGGTAAACATCTTTTAAAAAAGGAATAAAAATCCTAAAATCTTATGAGGAAAAAAAAATTTTTTTTTAAAATATAGCGGGAAAATTTATTGAATTTCGTTCCGGTTTTTTGGTTTTCCGGTTTTCTGATTTCCAGATAACGGGTTCTGTACTGTAGTTTTATTTTTTTCACCAAACTGAAAACTTTTGTAGTTGCAGCAAGACCCATATAATATAAAAGAATACATGAACTCAGTTCGCGGAAGCTTTGTCAACATCACAGAAAAAAAATTATTATCACTAACAAAAAAGTCTAGACCTCTTCAAGTCTAAACATGAAGAGGCGGATTTTTTTTCCTTGCCTAGTGTTTTTTTTTTTTCGAATTACAAAAGTTAAAAAAAAAACCTTTTTTGACGCAAATGCGATTTCAAATTAATCTTGTTTGAAATCACATATCGTGTATCATGTTTCGTATTTTTACGATTTTGTATCCAGGGGTCTGCTTAGAAGAAATTTGGGTCCGTTAATGGACCCTCCACAAAATATCGTTTAATAAAAACGAACCCTTCACAAAATAATTTATCTTTTAATCAAACCCTTCACAAATTTGTTTATCTTCATTATTGTTTTGTTAATCGAATCTCAGTTCAAAACGAACTGAGTTTCCCTAAGTTTAAATTCTGAATGCAGTATTCTAAGAAAATATTTCTACTTTTACAAACATCGTGTGCACATTACTATTGATATTAAATAATAATTTTTTTTGTAAATAAATAAATGATAATTTTATATTCATTCATAAAATTAATTAATAGAATATTATGTAAATAAAAATTAATTTTTGGCAATTTTTTAAATAAGATATTATAAATGCAAGAATTGTTTAAATTTACTTAATGCATAACACATTAAAAGTGATACATAATTAAGTTGTGTTATTTAAAATATGTCAATTGAAATAATTAAAAACATGAGTGATTTTGTTTCCATTATTCGTCCGAAATGAATATTCTGTGTTGAGCAGTATAGGCTAAATACCAAATACTTGTATGTTGCATCTCTAATTTAGTAGCAGCAATTGTTCTGCAGAATCTTGTATCTATTTACAATTTAAAAACTTCTTGAAAAGGTTTTTAGCAATTTTTGCAATAAAAGGACCCTATTTGTACAAATTCACAAAAGCAGTACCCTTGTTGAAAGAATATGACTTAACGCTTATTTTATATTCACAAATTAGGAGTAGTTTTTACACAATTTTACAAAAACAGAACCTTTCACAAATTGTCTGGATATCAAACATCGCATTTCATATTCATGTGAATCAAAAGCCATAATTATGATTCGTGTTCAAGGTGACTTAAAAATTGTGCATCAAAATTCATATTCATGAGATTTTAAAATCAAACATTGATACTCGTTTTCACACGATTTTAATAATTAAATGTCAAGATTTGTATTCATGTGATTTAAAAATCATGTATTAAGATTCATACTCACACAATTTTAATAAATAAATAAAATATTGCATTGATATTTTATTTAAATGTTGATATCATTCTGTAGATAACATGGTTTGTAGCGTTTTTAAAAAGTGCTTATTTTCGATTTTCGTTTTTTAAAAGCCCTTAAAGGTGCTTTTTACATTGTGTGTCTTTAAAAAATTCTTAATTATCCCTTTTCGAAAATGAGATTTTCTCTTTACCATGTCGATTCGATTATGCAAAATCGGGCTTTTCGCATTGTTCTATTCAACATTTTCACGATTTATTCTACCACAATTTATTTCAGTGTATCATCGGTTCGTAGCGTATGAAAGAGCCAATCATTTTACATGTTTGATGAAATACTTGTGAGTCCGCATGTGCGTCTACTGAGCAGGGTTCTGTGAGATTATTACACTCACATGTGCAACTCTGCTGCATTTTGCAAGATACACTCAATTTCTAGCTTCATTTTCCATCCTCTGATATTGAACCGAAAAATCTCTTGATCATTTTATAATGGCTAATATAATCAAGAAGAGTTCTTTGTCAGAAACTAGTTATTTTATCATAATCGTGTTAAGTCTTTGACAATTATTTTTAATTTTGTCAATGTATCTAGTGCTTAAAAATATTTTTTGAGTGCTTGAAAAATACTTAAAAGGTGCTTATTTTTTGTCGAAAGATTTAGCTACACACTTTGGATAAATGCTACCTACATACTTCTTTCTTGCCAAAATTTCAGCTATTTTTCAATTATTTAAAAAGTGTTTTTCCACGTAACACTTTTGAATTCTCTTTTCAGCTTCTTTTTTTTCAAACTCATTCCTGTGGTATAAACCAATATAAAGTTCTATAACAATTAAACATTTTTTTAAAAAATCCATGATTTTTCAAACAAATTTTACTCAAATGTGGTAGCAGCGAAAAGGTTGAAACTAGTTAGAGGAATTGTGTGCAGTTTTTTTATTGAGATTTTGTGTTTGCAGGTTTTTCATTTTATCTAAGTCTGGTTGTAGCATTGTTATAAGAAAAATCCAATAAAGCCAAAAAAAGAAAGAAGATCGAATCATTAGTTGCAAAATATTAAATGAAACTTTTAACATTTTCCATTAGTAAATCTTTAACCTCTTTAACAATTTGTAAGTTTTTTTCTTGTTGAAGGAAATATTAAACTCAAATAAATAGCTTTATAAATCCTTAAATAATAAGTGGTCTAGCTTCATCATGGGATCTTTTCCTTAATTTTCAAATATTTGTAACTATCTTTCTGACCTAAATAGTTGCAATCCAGAAATATGGACAGTGGAATCCCCCTGCAAATTTTTTGCTTGGTTTTTTTTAAGTCTTAAAAATTTTTCAACAACTTCTGTAAGAATTTTTCAGCATTTCTTTATATATTTAATCATGAATAAACAAAAAAAAATATGTAATCAAACGAAAACAGCCACTTTAGAAAGAAAACGAAAATAAAACAACCATCATTATTCTTTTCAATCACTTTCTAGCAGTTTCTACTGTCTTTGACCTTCAGTCTAAAAAAGCTTCTATGAAAGGAAAAAGATTATTTTTCTTTCTTTTTATTTCTATCAAATTGTTTTTATTATTACTTTCCAGTATTGTTTATGTAGCAGAAAAAAGATACTCGAAAATAGGCCGCTAGCAAAAAAATATTTTTTGCTTTTAAAAATTTTGTACAGTTTGGGGGGGGGGATTCTAAAATTAGCCAATTTTTTTAAAAAAATAATGAAATTATAGAGTTAAAGTGATATGTCATCATTTGAAAAATAATCTTGGAAATAAAATCTTGCTTAACAAAAACAGTACGTAACTTAAGGTAATAGAATTGATTATAATAACAAAATCGTGTGTCGCAATAAATATGCTTGCAAGGAAAAAGATAACAAAAATCTACTACAATAAAATTTTCCAGCACTTATTAACACTCTTTTGAAAATTTATTTATACAGTAAAAAAAAATGAAAGAGAGAGAGAGCTTGTTGCTTGTTTTTCCTTCATTTTCTATTCAAGAAAACAAAGCTTGACAAAATAGTTCTAAAAAAAACTTAATTCATAAAAGTTATCTCTTGTCTGCAATTATTTTTGATTTTATTTTATGACTGCCGTTGAACAGCCGACCCAATTCTGAGTTAAAATCTCAATACCCAAACTCTGTTGTCTTATAATTTTGAACTTAACACAGAAGACAAGGTAACTGCTGGATTAAGCAATTGGACGAACTAGCCAACATGAGAGAAGACAGCGTTTCCCAAATTTTTTGGCTGCTGAACCTTAAATAATCATTCTTCTTCCGGCGGAACACTGACTATATAGATTCTGTTTATTGGGATAATTGTGAACGTAAAAAAACTACATTGAAAATATTCAGTTAGAGGAATGAAGATTTTTCTTAGTTGTATCATTAATAATCTTATATTAGATTTCATTTCCGACAATCAAATTTGCAGTCCTTGTTCTAAATCTAGTCTAATATACATGAATGAGTAAATAAAATCGAATTATGATTTAATTTGAGATGAAAACTGCTGTTGAAAATGGTTATTAGTTAAACATATTTCTTTATTGAAAAATTATTTCCTTTCTTTTGAAAAGCGCAATAGGAAGTGCTAATGCAATATTTTATGAATACTTTTTTTTTCATAATTTGTTCAATATATTGTTGGAAGAAATATATTTTCTTTTTAAAAATGCAATTTCTATTTCTTTGGCATCTTAGTTTAGTTAATTTTATAAAGGCAACCAAAACGTTAAATATATTATGAGTATGAACCAAAATTTTCAATATATTATTAAATATATATTATGTAATCAGAGATTACACAACTCATCACTGATTATAAAAAGTACTAACCTGAGGAACCTCTTCCACGAAACCCTAAGGTTTATCAGACACCATTTGGGAACCGCTGCTCTAAGTCTGTCCGTTGTCACTTTCCACTTGAACACGATGTTCAAAGCCAAAATAAAGATTATTTTCATTAGACCACACAAAAAATAAATAACATTTTATAACGCTGCTCTTTTTTTTCTATTTTAGTCTTGATTTGCAATTTATTTTTTATTTTTGAAGAAAAATATTCGAGACAATGTAGATCTATATAATAAAAAACAATTTATAAAAGATATCTCTTGTCCGCAGTTACTGTAACTTTCCATTTCAACCCGATGTTAAATGCCAAAATTAGGATAATACCACACTGAAAACAAAAAATTCCTTTTATGGCACAGCACTATTTTCTAGAAATATTTCAACTCATCGTGGTAGAAAACTTTCTGTAAACGAGTTTTGTTTCTGGTGATTACGTCATCACATTCTGATCTCGATCACGGTAATTTTCAAAATCAATTAAAAATACTTTAAAGTTAATAATTAAATCTAAATACTTAAAATGTAAAACCAAATAAGCTAAGTAAGAAAAATGAACAAAATTGGATTTAAATCAATTCACCAGGTAGTGCAAAATTCTCCTTCCGTATCTGAAGAAATGACTTATGCTTTGATTTAACATGGTCCATAAGTGCAACAAATCCTCTGGGTCTGTATGTTAGAACTTCACAGGAAGGAATGAGGGCTTCAATACTTTCGCTCTATGGAAAATAAAATTCCTAATAAAATATTTTCCCTTATGCAAAAAAAATTTTATTGGAAAAAGCAAGGAAAGTGAAAAAAATGAGAAATCCTAGGATTTGCAAAAGAATCACATCCTGGTGATACATGGAAGAAACTCATTTGTTTTTATTTGAATAACAGAAAATCTAAAAATATTAAGTTCAAATAAGCTAGTTCACATAATTATTTTTTTTTATTGTACTTTCATCAATTAGTAGATTTGTATTATAAATTATTTTGTTTGTTTTTGCTTTTTATTTTATTCTTTGAAAAATAAATAGTTCAGTCAATTACTTAATGTTTCTCTTTTAATATTGAATCAATTGTAGAGAGTCTGATGAAGGAAAGTGCTTGTTGTTGTGGGATAAAGTTTTAGAATTAAGTATTCTACTTGCTTATGAAGATGAATGTCAGGTATTTTTTATTTCTTAAATTCTAGTCTTCACTTTTCATTATTGTGATACAGTATTTTTTTCTTTTCTTGTCTTTACTAATTTTTGTCCTTATTAAATTTATCGTGTCAATAGTCTTTATTACTTTTCATCGGATTTTTTTGTGTTTTAAAAATAATATTAATTATGTAATATTCTAATTAAATAATTACCAATGTTGTCTTAATATGCAATCAAATCTGGATAATACAAATTTTGATAACACAGTTTTAACACTGTTTACTCTCGATATCTCAAACTTCTATATTTTGAAAACCTTGTTATGTCAAAAATATTTATTTCCCCTTGGCATTACATATCCACATAATGTTAATTTGAATTCCTTTGTCGAAGAGTTTTTTCTCAAAATCTTGTTTTCTTAAATATTTTACAAAATAGAAAATAATTTTTTTCAGAAAAATCCCAATATAAGTTAATTGTAAACCTTATTTTTAAAAATAAAAATATCATTACTGTATTTAGAGTAATAGCCAACTATCATTACATACATATCTATTAGTACTTATTTTTATATTCCATGACTCTACTTTTCAAAGAACTGTCTTAGAATATATTATTCTAATTTTTAGAACTTGTATAGTTTTGAACTTGTTATCTCAAAAACTGGCTATCTCAAAAAAATTTTCTCGAGAGTACACTGTATCACAAAAAAATCTGAGTGCCCTATGTATTTTTTATGTTGTTAATAAAAAAAAATCTCTTGTACATACATTTCTTTACAACCCTCAATTTCGCAAAATATTTTTGATCACTTAAATTATTTTCCCCTGTTTTCTAAAGAATTTAAAATCCTTTTTGAACTCCAATTCTTAAAAACTGTTTTTTAACAATTTAAAATAATTTCTTGAACCCCTAACAAGAAAAATTACCATGTTTGAGAAGAAATTGCCTGAGTTATCTATTCCTAAAGAAGTAGACTGTTCATGATATAGGAAAGAACTTGCCTATTTAATAAATTCAAAAGGAACTGATATTTATGAAGTAGGTACTGTTTCAGTAGGTGTTGAGAGTGTGTAGAATCAGAAATATTGAAAGAGGTTAGGGCATCTGGAAAAATGAATAATTAATTTGATAAGGCAGTTAAGAAAATAGGACTGGTAATTAACAGTCAAAAGACCAAATGCATGGTGGTGTACAGGAGAAAAAGAAAAGCTTCATCAACACTAAAAATCACTGATGAAGTAGTTTGAAACAATATCCAAATTTACATACCTAGTCACTATAGTAGCTAAGGATCACAATCTATAGTGACTAAAAATAATTCCATTAAAACTTAAATTAAAACCGCACTTACTGCAGGAAACAGAAGTTTTTTCTCACTCCAGAAAATATTTAGATCTTGTATATCAGGCATTAAAAATTTACCAACCAGTTATAACTCATGGAAAGGAAACCTGGATAACTGCACAATATAAAGAAAAATTACTTTTGACTTGGGGCAGAAAAATCATGCAAAAAATTTTGAATTGCCATGTTTGGAGAGTCAGAAATTAGAAACTATATAAATACAAAGATATAATTAACAGCATGAAGTCTACAGTGGTTGGGTCACTTAATATAAATGAATAAGAATTGTAATTTGAAAAAAGTCTTATTGGGGAAAATAATAAAAAGGAGAGGGGCTGGGATTCTTTATGGATGATTCATCCATTCATTGATTCTTCATAATCAAATGAAAAATCAAGATATTCACTTTGAAAAAAAATATTTTAAAAAATATTTATTATTTTATTGAAATACTATTTGATTTTCTGTAACCAGAATTGTCACTGTCATAAAATTTTTATGTCTCCCATCAAGTTCATAATATTAAGATTTGACTGAACAAAGCTATTTTTTTAAGATCCATATTTAGCACATTATGGATACCTATTGTTTTAAATGTTTAGATATAATTTGATAGACTATGGCAAGTTTGAATTTCCTATATTTAATTTTAGAAACATATTGTAATATTTTAAAATTCAAATTGTGTTATAAAAATGGTAAGCTTTTTAGCATTTTTACAGAGGTGTCAACTGCTAAGAATTCTACAAAATGTTTATAAAAAAAATAGTTGAGAACTATAAACTAAAATCTATATATTTTTTTATTCATTTTGCAAAAATTTTAAAAGGTTCAATATTAAATAACTGTAAAAAAGTGGCATTTCATATAAGCCTTTGAATTATTTAGAAGTAATGATGGGGAAATATTTTACAAATTGCTAAACTAAGAATCGTACATTAAAACATAAATGTTGCTACCACTAGAAAATATTCATCTGCAATCGAGAGCAACTTTGCATCTCTGTTTTTAAAGTAAAAATAGTTTTTCTTGAAACCTTGCTCTAAAAAGACATCATAGTTTTAAAAATCAGCCAACAATTTCGTTTCTTATCATTGGACAAGTTCCAAAAATTGCTTACAAGCATTTACAAAAAGACATGTAAAAACTAAACAATATGTAATTACTGATATGAAAATAAAATCTGCATGTATAGGCTATTGTATCTTGATAAAGTTTTGAAATTTGGTATTTTGCTGTTTTTAACAAATAATAATGATTACTTGCTATTCAATCAAGAGACTTGGTAAACAGCAATAATTGAGGATGTTTTTTTGTCTTATTTAATATTTCTTCACCGTTGCTGCCAATTTGCTAAATCTTCTAACACTTTGTTTATAAATTTATCTAAACATTTAATCATAACTTGCTTTTGGAAGCTTTCCTTTGTTTAACCAATTTTAACACATTTCAAAAAAAAATAAAACCATATGCTAATTAAAGGTTTAAATAAATAATTGGAACTTTTATTTAAAAAATAGTAAAAGTACATTTGTTTTTTTAAACAATTTTGAAATTAATGAATAATCATGCAATAGTTTTTTATTAAACCTTTTTAATTTGCTTATTAATATATTATAGGTTGTCCAGAGATCATTGAAGGCATTTTGTCTTAGAATATCATTACTTGGTGAAGATAAGACTAGTAATGGAATTTTAGGTGCCATTGGGCTGGGATCTAGTTCTCATTTATCTGTAAAGTAAGAAAACTTTTTAATAACATTACCATGATGCTAATCATACTTTTGATATACATTACTTGTCATTTTATTTGTATCTTTATATTCACAAAATATCCTTTCATATTTTAAAATTTCAATTATAGCATTTTTATTCTTCTTTTTTTTTCACGATTTAAATATCTTATTCCTTCCTTAATAATATAACATTTATAATTGATTGTTCATTGCATAAATTGATCTTAAATAAATTGTACTTGCAATACAAGTTTTTTAATATATTCTTATGTCACTCAGCAATTAAACAAGTCATAAAAATCTACAGGTCGTATCATTATAAAATAATTTTATTATTAAGAAAATTATTACACACCAAAAGATAAGGTGTCAATATTTTCAGATTACTGAATCAAAAATAAAGCACATTTAATGCAATATTGATATTTGCATTGATTAAAAATTGATGCCAAGAAACTTTAACCCTAAATATATTAATTAATTTACCTCTAAAATAAAAATAGGATTTTCAAAATTGTAATAAGGTTCAGAATATTGTTTAAATAATTGTGAACATTTCATTTTTCTTAAATTCTAGCAATATTAATTTAAATAACATAATTTTCTATTCATGCATGCCCCATCTAAAAAATAATTCAAAAGAATAATAAACTATTGACAAAAAATTAGTGCAACTTTTGGTAAAAATTTTAAAAAAATTCATGCTTGCTAATTTTAGTATGCTCCAATTATTTTTAATTTGACATTTTGCAATTCTAGACAAAAAAAACTTAATTCCACATTTTATTATTGTTTGTGCATTTTTCAATAAACAGAATTTATAAGACATGGATATACTGTCAGTTGATTTTTCAAGTTTTATATTTTTGTTCTTTGTGCATTTACAATTACTCTTGGATGATTGTTTATTAGGGTGTGTCGCCAAATTTTTCAATAAAAAATAAGCACTTTTCAAGCACTCAAAAATATTTTAAAGCACTTTTTTAAAGAAATAATAATTATTAGAATATGCTCTATAATAAAAAAATGTCTTCCTATTGAAAGGTTGTATTGATATATTGTATTCCTAAGGTATGTGTATATATATANATATATTTAAACGCAAAATAATTACCAAAAGCTTTACATAATCATGTTAAAATAACTCATTTCAGACAAGAAACTCTTTTCTTGATTGAATTCGGCTCCATAAAAACAATTTATGCACATTTTTAAATATATTCAATTTTGAGTGGCTCTCATTCTATTTTTTAATTTAACAATTATTTTATCACGTAAAAAAATTAAATTTCAATTCAAAATAATGAAACTATAATTTAAAAAAATTATTTATGAAAGTATATTCAACAAAACATTAAGAAGAATATTATTGATCATACTAAATTCATAAAGATAAGTGTAAAGAATGCAAATTTATAAAGATATGCAAACTAAGAAAATCTTAATAAATTCATATTACTAATGTAAATTAGTGAATGGCCCCTAATTAATTTTTATTAAAATTTGTTACTTGATTGAGTATTTCTTTAATGAAATGATCAAAAAAACTTGCAATAATTTCGAAATTTAAAAAATGAGTATTGAAGTTAAACATTTTTGACAGAAGTAAATTTTTATGTGTTCCATACACATAATATTTAACAAATCTGAGGTTATTGAATTTTTTATTTGAATTATTTTGAAATCAAACCATTAAGAGATAAATTTTTTTTTTTTTTTTGGAATGGCAAATCTGAATAGTATAAGATTTTTTGCTGCATTTCAAATAGAGAAAGTACTTAAATAGAGAAAGTACTTCATACTTTTTTAAAACCTTGCAGCTAAATATTGAATTTTTTAATAAAAGAACTTAAAAGTTCTGGAAATCTTATAAGTAATAATACAATAATAAAAGAGAGGCACCCTGAAGTAAAAATCCTATGATAAAAAATTCTTATTTTTTATTGTTGTTGTTGGCCATTTAGGCAGAGGGAGTGAGATTGTACTTGTTTTCCAGTGACGCCATCTATGACCAAGAATTTGAGTTCTGCCACACCTGTTTCATAGGGGGACCCAATCGCACCTCTATTCATTCATCCATAAATTGTAATTTTGACCTGAACCAGAGAACAATCAATCTCCAATATTATACTCCACCCCAGAGGTATAATTTGTTATGAGAACAGGCGGAATTTTGTGACCCGACAAATTTAATGTGCACCAGTCACCGTTTACTACACTCTTAGAGCGCCCATCCAGCCAAGCTATCTCTGCCCCAAATTTTTATTAAATTAAATGTATAAAAGGGAGATAGAAATTTTGAGGTGATTAAGCTTTGAGATTGTAGACTATTCTGAACCCATGTGAAAATATGTAATTAGTGAATGATTCCCAAGTCAAGTTCATGGATTATGGTACTAATCTATTTATAGAAGAGCACAAGAAAGCCATTTTCTTGCCGGTGACGAAGATTATGGCATTTCACCAACGATGGAAATAACAAGAGGAATAATATTTTCTTTCACTGTTAGGGAAAAAATGTAGTATGTTTAGTTGGTTCCCATGAACAGCAAAATTTCAAAGGGTTGAAAATTAAGATTGAAATTCAGAATCTCTTGCAAAATACAGTCAAGTTGCACATAAGAGCACAAAAATCTTTCCGACCGAAACAAGCTCAGCTACATGCCAACTACCAGTATTTCATCAAACATGTAAGCTTTCATACGCTAATGACTGACGGTGCACTGAATTGGATTTTGGTTAAATCAATTTTATTTTTATTTTATAACCATCGTCGATCCAATTTTGGGTCTCGTCAATTTCGAAGCCTTGTAATTTTTAACCCAATCCAGAAGACAAGAGACATAATTTCATACCCTCCAACTGCTACGGAATTTCCGTAGTTTCAGAAATCTTCTTTTCAGACGGTAGCAAAATTAATGTCTTAATATTTAAAAAAAATTAATTTTAGCGTAACTTGTCCACTATTACTTACAAAAGTGCAGGCCATATGGCTAGATTCTTAAGTTCTGATAAAAGTTTTATGAGAAATCCATTTGCTTTAAAAATTTCTACTTTGGTTCGCTACCACTAGAAAGAATTATTTTCAAAATCTTCATAAGTTGGAGGGTATGTAATTTTAGAGATTTTTTCGTATCTGAAGCAAGTAAAACTACTGTTTTTGGAGTCATACCCCGGTGGCAAACCTGAAATCAATTGTTGACACAGAATCAGATTCTGTAAATAACAGAATTGGAAGAGAAACATGGTCTTAAAAGTTTAATAAGGTGTTCGCCAGGTTCCAGGAGAAAAAATTCACTACCCTAAAACTAATTTTCATGACTTTTTCTTTCACGGCATTTTACTTCCAATTCTTTCCTTTTAAATAAATTATTTAATTTATGTAAATCATATTGAATACATTTTACATTCATATGATTAGCTAAATATAAAAACAGTAGAAAGTTTTCGACAGACCATTGACCAATATTAAGAACATGCGTTTATTAATATGCTAAAGCATTATACACTATTCTAATAGGCATATCGAATAGTACAGTGTTATAACTTTTCAAGTATTATTTTTCTATGCTATTTGTCATTCCTCACAGTGCAATTTGGCAATAAAAATTCAAGTAAAGCAAGTATCATCTTTTCTAATAATAAAAATATATTATAGGAAGACAAAAAAATATTAGTTTAAAATAAATTTTAAAAAAATTCGTACTGTTTCCTAGTTACGATTTTATCATTCTTTACTAAGCGTTCTGGGGGATTTGGTTTTTTACCCTCAAAATAGGAGGATAGCCATTTTATAAATAAATTCTTTACTTGTAATTTCATTGTTTTTAAAGTTTCAGGTTTGTTTGTCGCATTATCTCTGCATTTCTTCTTCATCAATTACCTGTCAATGCTGGAATTCGATTAGAGCCAATGGCAACTGGACACATGCCCAAAGATGCTAAAAAACTATCTCCATCTGAGCCAGGTCCTAGTTTGGAAGCCATTCAATCTTTGGAAAATTTGCGCTCCTTATTAAAAAACAAATCTTATTCTGCTCTTCGTGAACTAGTCAGTAGTGCAATAGAATACATTTTAAATTCAAACCATTGTCTTTCAGATAGTCGTCAATTTTTAAGAAGTTACTCACTATTGGTTTTTCCTAAACAAACATTTTTATATAGTATTGGTTTGTAAATACAGAATTGGAACTGGTAACTTTGCCATCTTTTGCCCCAGAAAACTACAGTAGAGAACCGATTATCCGGAACAATCGGGACCATCACTATTCCGGGTTACTGATTTTTCCGGTTTTCTGAATCGCTACAAAAAGCCGTTTTTTTTTTATTGTTAAACCCAACTAAAAAAAAAACAAATATTTGGAAATAATCTTAAAAAGAAGAAAAAAGGATGAAGTAATACACTAATGATTATTTCCAAGATGATGGTACGGTTAACATCTTTCAAAAAAGAAAGAAAAATCCTGAAATCTTACGAGGAAAAAAAATTTTTTTTTACTAAAATGGTCGGAAAATTTATCGAATTTTGTTCCGGTTATTTTTGGTTTTCCGGATAATGGGTTCTGTACTGTACTTTCTTCTACAGGGTGCGTAGCCAGATTATTCAACAAAAAAAATTAAGCACTCAAAAAATATAATTAGGCAGGGTTGGAAAGTTTTTGACAGTTGACGGTTTTATCTTGTTTTAACCGTCATGTCAAAAAAAGAAACTTCTGTCATTGTTTTTGACAATTGTCAGAAATCATGAAGTTTGTATCATGTAAAACGAATGGCGAAAACGATTAAAACAATGTGAACTGTGTCTTTTTGCATAATTCGTAGGAAAAATCTCATTTTGAAAAAAGGAAAATTAAGCACTTCTTAAAAACACCCAATAAAAAAAGCACCTTTAAGGGCTTTTAAAAATCGAAAATAAACACTCTTTAAAAATGCTACGCACCATGTTCTAACACAGCTCATAAAAACATCTGGGCTCGCTATTGTATTTGATTATTTGTGATACTAAAGTAATTTTTTGACATAAATAAGAAACAGCAACTCTGTAAAGATTCATTCCATGTTGTATATTCATGACATTATTAACAAATAAAGTGTGATACTAACTCTTTAGTTTTCATTTGAATTGTATTTTTTAGCTTTGTTGTCTTAAAATATTCAAAAACTAGCTTGATTATATATTGGACCACTTTTAATCAGTATCAATACAGTGCAACGTCCCATATCCGGACGTCCCTTTCCCGGAAGGGTCGATTTCCTGGACACTTTTTTACAATCAAAATAAACATCTCTCCATCTTCCCCTTTCCTTTAAAAAAAAAAGATCTTTTGACACATTTTCTCTTTTTCTAGCTTGCACTGAACCTCTGATTTATGCATCGAACCCATAAATCACCAGAAAGGGGAAGTAAAGATCTACCAAGACCATTGAGTGACCGTTAGTGGTGCTCCTCCTCCCTTGGAATGTAGGAAAAAGAGGGAGATTTGTTATCAAAAGACTGCAACTGAGTCCCCTCCCCCCCTCCTTTCCTATGCAGGTGGCTAGTAAAAGAGGCATTTCCTGGAACCTTTTTATTGAAAAAAGAAATACTGTGGAAAAGGGTAAACGGGGCAAGCCTTAAGGTGGAGGGGGAGTCAAAATGGAAAATTTGAAAAGGTCTAAAAGGATACACATCCTTGAGAAACAAAACATTCGTTCTTCCCCATACCATGTAATATTTAGTAGGCAGGGGGAAAAAGGGGGTAACATTCTTTCTTTAGCAGATTCTTTCAGTCATAGAAGAAAAAATAAAGAGAACCCGATCAGCGTGCCCCTCCTTTATGCTTGATTGATAGCCAATGATTGGAGAGAAAACAATAATTTGTTATTTCCCCACCCTCAACTTAAATGATCTCTTTACACTTATTTTCTTTCACAAATAAGGAGGAAATGAATTTTTCTCCTCCACCTACCCACCTTAATGAATGACGGGAATTTTCCTTTCTTGCTTGAATCATTCTAGTTAAAAATGGCGGATTATTATTTTCATGTCAATTTTTTTTCGTTTTCTATATTTTAAGCTATAATATTTTTTTTCTAATATTTCATATTTTATTGATTAGATATTCTAATACTAAAACATCATTCCCCTTAAAAATAATGTTTATTTATTTTTTGCTTCTTAGATTTAGATCATTTTAAGCATTGTTCCAGAAAAACATGAATTTCCCCTTCCTGCTTGAATCGTTCTAGTTCAAAATGGCAGATTAATATTTTAAAACTGTTAAATTTTTTTCGTTTTCCATATTTTCAGCAATAATATTTTTTTTCTAATATTTTATATTCTAAAACATTATTCCTCTTAAAAATAATGTTTATTCATTTTTTGCTTCTTAGATTCAGATCGTTTATTAAATCATTTTAAGCTATGTTTACCTCAAAAAATTTTCAGTCTTGGCCTTTTTTCCAACTTGCACCAACTTTAGCCTGAGTTCAAGCTTGGAAAAAGCAGCTTTTTCGTCCCTCAGTGAAATAGATATACCACAAAAACAAATTGAAAGAAATGTTATATTCCACAAGATTAAATTGTTAAGATAAGGCATTCCTAATTCCTCATAAATCTATCACTCCTTATCTCCCCAGACGAGTGGTCCTCTTGGCATTCAAACCCCCTTCCTCTAGCATCCACCATGTGAAAGGGGGCGACCACAAACGATTTGTTGCTTACAAATTATCAATTTGTAATTGTGGGATATCTATTTCACTGAGGAAAGCAAAAGCAGCCTGTCCTCAGCCTTATAGCTTATTACTTTAAATGAGGCTCACAACATTGATTACATAGTAGTAACATTTATTTTTAAGACTCGAGTAATCTATTCCTATAGAAATGTTGCCTTTCTTAAATGTACAGAAACCCCAGAGAATTTTCAATTAAACCAGAAGCTAGAAAAATCCAGAAGTCTAATGAAAAAAACCAGTAGAGTTGGCAACTCAGAAAATAAAAATGTATAAAATCGTTTTGTTAATTGTAGTGATGAAAATTTATTTTCTTTAAATTAAATAACCAAAGGGTGCTTTTCCCCTAATACAAGAATATGTGTCCTTTATATATGTTGACAATGCCTGTAGATAGCACCTTCGTTTTTACATTAGTCACAAAAGATGTAAGAAAACAAAAATAATTTACTATATAACAATTTTGTTCTTCTGACCAAGTTAGATAAACAGTAATAGAAAAGTGCTATTTCACCATCAGATAAAAAAAGGTTAGGAAAACTTTCCACCTTTCGAAACATAATAATTAAATATATGAATCTAAAATTTATTAGATCAAATTTTAGTGTCTTTTAGATATCCCTTTTTTAGCCAGTATGTAAAACATGCCATATTTAAAATAAACACATCACAAAGTCTGAATGAATTTAGATACTTTCATAATCTTTATTATTATTTTTCATTAGAAAGTCAGTATTTCACTTTCAAAAAATTAATAAAATATGATTATAATGACAATGAGCTAATTGTTATAAGCTTTAATTTCACAGTTAAAGATCAGATAAATAAGACAAATATTTAGAAGGTATTTTTTACTGAATGAAAAAACAAACATTTTATAAAATTGTTTTCAAATATGATACAACAATAATAACGTGTCATAAATAAAGAAATAGTTCTGATTCCATCACATAAAAAGGAAATCATCAAAGAAAAAATATAAGAGATTAAAAATTATTACTAAAATTTACTTTACTGAATATGGTTGATACAATGAAGGAAAATTAAAGAAGTTAACTCTCCAAAGATTTAAAAAAAAAAAAACTAATTTTCCAACAACAAATAAAAGAAGAGTAAGACAACTGTAAACAGGATAATAAAAAAATAAAATAAGAATTTCCAAAAATAAAGAAACTAATTTAAAAAACCAGTAAAAGTATGAAATTGATCCCTTTTAGCATAAATCAATAACAGTTTCAAATTATGAACTTGAACTTCTCTTAACTGTAAAATTTTTTATGTATATGACAAAATATTTTTCACTTGTAGAAATGTTATAAAAAGTTGTGGTTAATTTACTACACTTCTAACGCATCAGTTTTTAAGAACACAAATTTTTGACAACTGGATATCACAATTTAATAAACAATATTATACACATCAACATTTAAAAACTAATTAGATTTCAGTAAGGCAACCAGAGTACTTAAGGCACTGAATGAAAACCAGTTAATAATATACAGTGTTATATAGCAATCAACAATTTAATATTTACAGAACTTTTTTTTTATCTATATTTGTTTATTAAAACAATTTTTTTAAGATCTAAAAAATTTTATTTGACTTACGACGTTGATAATCAATGTATAAATAAATATTGTATTAAATAAAATCTGGATTTGCATGAGCTTTTAAGTGGAAATTTTTGTTTCATTTAACCAAAAAATAATTATCTTTATAGAGGTATCTGCAATTTATGGGGATTTGAAATTAGGCAACTGCTATTTACAGGGAACTGAAATTTAGAAATTAGTGAACTGAAAGAATGTGATTGGTAAAAAATCTCTTCCAGCACCAAGTTTCTCTAGTACTGGCGGAAAGTTTTTTTTTTAACCCATTTTAAGGAGAATTTTCTAAACTATAAACTTAATTTACAGTCAAAATAAGCACCAGAATAATTTTAGTTTTATCAAAGTTGCAAATGTAGAGTTTAATGGCACACAAACAGGATAGTTATACTCACAGCAAAACCTACCATTATACATACTTAAGATAACAAAACTAGAAACTATGTCAAATGAAGAAACAAACAAAATGAAAGAGAGAGCACTAGGACATTAAAGAGTCCTGGAAAACATTGGACTGAAGAAGATGAAGTACCATAACATTTTTTGTATATAGAATATTATAGTATATATTAGTTATTTGTCATCATGCCCTACAATGTTAAAACTAATTTGTAATGTGTGCATGGGAAGATGTATTCTTCAATTGCAATTAAGCATTCTAAACTTAATGTTACAATATTTCTATATAAACATAGAAAAAAAATTTCACAATAGTTTTTGGGGAATTTTTTTTTCTTTTTTTGCTAAATGTAAAATAAAAAACACTACATATTAAAAGAGGTTTTCCCCAAATCTCATAGTAGGATTTTTCGACTGCTTGTGTTACATAAGTAGGGTTGCAAGCTTTTACATGAATTTTACTTCCAAAATCAGCTATTTTTTGGAAATGCTAGAATTTGCAGGAAAATTATTTGAAATTTTTATTCAATTTACTGCTTAAATTTTAATGGCAGTTAATACTTTTAATAGTAGTAATAATTTACAATGAACAATAGATTCAATATTCAAGAGTATAATAGATAAAACATTTAGGAGAATAAATCAAAAGGAAAATGACAAGAAAATAGTTCAGAAATAATCCAAAAGCTTTTTATACCTAGCATGACAAATTGATAAGGATACCATACCTCCCTAAGTGCAATAAGAATAGAAAAGGGGAAAAAAAGGGTTTGTACACATTATTGAAAAATTTGCAGAAATTAGGATGTAAGAATATGTTAGACATGCTATGTTAGTGATTCCTTTGAGTTGAAAAACAAGTGGATATACTGGCGCAATAATATTTTATGGTTTTTTTATTGATTAGATTGATAATATGAAACTGCTTTCAACAAAAACTTTATCATATTTTTAAATATTTATTGTTATCATATTTTACAGTTTATCATATTTTTAAAGTCTAATTCCATTTTATTTCAAACATTGTTGATGTAAGTTTGAGAGTTAAAAATATGAGCTGTACGAGTAAAAAGCAATTGCTTTTGAACAATGAAAACAGTTCAAAACAAGAACTTTAAAAGTTAGAAAAAACTTTTAATGTGCAGAAATTGCAATGCTGTAGAAAATTTCTCACAGAAAGATATCTGTGATAAATAAAAGTAAGATTCATCAGAACGAAATTTCAGAGCAATTCAGATAAAATTTTCTATAAGAAAGTTATAATTTATTTTAAAATAAGAACTGGTGGAAAGATGAACAACATAAACTTTCTGAAGAATCTTATCTAAGAGATAAACAATGTTTGAGATGTGAAGCGCTACATGAATAGTCTGGAAAATCTCATCTAAAGGATCAGCAGTATTTGGGAAGTAAAACAAATACGAAACCAAATATAGCAGAGAAAAAGCAATAAAAAGAGGTTGAACAATAATATCCAAAACCTAGTTGGAATGGAAGAGGAAGGAATAACAGTTCTGTCTCATAAAGATAACTTAAAGAGTTACAAAGAGCCTGAGCAGTCCCAAGCGGAGAGTCTAAAAAATCTTAGATAATAAAGAGTTAACATTTAAGAGGATGCTGCTTGAGCAATTCAATTAATAAGAGAAATAACATTTAAAAACAGCATAGCAAAGTTGAGCATTTAATGGGTGGAATAAACAATGTAAAATAAATGGAGTTAATTTCTGCTGAATAACCCTCTGAAGATTTCGGTTCATCATTTTAACTGTGACTTGCATAAAATTCCTTGTTATCAACAGCATTTAAAAGCTCCAATTCACAAGAGGATGGTACTATTATGACCCAAATATTAAACATTAGAAGCACAAATGCTATTGATAACAAATCTTTTAAAACTTCCATAAATTACTTTACAACAATATAACTCATAGAATAATTTGGGAGATAAAAAGTCAATACATAATTTGTTTAAATATATTTTAATGTATAAGACTAAGCAAGTGGTAATCTTTTAAATTAAAAAAGTTTTTAAGTTACGTGATTGGTGCTGATTTATAGGACATAAACAGCATTTAATGGATAAAGAAGATAGAATCACTAAGCATTTTCTAAACTTCTTCTATGAGAATTGCAAAAAATCATATTTGTCATACTAATACATAATAAACAAATATAGATAATAAATGTACAAATCTTGAACAAAAAGTTATCAATTAATAAAAAGGTGGGATTACTTCCTTGAATAGAAATTTTGGCTACAGACCTAAATATTCCACACATTAAGTCTTTAAGTATATTAGCCTCTCTTTATTGTAAGAAACAAGATTTTTCAACAGCGCAAACCAAAGTTAGTATGCTAACTTTGCTAAGCTATGCTTATTTTAAAAAAGTTATGCTTATTAAGTTATGCTTTATAAAAGTTATGCACAAAGCTATGCTTATTTCAAAAGAATAAATACATCAAAAAATTTTAAATAAAGGTTATTTTGATTTTAATAAATAAATATCTCTACAATTTAGGAATTTTACTATTATAAGGTTACATTGGAAAAAAATTATAAAAATAAAACAATGCAATAAAATGTAATGGCCAAAGAAATAATATAAAAATACAAATTAGTTATTATCCCTTAATTTCTATTCATCAAATATTGTCTTTAAAATATATTACTATAAAAGATAGTAATTACTGTGAGCTAAACTGCATTCATTAACAAATCCCACTAAAATGCTACTATATTAATGAAAGACCACTGTAGTATTAAAAAATACAATAAAAGGACTATATTGTATTTATTTAAAGTGTTATTCTTTTTATTATTTAAATTTTGAATGTAGAAAGATAAAATGTAATTTAAAGCTTGTACTATTAATGTTATAGTTTTAATGTTAGACATGATTTAAAAAGCTATTACATTAATTTAAAAAGATAGGACATTAATTTAAAAGGATAAGACATTAATTTAAAAGGTTTTAAATTTTTATCCAAATATTAGTTCATTTTATAACTTATTAGATACCATTAATAATCATGGTAATAAATTGGAAAAATTTTTAAATCATGTTTATAAAGGTAAAGAAATTATAATTTATTAAAATCTCAAAGCCTTGCACAAATTATTATTTTATTAGTCAGCTGTATATAAATATAGGGTACAATAAACTTATTGAAAAACCAACATTATTTTTATGTTTTATTTAATTTTATAGGAATATTATCCTATAATATCTTATCATTAGCCATTTAAAAAGTTCAATCTATTTAAACTATACTCAGACATATTCTTTGATAAATGTATCACTACTCAGTTCATTCTTTCTCAATATTTATCACAGGGCAAATAATATGTATGATAGCATTTATGCAATAATAGAACAATTATTTTTGTTAGAAAACAATAAGAGTGAAATAATAAAGTTTTCAGGATATCACAACGAATTAGAAAATTAATGTATCTTGGAAAATATATGGTAAGCTTGAAAAGACATTTATTTTATAATGTTTAATGGCATCTTTCAACAATATTGTCAAAGTTGTTCATGCTATATAAAAAGAAGAAATCAGACCAATAAATTAGAAACCTATAAGATTTTATATTAAATGCTCACTAACAGCAAACTATGCAAAAAATGTTTATGTTGGTTACACCGCATCAGAATGTTAGTATAAGTAAAATGAGCAGACTCATTTAACGGTAAACACAGCAGAATGAAAAAATGACAGATCTTTCGCCATTTGAAAAAGGGTTAAATTTCGTATCAAAGGTTTTCAAAAGTTGGAAACAGAAACCACAGTCCTCATCTAGAAGACATAATTATGGTTCAAACACAATTTACCAAAACCCTGATCAGCGTCGCCTCCAATGAATTGTGCAACAGGGGAAAAAAAGAGACCCCATTTTGCTTCAGCTAATAAAAAATTTCAACCAAAGTTCTTCTCAACTGATCTCGATGCAAACTATACCTAAAGGATCACTGAGAATAAGAATATGTGGTCAGATGCCTATGAGGATACTTCTCATTTCTGTCCAAAAGGCTAGAATTCTATTGCCATTGTGTCAAGTAAGACAACACTGTAACTAGAAATGGGTAATGTGGACGGATAAAAAACGCAACACCTTGCTTTGCTTTGATGAAAGATGAAGCCATTAACCCATCTTTTTTAGTTTGCACTGTTCAAAGCTCTGGTGAGAGTATCATGATGCGGGACATGTTCTGCTGTTATAGAAGTGATTCCCTGTTGTTTATCGAGAGTAAATAAATAGCTGTGCAATATCTGGACATAGTAGCAGATTAGATTCATTCTGTAATGTTATATTTTAATCTGAAGGTGGCACATACATCATGGGCAATATGCCCCAACAGAATCATGGGTGACTCACGTCAGAAGCGTTCAAAAAAAGTTCATTCAATATCAATTGAGCTTCCAACACCTTTCCTGGCCACCGCAAAGCCTGGAACATAACTAACTTAATAGAAAATGTTTGGGACATTTGGCCAGGTACATTTGACAGCAATTTTCTCTTCCATCTCATTTACAGGATACAAAAGTCTGTAAATGCTGAATCAACCTGGACATAATGCCTTCCAGATGCTGGTAGAATCGATGCCCTCTTTGATACGAACTGTTATCAGTGTAAAAGGGGATAAAATATTAATCTAAGATTTCTAATTTATTGGCCAATATGTGTAATAGCTAAAGCTTTTTTTTTTATTCTTCTTGGCTAAATTGTATCATTACTGATGAATTTTTTAAAAGAATCTCCTGATGATTCAGTAATTTTAATTGAAAATTAATAATAATAAAAAAAGATAAGGAGTAAGTATAAAATAGTTTTAAGTACTCAAATTACACATTAAACATTTCTCCCATAACATTCAATCTGGAAAGAAAGGGTTGAATAGGACACTTAAGAATTTCATAATTATAAAAATTCTCATTATGAATTTGCTGCAGCACTTTTGCTTCCTCCTCATCTTCCTGTAGACAGTTATCATTATCTATTGAAGTCACATTAGAATTTTGAAGTATTGTTTTGTTAAAAACATTAGTATCAAAGAAATTGCCATTAATTTCATATGACTGATTTTCCAATGGAGCCAAAGAAGAGTTGTTTTTAAGCTGCAATTGTTCATAAGTACTGTTAGAAATTCCACTTTCTTCTGAAAAAGAGTTCAGAACTCCATTATTTTTGACAAATATATTAGCTGAATTAATATTAACTAAAATTGTTTCACTTAGACCTGAATTGATGTTTGACAAACTATTATATTTATTTTTAGTTGTTGAATTTCGTTTATAAAAAGACAATAATAATTTCTTATAATTTTCAAAGGTGAAACTAGCTGAAAACATAGTATTATAGCTGGAATTTTCAATAGTTTCATTCCAAACATCACTAAAAAAAGAAAAACTGACAGAAGGTTCCTTTTTGTTCATAGAATAATTATTTGGCACAATTCTAGTCGCTGTAACATTTACTTCAGCAAGATTAATAGACTTGGAATTTGCTTGCCTAGGGTTTTGTTTTCGATTTCCTTTAAAAACTTTGAAAAACTCTTCATTATCTTTAATTTCAAGAAGTGAATGTAAATCCAAATTTTTTTGAAATTCATACAAAAGTAGTTCATGATCTTGATGTTTAGCACTACAACAATAGACAGCACCAATATCAATGGGATGAGCCTCAGTATTAAATACATATCCTCCACCACCTATCAAGCAATTCCCTCCCGACATCTGTATGAGCTCTCCACATGATCCATTATTGTGAATGAAATTGTCAGGATCAAATAAAAGATACAAATATTTAGTTGTTTCAGCAAGAAAAAAAGATTCCATTCTATCTTCTGTTTTATGGTCAAGTACATTTTTAATCTGAAAAAAAAATAGAGCTAACTGTAAAAGAGCAAAAGAAAGAATTCCAGAAAGTAAAAAGATATTTTACAGCAGACAATTATGCAATGCCATTTTAGAATTTTTCTTTTAGTTTAAAAATTATACAATTTAATTCTTTCCCTGTTTCAATCCAAAAAAAATCATAAATAATTAGCTTTTTATAGGAAAACCAAAAATTAATTTTAATTTACTTTTTATGTTATTATCACATACAAAAAAAATGTGCAGGTGATAAGTTAAAGAAATCAGGTATAGTAAAAAAAATGACTATTTGGAGTTCAACCAATACAAAAGCTCAAATAACGAAAATTTTGAAAAGTTCATAAAAAAATTAAACAAATATTAAAAATATTATTTATATTTATAGAAAAGATCAATTGGAAAATTAAAAAATCTACCATAAACAGGGTATCTGCTACATTTAAGATTTTCACATTCATGACTTACCAAGACTGATTCCAATAATTTTTCATGACTTAACGACGTTACTATTTTCTCAGACAAAAACACAACAATATATTTAAAAAAGCTGTATAATAACATTAATTGAAATGATAGGTATAACCAAAAGGTATTCTGCATTGTTAAAATAATAGATTTTAAATTTAAAAAACAGACTAAAGAAAGAGTAGAAGCAATAAAATAGCTGGAAAAAAATACAAAAGCAAATCTTTTTTTTCTTCTTTTTTTCCGTAGAATTATATTCTAAAGATACTTTACTTGTTCATCAGAAAGGAAAGAATTACTCCTGATTTTCCTGTTCTCATTTCAGAATATAAAAAAATTTGCCAATGACTGACTTGCTTCAGCTAGAATTTTAAATTGGTAAAAAAAAAAAATTATAAAAATAACAAAAATTCTGAAATCACAGAAGTTTAAAAGACAATTCGCTCCAGAAATTATATTTTTTACACCATAATTTTTAAAGAACATTTTTTATTTTAATAAAATATGACTGTGAGTGGGGATTTTGTTACAAATTCAGATATTCGGAACACCATGAAATTGTGAGGGGGGGATTCCATTTCAAAAATTAGATTTTTTGGCGACCTAAATCCATGACTTTCCCTGATTTGTTTAAAAAATAGTTAAAATCGTGACATTTCATGACAAATTTTGATCAATACCAAAATTCATGACTTTCCAAGATTTTTCATGACTTAGCAGATACCCTGCATAAAATAGCGATCAATCATTGATTAATAACTTCTTTTAAGCTGTCAAATATAAACAAGTATTTAGAATGAAAAGAGTGATAAGCCCCTTCCCCTCCCTTATTGCTTGAACAAGACTCCACAAGTTCAAATGTATAGCTGTGTTAAGGTCAGATTTCAACAGAAAATGAAACTTCTCTAACCTCTGTATGAAAAGAGATAAAGAATAAAAGGTTATAAAAAAAATATTTACCAATGTTGATATGTTGATATTTAAAAATTCCCTTCTTTTAAATAATTGTAAATCTTATCAAGATGAAGTATTTTGATTTGCAAGGTAAAAATATGAGTTTTTTTTTTATCCTTTTCAAATTATAATTTTCAGTTCTTAAAATTAACTATCAATGAAGAAAAATAAATGAATAAATAACAAGCTGTACCCTAAATGATAGTTAGTAAAATATTGAAAATGAATGTATCAAAATGATATGATAAAATTAATTGAAAGTTTTTATATAAGACATAAAAACTAATAATTATATCAAATAAAATATTTAGAAACAGATACTTATATCCTGTTAACAGTTAATAACAATAGACATTAAAAAGCATACTGTAGCATAACCACATTCTGTTTTTGCACTATGTTCAATAGATTCTAATATATCAACACCAATTTCAAGTAGATGATGGTCCTTAGTAGCATAGTAAAGGTACATAACACTCTCCACAAGTTCTAAAATTAGTAAAAAATATAAATAAATATAAAATGAAAATTCACAAACTAAGGGTGAATAAAAATAAGTATTGTTTATTTCATATCAAATAGCTAACAACTAGCTCACAAAATAAATTTTTGGATAGCAAAATTACAAGAATAATGTTTAAAAAAATGATCTAGCTCACAGAGTCAACTGTTAAAAGAATTTCATATTTTCTAAAAGGCAATTCTTACATCAAAAGGTGAAAAACATAAAAAGTAGATATAACATCTTTAACAATAGAAACAGTGGCTTTTGGCAGAAGTGAGGAAAAGAGAATTTTATAAATTTTCAACATGTTAGCAATTCATATATGCTGAACTTGCTCTGATGACAACTAGAAAGATAAAGTCACAGTGATTTATATGCTGCATCTGGGTCTCTTTATTTCTGCCTTAACTCACCATTATCTGTGCTAAAAATATTGTTTTAACTCTTTTTAAAGTTTTTTACTTACATAACTTAAGTAGTTATGGTTGCACAAATTACAAGGATTAATGTTTTTAATCTTTTACAAATGAACAAATTTCAGATTTTAACACATAACAACGTAAACTTCTAACTTTCCTATCATTCTTTTATTAAAAAAAATTGAAATAATCTTATTACAGCACAGAAATATCTAAAAAAAAAATTCCGTATTCCTATACAAAAAAAAGATAAACCAATAAAATATGTCATTCAAATTGAAAACCAAATAGCAATAAGCCTTATAAATATTGTTATGCAGACTTGTTGAACTTTTTCTAAAACTTGGACATTACTTCTTGACGGAAATAAATAAATAAATAAAATGTTCCATTAGGTAAAAAATGAATAAAACAATTATCCAGACAAAAGCACAAGCAACTCATAACAAACATAAGTACTTAATTATATAAGTATAAGTGAAACAAGTAATAAGCGTACTTCATGAAAAAATATTCTAAACTTTAGCTGTTAATGTAAGAGGTATATGCATTAAACGTTAATTGTGGCCAATTCTGCTTTTAGAAACTTATGATTTGCATAAATGAGAAATGGATATTTTTTTTAACACAAGAAAAACAGCAATTGTTTTTTTTTTTTTTTTTTTTTTTTTTTTTTTTTTTTTTTTTTTTTTTTTTTNTTTTTTTTTTTTTTTTTGCTCTGTAGTTCAAAAAATAACTTACTGAAAGAGTGGAATGTTTTCGACTTTTCATAATTTGATTCAATTTAAGTGCTTATTTAATCATTTATGTGTTAGCCTTATAAAAACGTATGTATAGAACCTTATACCTAAAATGACAAGAGGGGCAAAGGTTGGCTTATTCGGTATTTTAGTAAGTATCCTTTAACATAAACAAAAGTCTACCATATTAATAAAATTAAAACAATAAATAGTTAAATAAAGAACAATAAAATTAACAAGACAATTCTAAAATTCGAGGAAATATTAGATATCTAGAAAAAACAAAATCCATACACAAAAATGAAGATTATAAGCAAATTCTGTCAGAGATGCTCATCAGCACAATGATTTTCCAAATGGATTGTGGTCATTGATAAAATCCTGTTTTTGTAGATAAGAAAAGGTAGGACTTAAAACAAAAAAAAGCAGAATTTTTAACTTTTCTTAAAAATTTAAAACACAGAAAGAACTCATTTATGCAGAAATTACCAGATTTATTACAATCATCTTTGCCCTTTGTCTAAAAATAGAACTGAAAATTTGTATAATTAAAAAATGTCAAACGGTGCTTCGTTTCAGGCTTATGTTTTCATTTAAGTGCTTAAACAAAGTAGCTTATTCATATCTTCAATGTAAGCATATTTGGATTTTTAGCAAACATTTAATAGATAAAAATGATTATTTAAGCATAAAAAAAAATTCAGGAAATTATTTAAAAATTGGTAAAAATAACTTTAAAAGTATTACAAAGTAGGAGGAACGCGTGAAAAATCAAGTTAGAGGGAGAACTAGCAAAAAAGTCCGAGAGTTGGTAATTATGTCTTTGTGAATTTTATTAGACCATATAATTTGCAAAATAAATAAAAACAAGTTCTGGAAAATTGGGTTCATAATAATTTAGCTACTTATGATTTAAATAGTTAATATAAATAACTATAATTGCTATTTAAAAAATAAAATATATAAATAAAAAATTTAAAGACATTTTAAACAATTCAGCTTTGCACCTTCTTTTAGAAAATTAACAAAAAGCGTTATTTCCTCCAAAGAAGATACTAATGTTTTCGAATACTGGATATAATCCGATCAAGACTATGGCTGGCCAGACATACTACCTTTGTAAGGCTTTCAATCAAGTTTACAGGTACAAATATCTTTGGTCTTGGCAGTTTTGCATTAGATTATGTGTTCAAACATATTCTATTAGTAATGCTGTATAAATTACAAATATATAAAAATAGCAGTCTTTCTCAAATTACTTTGCATAACATATAGAGATAAAAACTTAAAATAAGTAGTAAATATGACTGTAAATATACTGCATTCATATGATTTATGATTAAAACCTGGTCTAAGAGGATAATTTTCTCGTTTAGCATGACTGTGTGCAACATCATATATTTCAGGTGTAAATCCATACTGTTTCCATATTTGATGATAATTATACAGGGTCTTCACAGCTTGTTCAATATCACCAACTAAAGTCTGAAAAATAAATCAAACATTCAGTACAAGCATAATCAAAATAATATTCTTGGCAAGAGGAAAAACTTTTTTATCAAAACTATACCAAAAGTCCAGGCCAGAAAGCCTCTAATGATTGAAAGGTGGGCAAGGTAATCTGGCCACTGTTCATGCTAACCCAGAAGTACCAATCATCTCGTTTCATGAATTTGGAAATAAGCTTTTCATATTCTAAAAAAAAACATTCTTTTTAATTATTAAGCCAGTTCCAAGTCACAAAAGTAAACCCAAAACAGAAATAATTAGGGAAAAGCTTGCCCAATATGGAAAGATGCGATTAGTCCCTTGATGATTGTAAGCCTCCCTCATGAATTAACAAGGGAGAGTGGGGTTGAAAGGAAAAACTTTACTATCTAGACAACTGAGGCATTGTTTCCTATGCATTTTTTACACCACATCGAATGACACCAAAAAATATAAAACAAGTAAAAGTTCCGAAGTACAGGGGTGGAACAGCAGCATAATTGTTTTGGAGCAGGAAAAATGTGTTTTTGAGCAAATAAATTTACATTTTGTAGTAGATTGGAACCAATAGTCTTTATACTTAGAACAGAATAGTGCTTTCAAAATTAGGTTTTTGGGCAAATAAATTAACATTTTATATCATACAACTGAATGGCTTTGCACAGGGAGGAAGTATATAAATCAGAACTGAATGAAATCATACACAAATTTAAAAGTAATATACAAAGGATATATACAGACAGATATGCATAATATATATAAATGCCTGAACATTGCTCGCGAAAAATTTTGCTTCATATCGTAAAGGTTACAGTTTAGTGCGGTTTTACCACATCATTCATCATTGGTCCTTTTTTTTCTTTAAGGAACTGTATGGGGACACATTTAGAACAGTTTCTGTCACAGATATATGATATGAAGCGATCTTCAAAAATAAAGTCATCCCTTATCTACAAGAAAGGCAAGCACTCCATTCAATAATATTTATGCAAGATGGAGTGTCTCCACACATAACAACTCCTGCCAAGATACTTCTGAGGTCGACGTTTGAAAATCATCTACTCAGTTGATGTTTTCCTCACAAAAACCCTCAAGGACTTTAGATCTTACACCTTGTGACTTTTGGTTGTGAGGCTATTTAAAGTAACGGGTACATAGAGAACGGCAAATGTCTTTGGCCCAGTTAAAAGAAGCTATATGTGTAATATACCCTCTGAAATGCTATTTAACACTGTGCAGAGTGTCTTCCATCATCTAGCGGTTGTAATTCTTAATGATGGGAAACACATTGAATAGCTATAATGTGAAAAAAACTTTTATTGTTCAAAATAGATTGTAATATAATTTTGTAAGACAGTAAATTAACTGCAATGCCATATTTCAGTCAAAAATGTAACTAGTATAAATATTTTTTTCATAGTTAAAAAAATCCCTCGTGTTTCTGAGCATTTCAGTGCAAACCACATCTTTCTATTGTAAATAGTTTAAAAGTTTTTAAAAAGTAAACTGATTTTTGCATCATCCAGCATAATAAATATTATGTATATATATAATTAAATGGTCAAAATTTCTATAATTTACACCACTGTCAGTTTTAGAAAAATTGGATACAAAAACAGAAAATTTGGCAAGTTAATAACACTAGTTTAAATCTTAAAAAAAATAATAGTTGAAAGTAGTGATAAGAGTCAATAAATTGTTTGCAGAAAGTTTATTTATTTATTTATTTATTTTTTTTTTTATTTATTTTTTTTTTTNTTTTTTTTTTTTTTTTTTTTTTTTTTTTTTTTTTTTGCAGAGATTTTGTGTTCACAGAATGTTTTTGTTTCATCAAGTTTGTAAACAGACAGAATTAATAAAGTTCAGTTATTATTAATTGTTGCCCTTCAAGGTGGCTTTATGTTATTAGAATAAGCAAAACACGTTTTTAGAATTTCACCTCATCAAAATAACGATTAACTGTATTCAGTATTTGGCATACTGCTTGGTATATAAAAAAGTTTAAATTAGTTAAAAGAGTCACTAAATCACTTACAGAGAGCTTTTAAGTAGAGATTCTGTTAAAAGTTTTTTATTTTATCTAAGTCTCTATACTGATACAATTAAAAAAAACTTACCTATTATAAATTTTTGCCCTTCAGGTGGCTTTGTTATTAGAATATGCCTAACACCTTTTTAGAAGTATATTCAATCACAATAACGATCAACTGTATTCAGTATTTAACATACTGTTGCTGTTCATGGCCAACTCATGCTTATCAAAATGTGTTCCCATTTCAAGCAATTTTTTTCAATACTTATCCTTTAAGAGGAGCTGTAAAAATGTACTTCTCCAATATTTATATTAAAACAGTACCGTATTAATGCAGTTTTAATAGTTCCCAAATATACTAGCATAATACCTGTATTAATGGATTTGATACCTATTAAAACTGCACTAATCACCATAATACCAATAGTGCCTAACAAGCACATGCAAGTGCCTATAAACATAACACCTTTTAAGAACTTTATTCCATCACAATAACGATTAACAGTATTTAGCATATTGCTGCTGCTCGAGACCAACTCATGATAATCAAAATCTGTTTCAATTTCAAGCAATTTTTTCCAATACTTATTCTTTAAGAGGAACTGTAAAAATGTACTTCTCCAATATTTATATTAAAACAGTGCCATATCAATTCTGTTTAAATAGGTAGCAAATACACTAATATTAATACACTGTATTAATGGATTTGGTACATATTAAAACTGAACATGAAATACCAACAGTGCTAATTAACAAAACTAAGCATCATTCATGTTCAATTTTATCAATTACTTTACCTGACCTAATGAATATAAAATAAGAGCAATAAAATAATTTTTACCAAAAATAGAGGTATAAACTAGCAAACATTGATAATTTAATTCAAAACAAAGGCTAATGCCTAACCAATGAGAAAATTCTATTTCTCAAACAACTCTACGGAACAAATTAGTTGCAAATTTTGAATGAATTTCAAGATCAGGGGGCTAAATTTGTTCTTTGCCGTTGCTATCCAAGTATCAGGAGTAGTACTAAAGTGTAAGTGGTTCAGGAGTTCTAAGAGAAACATGCACAGACCCTTAATTTATTTTATTATTTTAGATACAAGAGAGCCTGAAAAAAAAGGCATTATTAAATTTTAATAAAAGATGTAATAGAAAAATAATAAAGAATTAAATTAATATATACTTGAAAAATTTACTTAATAAGTCTCGTATGAAACTAAAATCTTTTTAGCATTTATTTCTGCAGGCTCATATGATATTTAAATAAGTATGGATTTTAAGTTATTAAATGTAAGAAATATGATTAATATTTCAAACTAAATAAAATTCCCACTTTAAACAAAATTTATTTAACACCACCAATAAAAACATACCATCATCAATAATATATAAAATCATCAATGCACAGTTAATTCTAGAAGGGGATTGTAGGGTGCACAAACCCTTCTATTTTTTTGCACAGTTTTTTTTAAAATTATTTTCACGCGGCTTTTCACATTATGATGTTTTGAATATGATGTAATTACAATACGTGATTTCAATTTCAGTTGATACAAATTTCAGTTATCACATATTGAACTGCTAGATTCGCTACGATTCCATGGTAAATCCACATTATTTTTTGACATTTTTTAAAACATATTTTTACATTTCTCATTTTTGTAGATATTTTTAATTACATATGGCATAATTTTATTAAAACACTCGAATTTCAGATTTCAGAAATGACTATTTGTAAACGGTTACTTGTTTTTGATAATTTAGATATTTTAAATACGATATTATGTCAAGTTCTAGGGTATTACTTTTAAAAAATGTTCTATTTGTGCTGATTCTGAAGTAAGGCATTGTCATTTATCGATTTTTTTAGGTCTTTGGCATTTCAGATTTAATGGCATTTGCAATTCTACTTTTTTTTATACATTTTTATTCTGACAAGTAAATTTCGTTATTTTAGTATCATTATTTTGCAGAGATATGTTGGGGCATTACTGATGGGGTGGCCTATCCAGTGTTTTTTTTTTACTACTTGAGATTGAAAATTCTATTTTGTTGAATTGATTCTTCAAAATTTCATTATTACTCTTCATCTTTTTATATTTTGCAGCTATTGATTTTTATAATTTACAATCAATAATAATTTAAAAAATTACCAACAATGCAGGTGAAAAACAGATGGCAAGAATGTAACAATAGTATAACAGACGCTTCTCCCTTTCAACCAAAGAAACCATTGACAGATTCCCCACCCGCTATCACCCTACGACTAGTCTCTTATAAGGATCGTCAGAAGGATGATTTCTTCTCCCTTTTTCTTCTGCTGCAGGTATGAAGAAAAAAAAGTAAAAGAAAAATATGCAAATCATTCTCTAAAACTAATGAGAGGGTGAAATGCTTAAATGATCTATCTTGAAGGTCAAGTTTACTTGATTGGTATTTCATAGTAGTAATATCAGACACATAGGTAGACAGTATAAATTTGCACTTTTCATGCATAAAAACTTTAACCTTTTGAACTATTAAGCCTATTACCTTTATTTCAGTTTCATTCAATTCAGTTTAAAACAATACCAAACTAATGACTTCATTTGTTTACATAGGCATTTCAGACAAACAAAAATAGGCATAATCTAAATTTATTAGCTTTATACCTAGTATTTCCCCTAAAACTTTTGAACTAATCATTCTATTGATTAGATTTTGATCTCATTCACAATCAGAGTCAAAAAATACATAGGAAACGATGCTTAACTTGCCTAGATAGTAATGTTTAAGTTTTACCTTTTACCCTTCAGTAAATTTAAGTTGGTAGCAAAAGCTCACCTTGGGAGAGGAGGCAAACTTTAGGTATCTATATTGGACCTAAACCACAACTTTTAGAACAATAAATAATGTAATAATTCTATGAATTATTTTATAGTATCTTATAAAATGCCTTCTGATTATATTAATGTTTATTTAAAAATGTATTTATTTTTAAACATACAGTTTTGAGAAATTTATAACTAAAATCATGACAAATGACTCAGTGGATTTTATAATATTTAAGTTAAATCTTCGAACTATTATTGATAGCATAAAGAAGCGATAAAACATGATTTAGGAAAAAACTTTTGCAAATTTTGCTTAAAAGTATAAACCACTCACCACGAAACATTTTTAAGTACTTAGGTTCTTGAAACAAGATAGCTCCTTTAACCAAGTATTCAAAATAAGAGTCAACACCTCCACCGATACCTGAATCTAAGGCTGTCCATTTTCCATCTTGAACGTTAATATGGTTGCCTACCTTACATAAATAAAAAAAGTATGAGATGTTTTCATATTGTAACAGAAAAAATTACCATCATATTGTAGAACACAATAAAAAGTTTAACTACAATACAAAAACAAAAGTTTAACTATAATTAACTACTACACAGTTAAACCTCGGCCATGACAAACAATAACTTTAATATGTTAAGAACTTACTTTTAATGATACTTAATTAAAGATACAATAACAGTGGTAGGAAGGCCCAATTGGATGAATAACTGATTGATAATTAGAATAAGATAATATAATTAGAAACTAATGATGTAGTTAAACGTGGAATAAAGAGTCCATCACTTGGAGATCACAGTGATGTTGCCATAAAAGAAATAAATTAGCATAAATAAGTTTTTATTTATCGCAATGCTTTATTGGTAGTAAAGGTGGATCAAGCTGCTAAGTAAGAGATGAAAAAAAAAGCAAACAACAGGGATGTTAGAGATGTAATACAAAATGCTATGTATCGGACAGCCAGTTTGAAATTTTTTTAAAAGAAAAAAATTCGTTTTTAAAAGTTATTCAAATTTGAGTAAGTGTTGAGTAAAACTCCAGAGCTATTTTAACAAAAATTATCAGTATCACTTGATATTTTTAATTGATATAAATGCAATTAAAGCCAGCAAATATAATATTAATAACTGATAGAACTGACCTTAAGTATAATAAAGGCAGATTTTACTGTGTATTATTTTTAATTTCAGAATTACTTTGTTTAGGACAAAAAGTTTTAGCAAATTCAAGTAAAACTAGTTTTATAAATGAAACACTGACTCATAATGGTTAGTGATCTAAATATAGACAAATTTTTTAACTACTATCACATTTAAAAAAAAACTAGTATTAATTATTTTCTAATACCAATATTTAATTAAAATTTGCAATCAAATTCAAGATTTTTTTTTACCAAATAATTTTTCAGTAGGATTTTAAATCTTGAAACGAAAATGCACTGAATATGCTGCTCAACATTTTTTTATGAATTTAATTTAATATATGATGCCAAAAAAAATTTATATGATTACTGTATTGTTGATTGGAATCTATAATTTTTAAAATCAAGTTAAGAGATGAATTAATAATTGTGAAACTACAAAATACCCCTAAAATATTTGTTACTGCTTTTGCTGAAAAGTATAGATAAATCCCTTATGGAGAAAAAGAATGATTCAGTGGGTCATTTATATTGGGATGTATTTTCAGTGATGATGGAATATTCAGGTGGTGAGGAGTAGTTGGAGATATTGATAAACTGAAGATTAATGCAGAAATCAGGGGATGATGAAAACAATAGTTGAGCCGGATTAGAATTAATAAAAAAAGGGCTTTTATTTAGTAGTATATTTGCAGAGCTCGAGTTACAAAATATAAAAATATATTATCCATAAGAATTTCAGTTGAATCAATTTTGCATAATAATATTAAAATAGGTCAGGCCAGGGGAGACGAATCCCCCACAACCTGCCTAGTCAAAAGCCAAATTAAAAAGTACATGTAATTTGTTCTCAACGGACACAGAAGCATGGGTAGGAGATCCAAAATTGGCGATTTATTAAAATATAGCATAGCCAAAACAAGGCCAACCAGCATATCAATATAGAGTTAAAATAATACCTTGGCGATCACGAGTCGCCAACAAATTTATGTGAATTATTACAACCATGCAACCAAAACATTTAGCCGTTGGAAATTTAGAATAAAAAGTTATAAATAGATTTTTTTGTTTTCGATTAAAGGCAACAGTGAATATATAAGTCTGCATTAGTAATGAAATAAAAAAAAGTATCCGTTACATTAATCTAGAAGAGAAGAAATAAATATTTTATGTTCGTTTAAAAGATTAAGTTTTTGATTTATTTTAAAAATAATTCCATTAATAAAAAAATCAGCTTAAGTAATGAAAGATATTTTAAAAGATAGAAAATAAATATGTGTATGCCAATTGTGGCATCACACCCCTGAATTAATCACCATAAAAATTTGATAATAAACATTGAGGTTTTTTTTACACAAAATGATTAAATTCCCTAAAAGTTTGAAGCAACTAATCCTGCCAGTAAGACTGAATCTGTAAATAATTAGTTAACAATAGAAGTTTGAACTAACGAATTTTGTGATTTTTACTAACATTACTAAGATTAAAAAGATGTAGAACTGTTGTCATAGCAGAACTGTTGTCATAGGGATAGTTTTATAATTATCATCATGAAAATAATAAATCACCAAAACTTCAACATTTTGATAACGAGCAAAGGTATGTAAAAAAGTTTCTGCATGAGGTTAGTTTGGATATTTACACTAAACATTTTGTAGTTAAAACTAGACTCTATAAAAGGTCCTAAGAAAGTCAATAAAATTTTAACTGTAATGATAGAAAGGTAATAAAATGTATAATAAGCTCACCAATCCCATTGGAGATCTCCTTTTCCATAGAGCATTCAAAGCATTCACGGCAACTTTTTCAAAAATAGGATCACCAGTTAAATGACTAAGTGTTCCAAACTCAACAATGAAGGTAGATACTCCAGCAGTGCATGTTATGGGGGTTTCACCTTCAGGAACACCATGGAGCAAATTAACTGTTCCGAAAGGCATGCCGGTTTTTGTTTCAAATGCTAGAAATTAAAGGAATTATAAAAATACAAAATTCAAACCAGTAAAAAATCAAACAATATACATTAAGTTGATAAGATAAACACCAAAGAAAATATGTGTAGTTGATCTTACTTAAATCTGAAAAATAAAATTTATGACTCTTACTTAACTATATCTCAATTAAAGCTTAAGGTAGAAGTTAAATAAAATAATAGTAATTCTGTTTATTACATTGTTAACATTGCTTAATATTATTCTATAACAATTTCTGGTATATTATTAGTGGATCACCTATTGGAAAAGTATTGATTTCAGCAATGCAGACAAAGGACAAGAAATTTTTTATGACTAAGATTTGTAATATGTGTTTTTGTTACAAATAAATAGCACAATAATAAATACTTTTTTAATTGGCCATAATCTTGTAATCTAACTTGATTAGATAGAATGCACAGTTTGAGGGGAGAAAAGCTAGATATGACTATGCTGTACAAAGCAAAGGTTAAAAAAAAATCATATTTTTAAAAAAAAAAAAAATAAACAAAATAATGTTGGAAAAGTTTATGGCATATAAACGAAATTTAGAAGAATTAACTGGATGAAAAACAAAAAGGAAAAAAAAGGTTACCAGGTCACATTAAGTTGATGGCCAATGGCTGATTTGATGTAAAATTATCCAATAGCCTTATCAGTCATGTTGCAGATTTTTTATGGAATGCTTTGTGAAAAAATACATACTAAAAGAAAGACAACAGCAAAAAAATTTCACATTTTTTAAACCAAAACAATGATATGGGGACCATTTTGAAGCATTACTAGAGAAGGTGGCTCATATGTTCTTAATGCCTATATTTTTTTATTTAAGAGCCAATTTTCTTAATTTTAGTGTCACTGAAAAGGTGGCAGTGAGTACTATGTAATAAAACTATTAAAATGCCAGAAATACAGATAGAAGTCTTTAAAAGATTGCATCAAAATTATTTTTTGGAAATTTTTCTGCAAATTTCAAGAAATTTTTTACAGTAAAGTAACAAGTTTCAATGTGTCAATTTTTTCACAAGTCAACAGCAACATAACTTTCAACATAAAACAATTCAAAATAGTGTTTTTTGTTTTTGATCATTAAAAAAATAAGTGGTTTTATAGTACAATAGCAATGTTCCTGGTTCATAATTTTTTCACTTTATGCTAATCATATTTTCAATACAGGGGAAAAAAAATCAAGATAGTGTTTTTTGTTTTTGGTCATAAAAAAAAATTTTCACGCATTAATTTTTTCCCCATAATGTGAAATATTATACTTTTCAACTTAAAAATCAAAAAGTTGTGATTTCTTTTTTTTTAATTTTGTCTATAAAAAAGGATTCTTGTTATAGTTTTGGCTCAAAAAAAATTGAAATTATAATTTTAGTCCTTTTTAGCAATTTTGTACTTTTTCACAAAAAATTTAACAGAAATACCGCAGCAATAAGACCTTTTTTTTAAATTTTTTAATATCAAAGGGAATGAGTCTAATGAAATGTATGTTAACATTAGAACATTCTGATTAATTACCACCTCCCTCAAGCTGTTCTTAATTTTGAAATTTGCTAAATTTCCAATTTCATCAGCCTTTTGAAAACAAAAAAACTTTTTCAAAGTAATTTACACTTTGATACTTGAAATAACAATTTTCACATGCATACTAAAATTTTAATTTTTACTTGTTTCATTAGATCTTATTTCAATTAAGACTAAACCTTTGCCATGAAATGAATAAAAATTTCAAGAAACTGAAGCAAAAAGATATACTTGTTATTTGAAAAAGTTCATTAGCTTAAAAAATTAAGGTGAAAAAACTCCACTTTTTGAGCAGTGAAAACAGATGCCCATTCTTAAGATTCGCAACAAACTAATAACAAAATAGATATGACAAAATAGATTTGAAAAAAACTCAAAAAAACAAAGCCATTTTCCTAACATTTTAAAAGCCTCACCACGAAAGAGCTGGAGCAAAGTGGCATTACATATGAACTTTTAAATCATTTATATCAAGTGGTGTGGAAAATAAGTTTAAATGAATAAAGAATAATGCCTTAAATTAACTTAGCTACCGCTAGAATAAAATTTTTAAAAAGGCGGAGAAAGTTGGCAGCCCTGTATAAGTGTTTTTTTCTCTTTTCATATACATAGAAGATACAGTAGGGAACCGATTATCCGGAACGATCGGGACCATCGCTATTCCGGATAACTGATTTTTCCGGTTTTCTGAATCGCTACAAAAAGCCGTTCTTTTTATTGTTAAACCCAACTAAAAAAAATATTTGGAAATAATCTTAAAAAGAAGAAAAAACGATTAAGTAATACACTAATGATTATTTCCAAAATGATGGTAAGGTAAAAATCTTTCAAAAAAGAAATAAAAATCCTAAAATCTTATGAGGAAAAAAACATTTTTTTAAAAAAAATGGTGGGAAAATTTATCGAATTTCGTTCCGGTTTTTTGGTTTTCCGGTTTACTGATTTCCGGATAACGGGTTCTGTACTGTATTTAAAATAGATTCCATTTATTTTAATATATTATTTTAATTTATTTATTTTAATCTATTTATTTTAAAAATAGGTATTTAAAAAAGATCTATACACATAGAAGATATTTAAAAAGCTGTCATTTAAAAAACTGCCATTCTGTCATTAACATTTACAAAGTTTAAAAAGAGAAAAAGAAAAATTCTTATCTAATTAATTTTTATTAATATCTAATATTAATAATTACATATCTAAAAAATTTATATTATATTTTATTTTTTTACATTTTACACATTGCTTCTTTTTTGCACTTTAGCAGTCATCACCGCATTAAAAAAAGACATTTAAAAAATCATGAATTTATGGCAATAATTGAAAAAGATTGATGATAAAACCATGTGTATTTATGATGAAATCACATGAATTTGACACAACAAAAAGGGGTTAATTAAATGTACATTTCAAGAATCAAGTGTTGTAATAAATAATATCACACTAAAAATATTGAGTATTTAAAAATATGTAAAAATCAGTAGCAATAACTGACAGAAAATCGATTGTAAGAAACAAAACATAGAATTATTATGTCAAATAGTGAATATTCGGTAGCAACTATTTGTATCATTATTGGAAATATTTATATCACAATACAAGGATTTTATTTAAATGTGCATTTTATTAAATTTTATTATATTTAATTTGTTGCTGTTGTAGTTCATTTACGTTGCACTAAAGCTGCACAATGGGCTATTGGCGACAGTCTGGGAAACATCCCTGATGATGCTCCGAAGACATGCCATCACAATTTTGATCCTCTACAGAGGGGATGGTGCCCCCGCTTCGGTAGCCTGACAACCTGCACGAGAAGATGAGCACTTTATGGTAGAACAGTTTAACAAGGACCAATACCGCATACTCTTAGTCCCTACACAGACTGATCCATGTGGTCACCCACCCGCACACTGACCGCAGCCAGTGATGCTTGACTTCGGTGATCTGCTGGGAACTGTGTCTTAACGATCAGTCCACTGCGGGACATATATTCAATAAAATACATTATAATTATTTAAATTAATTTAAATGTGCATTTCGAATTTCGCGTTTCTAAATAATATTGTATGAAAATATATATGGATTTAAAAAACCGTATGAATATCAGTAGCAATAACTGTGAAAAAAAGTAAATCAGAAAAACATTGGCATCATTGTGTCAAAAAGTGACTATCAAATGCAAAAATTGAATTTTGCATGTTGTAATAATAATGGTAAAAAAATACTTATTTTTAAAAACATTAAGAAAATTCATAGTAACAATAGCCGTTTAAACGATCGAAAAACCACACGGATTGATGTTGGTATCCATGCAAATTGAGCGTGTCAGAAAGTGATGCCTCAAATGTGCGATTCAAATTTTGCATGTGGTAATAATATTGGAATTTCAAAATTTATAAGAAAATCGAATTCATTCACTGCAACTGGAAAATAGGATCAGAACACGGATTTACAATGGTATCAAGTGCATTAAAAAGTCTTTATTAAAATGCGCAATTCGAAATTTCCATAATGTATTAAATATTAATTCAATCTAATTATAGCCAAATAAAAATTTGCGTAAAAAGTCGTTATTAAATGCATGATGAAAAAAGAGGAAGCAGATAAGGGCAAAATAAATGTCTCATTAAAAAGATTTTTCATCCGTAACAAAATTTACATTTTAGATTAGTCTTGAGATTCGCAGAATTCTACGAATTAGCGTAAGAATCACTTGTCTGATGAAATTAGACTCAAGAACATTAAGATAAGCTGAAGTGAAAAAGTGAAATAATTTTGGCATTACTTTAAAGCATTAACTAATTAAACCAAGGTTCCAACAAGGTGAAGCGATAGAAGATTTATCAAATTCTTGATGACAGACTCTGTTGTGTTTCCTTAACAGGAATTGCATAAACCCAGGTTTTTATGAAAAAGCCAGCCAATGTGGGCTTTTTCAAATATATTCTACATGCATACAAACCGTAAGAATAATATGTAGTGTTTACTAAAAAATATTGCTTGACTATAACCAAAGGGATTAATAAAATAAAAATAAAAAAGATTATGAAAATAACTATTTCAGCCATGTTTCTGCTTTCTAAATGTATAATGAATTGCATAATGATGAAGTTACTGAATTAATTTTTTGTAAAATATAAAGCATAACATGCTATTTGATTAGTTTTAAATTATAAATAAACATATAATTTGCATTAAAGTTAATTGATGGAATTTCTAGAAGAATTGTATATACATAAATGAAATGCACACATCTTTTTAAATGCATGGTATGTTTGTTTGTATTTTTCAATGTATGAATTCTCTACATGTCTTAACACTCAACAAAAATTAATAAACTTTTATCTTCATTAAACGTTTTGCTTTTAAAATGAATGACAAGGATGATAAATTTTAAACATTTGTTTTCTAAGCATTCCAAGTATATAATTTAAGATTTTTCAATGAACATCATCGTAAA